ACGTGGTTTCGGAAGTTTGTGACGGTCTCGAACATGCTGTTTGCCGTGTCAAAATACTTGCGGTCGTACTTGCCTGCGCGGATGAGCGATTCGATGAGCCAGAGCGTGCACATGACAAATGTGCCTTCACGGCCGCCAACACCTTAGCAATTTGTCAGTAAGTGTCGATACATGAGGTGACGTAGGGAGAAGACGTGATCATAGGGAAAGTAAGTGGCAGGCACGGAGAAGGCACGGGAGAAATACCATCGTCTGTTTGTTCGTGGTCGTAGCGGAAGACAAATCCGGCAGATGTGAGGCCTCCTTTCTCAGGCGTCCGAAGGATGCGGTCGAGCGTGCCGACGAATTGGGGATCATTAGGAGCAATGAAAAACACCAATGGCGCGACTAGCACGGCCGAATCCAGCGTGGTGTTCGATTCGTAGCTTTGCACGAAGCTATTGAGCTGGTAGTTGAACCCTTTCTGCATGACTTCCTCGTATATCGTGTCGCGTGTCTCCAGCCATTTGTTGCGATTCGGACACGGGAAATTGCGCTTTTCTGAGAGCCGCAACGCGCGGTCGACGGCCACCCAAAGAAGCATTTTTGAATAGGTGAAGTGTTGTTTGCGGCCGCGGACTTCCCAGATAGACATATCCGGTTGGTTCCACACGCGGCAGACGAAGTCGGTCAGATAGCGGATATCGAGCCACTGGGCGTAGCAGATGGGTTTTCCATGTTTATTGTACAAGTAGATTGCGTCCATCAGTTCACCGTAGATATCAAGCTGAACATGGTCTGTCGCTGCATTGCCGATGCGGACGGGCACGCTGTCTTGGTAGCCCGAGAGGTGATCAAGCGTGAGCTCGGGCAAATCGGTAGAACCATCGATACCAAACATCAGAGGCAAGTGATGTATTTCCCCTGGCCCGGCCGCTTCGGCCGTTTTCCGCCATTCTGCAATTCTGGCAAAAATGAAGTTGATGTACGCTTCGGCCTCTGCCGGAAAACCCATCTTCAAGAACACGTAGACTGTAAAGCTGGAGTCTCGGACCCAGGAGTATCGGTAGTCCCAGTTTCGAGGACCGCCGATCGCTTCCGGTAGAGAGAAGGTTGGGGCAGCGCATATGGCACCGGTGGGATCGTAGGTCAACAGTTTCAGGATCAGCATGCTTCTTTCGACTTCCTGTTGGAAGCGACCACGGTACAGGCAAGATCGGACCCAGCTGGTCCAGAACTTGTACGTCTCGTCTTCGAGATTGACCATAAGATCTTTTGTAAGATGAGGACCAACACGACGGTTGCACATGATCATATAGACTTGTTGGCCTTCTTGGAGTTCGAAGTGAGCCCGACAAGAACGCATCTCGTTTTTGCTTGCTTTGCCGTCCTTGGGCTTTGCCAATTCGAACATTGCGGGGGAGTGGCTGAGTGGCTGTTCATGTGTGCAGTATGTTGCGAAGAAGTCTGGGACGTCTTTGGGGTCCGTGTTGTCGTTCTCATGAGGAACCCAAGAGATTTTTTGATGGTATGTGCCGTCCTCGCGTTTGACCTGCGTGGTCTTCATCGAGCCTTGGTCGCGAGCATAGTCTGGTCGCGGACAAAGCTCAATGTCGATTGACATCTTTCCGCGGACACACTCCAATTTTCTGACTAGGGTTGAACCACTCCATTTGTCCCTGAGCACCTTGTTGTGTGTTGACAGGGCGAAGAAGTCGGTCAGGTCTACCACCCCGTTCTCGTCAATCCACTTGGTCTGCAAGATGTTTGAGGAGCCGCGATAGTTTTGCTTGCGAACCGTGGCATCCCGCGGACTGATGCTCCAATGACCTCCGTCACCTTTGGAGGTGTCGAGGACTTTGGCAAAGACCGACGGCGAGTCGAACTGAGGCCAGCACATGAAGTCGATGCTCCCATTCTTGCCCACCAGGGCGCAGGTCCTCATGTCCCCGATCAGACCATAGTCCTCAATCTGCTGAGGTTTCGCGAGCAGTGGTGCGTCGCCCATTGTCGGACAGTCGAAGTGGACTTTTTGTTGTATGGTCAGATTGGTGTTCTGTGTGGTAGAGTAGGAAGCTGTTCCAGTGTCAACCCGCGCTGAGAAGTGACACAGTAGCCGGTGGTGACGGACTGCAAAAGGCCTCGTGAGAAAGCTATGAGAAGTGTTTCAAATGTGTATCACGAGGATGCACCAAAAGAGAAAGACGAGGATGACTAACGCACGGCAACACGAAGTGTGTGAAGCAAAAAGCAATTTACCTAATTCATCGAATTGGAAAGACTGTGGGGGGAACTGTGCGATAATGGCACAAAGCGCAGTCCTGGTCGTCGATGTGCTACGTAATGTGGTGATGATGTCGACTTTCACCCACTTTTCCAGGCTCGCAATGATGATGATGGAGTTCTCTGTGCAGTTGATAGCGAGCGAGACAGTCGGATATCCAGATCCGACACTAGCAAAAGACGGCCAATACGATTAAACGATAAGATCGCGCATGCCGAGTAGGGCTGAGTTCCAGTCCGGAGCAGATCCCTGATTGCTCGCTGGCCCCTTGTCTGAGTTGCCTCAACACCCTCCGCAAGATCCCAGTGTCATCGTTCTTACTGTATGTAGATCAGGCTGCCCGTCGCTCACTCGCCCTCTGTCACTCCTTCCCTCTGACCTTCCATGACTCGACCGTTCCTCGCGGCAGCCTCACGTCCTTCCCATGGACACACCATCCTACACCGACCGCGTTTCAAGACCGTCCTCCGCCGCACCACCTGCTCCAGCCGACGAGAATATCCTTGTCCTCAACTCTCGTCGTAAGTACAGACGGCGAGGTACAGGCTCCGTGTCCGAGTCGAAAAGCGAAGGCTCAGAAGATGAGGCAGGATCCATGTCGGAATCAGAAGAACACGAATTAGGTCTGTTGGACTCGGATGTTGACGGCGATGCCGACGCAGAGACCGGCCTGAGTCCACACGACAGACGCAGATACATCAAGAGGAAGAGGCGGCGAGACGGGCTCGATGCAAGGATTGCTGGCGCCGCAGGCATATCCAAGGATGAAGCGAGAGAGGCAGACAAGAACGTCTTGCGCAACCTGATTATCAACGCCGTCCTCATAGGCCTGTGGTACTTCTTCTCTCTCGCCATATCCATCGTGAGTCTGGTGCTCTGGTTTGCTGGTCGTGACTGACTGTTGCAGTACAACAAGATGATGTTCTCATCCGACCACCTCGACTTCCACTTCCCCCTGTTCGCAACTTCGCTCCACATGGTGGTCCAGTTTATATTGGCTTCTTCTGTCCTCTTAGCGTTCCCATCATTACGACCATCCGTCCCCCGGAACCCAGACGGGTCACAATCTTCCAAACCACTCGTTACGCCGTTATTCTATTTCACACGGCTCGTGCCAACAGGCACTACGACATCGCTCGACATTGGACTCGGCAACGCCTCCCTCCGATTTATCACCTTGACCTTCTACACAATGTGTAAATCGTCCGTCTTGATCTTCGTCCTCGTGTTCGCCTTCCTCTTCCGCCTCGAAAAGCCGTCGCTAAAGCTCATACTCATCATCCTCACCATGACGCTGGGCGTGCTCATGATGGTCGCCGGCGAGACGGCATTTCACGCCCTCGGCTTCGCGTTGGCCATTTCTGCTTCCTTCTTCTCCGGTTTCCGCTGGGCATTGACGCAGATCCTCCTCCTCCGCCATCCCGCGACGTCAAACCCGTTCGCGACAATGTTCTTCATCGCGCCAATCATGTTCGTCACGCTGTTCTTCATTGCATGCGTCTCCGAAACACCCTCGGCCGTCATCACGGGTCTGTTCCTCCTGTTTAGGGAACACGGAGTCCTCAAAGCCCTGCTCCTGCTGATCGTCCCGGGCTGCATTGCCTTCTGCATGATTGCCAGCGAGTTCACACTGCTCCAACGCACAAGCGTGGTGACGCTCAGTATTTGCGGCATCTTCAAAGAAGTCGTCACCATCAGTGCCGCCGGGATCGTCTTCCACGATGAATTATCCGTGGTGAACATCTCGGGCCTGATAGTCACCATCATCAGCATCGCCAGCTACAATTACCTGAAGGTTGTCAAGATGCGAGAGGAGGCGAGGGAGAAAATGAAAAAGAGGGACGAGCTGAGATATCACGAGGTGGATGAAGAGGATAATGGTCAAGGTGACACGCCGAATTCAAGCTCGGCACCATTGATCCGCGATGTAATAACTGCTGAGCCCGAGCCGGACACATCTTCAAGGCCTGCCTCCCGTTCGAATCTCATGGCGAACGGCGTTCTGGGTTCTTCAGCAAAGCGAAAGGAAGCGATTGAGTGAAAGAACTTTTCTTATTATCCTAGACTGGATTGATAGGCTTTGAGCATCCACCAATGAATGGCATGTTCGCCCCAATGTCGGCGCTCCGCTTCGTGCCTCTGATCCCAAGTGTCCTCTTCCATCATCTCATTCCAGCCTGCCATGTGTCTCGTGTTCCCGTTCATCATTCCTGACCCGTGTCTCGTGTCGTTGCACTTCAGCTCCCAGCTGGGCAGATTCCTCCCAATTTCAATGCACCGCTTCGTTCAGTTTTCGTTTGATTCCATTATGTCCTCTTGGGGAACATCTCTGGTTTGCCATGCAATTCTGTTGCTCTCTCAGCTGCGGACTAGATCGGGGCAATGCGGCGCTTCGGTTTGTAGATTCCATTATGTCCTCTTGGGGAACATCTCTGGGTTGCCCTGTGTATTCTGTTGCTGTCTTTCAGATGCAAGCTGGGTTGGTCGGGGCAATGCGGCGCTTCGTGCTTCGTTGATTCCATTATGTCCTCTTGGGAACATCTCTGGTTTGCCCTGTGTATTCTGTTGCTGTCCTTTGGCTGCAGGCTAGTTCGAGGCAGCGCGGTGCGGTGCAGTGTTTTCCTTCGTTTGATTCCATTATGTCCTCTTGGGAACATCTCTGGTTTGCCCTGCAAAATGTGTTGCTGTCCTTTGGCTGCGGGCTGGTTCGAGGCGGTGCGGTGTATTTTCCGTAGTTTCATTCGCACATTGATCTGTCTATCAGCTTCCAAACGTCCTCTTCTGACATCTCTGGTTCTTGCGTGTTTTCGCTCTGTTCTTCAGTCGCTGGCTGGGTCCACTGGGGTTGAATCTGGCCTTGCTGTTGTTGCTGAATGCGGCCTTGCTGTTGTTGCTGTTGTTGGATCTGACCCTGCTGTTGCTGTTGAGGTTGCAGCAAATTCGCGAATGGGTTCGTGTTTGTGTTCGTGCTGGTGTTCGTGGTGGTCTCTGTGCTGGTGTTTGTGTTTGTCTTGGAGTGGGTGTTCTGTTTCTTGACACCTTGATCCTGCGGGGCCGTGCGCTTCACGCCTGCAAACTTGCGAGGACTGCCGGGCGCTTCTTCTTGTGGTGGTTGCAGCTGCGCTACCTTGGCTTCTGCAGCGTCCGCCTTCTCCTTGTACATCATCGCCGACATGCTTGAAGCTTCAGCCTGGTTCGACAAAGCGCGGTTCAGCTGCTTGAGTTCCTCCATCTCAGACACTGTCTGCTTGAGTTCATCGATTTCGTCTTTGAGAAAAGCGTTCTCAACCAGTGCCTCGTTGTCTGCCTCGTCGACCGCAGTCTCGATCTGATCCTTGAGGTCCTGGATCTCTTTCGAGAGCTCCCAGATCTTCTCCCTATTGTCGCGGTTTTCTCGTTGGAAAGCTTCTTTTTCGTTCTCTACCCCCGCGTTAACCGTCTCGGTCTTATTCTTGAGGTCCTGGTTTTCTTTCTCGAGCTTCGAGATCGTTCTCATGTTCTCCCACTTTTCCTGTCGGAGCGCATCTCTTTCTTCCTGGTATTCGTCTATCTCGGCGAAGAGTTCTTTGATGCGGTCGCCTTGTAGATTCAGTCTCTTGTTCAGATCGTCAATTTGACGCTGCCGAAATTCAGCTGCTCTGCTAAGTTCTGAAACTGATGTGCTGGCTGATCGTGCTGTAGACACTTGGCTCTGGAAGCTCGAGATGCTGGAACCAAGTCTGCTGGTACGATGTAGAGAAGGGGTTTGCGGTGTAGAAGGAGATTGTGATGTTGCCGGGGTTGGAGTTGTTTGAGGCTCGACCTCCATGGTGTCCGAGCGTGAGACAGAAGCTGGCGTAGAGGCTGTTGCAGGATTTGCCGGATCGACCTCCATGTCCTCTGGAGGCGCCATGGTCAGCTCTTCGATCGTTGCCAGATAGCCCTTGATTTCGCTGTCCTTGGATCGACAGTATTCTTCTGCTTCTTGGAGCTTCTTCTGAAGGTCGCGCTTCTGTTGGTCGGCCTGGCGCTGATTCTCCTGAATCTGCCGTTGCCGCTGCTCTCTCTTCGCCTTCTCACTGTCGCGCTCTCTCTCGGCTTGCTCCTTCTTCCTCAGCTCTTCTTGAGCTTGGTGGTAGGCGTCGTCTCGGCCCTTTCGGAGCCGCTCCAGATCGTTCGCACAGGCGACCAGCTTCTGGGCGTTCTCTTCTCGACACCGATCTGCCTCCTTCCAGTATGCATGCCACTGCCCCACGGCGGCAGTGGACTTTTCGAGGTTTTCTTTCACCTCCTTGAGCTCGCCCCGGGCGGCCCGAAGTTCTTGCTGGGCGGATTCCAGCCCCGCATTGGCTCTTGCCGCCGCGGTCTTCTTCGCCTCTTCCAGCTCGGCGGTGACGTCCGCCAGCTCCTGCTTCAGGACCGCCCTTGCCGACTCCGCCAGCCCAACCTCCGCCTTCAGTTGGGAATTAGCTGCCTTCAGAGAGGCAGCTTCTTCTTCCAACGTCAGAACGTTGGCTCTCAAGGCCTCTTCGGCAGCGGCCTTGCCACGGACAGCTGCCTCAACCTCCGCCACGCCACTGTCGGCGGCGGCGGCGGGCAAGGCAATTGCTGCGGCAAGGCGCTCCTCGAGCACCTTGATCTGGGCGTCCTTCGCGACGATGTCGTCGGCGAAGTCGGCATTTAACTTGGCGATGTCGCCAAGGTCCTCCTCCGCTTGCGCTTCTTGGTCCGCAAGCGTCTTCTTGAAGTCCGCCTTCTCGACTTCCAGCTTACGCTGGAGCGCATCGGCTCGCTCCTTCTCAGACGCAACGGACCACAGAAGACCGGCCTTCTCGTTGCTGGCAGCAGCTCTCTCCGATGCGAGGGCAGTTGTTAAAGCTTCGACTTGCGTATGAAGCTTTTCGGTCGCATCGGCGTCGGAAGTGTTCGCGGTCGCCGTGTAAACCAACTCCACCCAATCATCTTTTGGCAGTTGCGAGATCCATAATGCCAAGATCGTCAGTGATATGATAATGGCCGGTAGAGATGATAGGATGTCTCTCGTGAAGGACGGAAGGAGGAATTGTTGGAAAGGTCTTTGAGGCATGATAGGCAATCCTGAGACGTCTTGTTTGCGAAAGCTGTGAAGTGGAGGTCTTTCTCTGAGAATTGTGAAGAGGTGACTTTGTGTCCGAAAACTGTGTAGCGGGGAGGCCTTTCTCTGAGAGCTGTGAAGAGGTGGGTTTTTCTCTGAGAATTGTGAAGGGTTGACCTTTTCCTGAGGACCGGCAAAGAGGTGATCTTTCTCTGAGGGTTGTGAAGAGGCGGTCTTGTTTCTGAGAACTGTAGAGAAGAGGGCTTTTCTCTAAGAGCTGTGTTTTGGTGATCTTTCTCTGAGGACTGTGAAGAGGTGACCTTTCTGTGAGAACGGTGAAGAGGTGATCGTGTTTCTGAGAACTGCAGAGAGGAGTTTTCTTCTGAAAAGTGTGGATGGTGATCTTGCTCTGAGAACGGTGAAGAAGTTATCTTTGTCTTAGGAGTTTGAAGACGTGATCTTTCTCTGAGAACTGTGAAGAGGTGACCTTTCTCTGAGGACTGTGAAGAGGTGACCTTTCTCTGAGAATGGTGAAGAGGTGATCGAGCTTCCGAGGACTGTAGGGTGGTGATCTTGTTTCTGAAAGCCGTCGAGAGGAAGTCTTTTTCAAAAAAGTGTGAAAGGTGATCTTGCTCTGAGAATCGTGAAGAAGTGATTTTATTTCAGGAGTATGATGAAGACGTGATCTTTCTCTGAGAAGGGAAGAGGAGGGATCGTAGAAGATTGTGCTGGAACTCAGTCCGAAGGTCACCGGCGCTTGAAGCTCTGGTGAGGTCACCGACGCAGGATCTCGCACAGAAAACGGCTGAGATAGCGCTTCGGTGAGAAGAAGAAGTTCTTGAAAAAGTTGAGATTGAGCAAATAGCAGGTGCAATTGAGGAGCTTGCAGTAGCAGAGGTTGTGGAAGAGGTTGAAGGTGTTCGAAGAAGTGGGAAAACATGAAAGAGAAAGGTCACTCACAGAACTGCCTCGACTGATTGCGGGTTGTAGGTGAAGACAGAAGGCTGCCAAGCGGCGGTGTGATATTTGCGGCTTCACCATGAATGAGGTGCCTGAATAACATCCTGCCAGACCCGATCACAACAATAGCGGATACAGTACAATCGCTGTTATTGAGTCCGCCCAGACCGAGCTTGAAGGGCTCCGGTCTCCGACGACGTTGAAGAGTGTCCCTTTTGAAAAATCAGGATGGTCGATATTCAAATGAACAAGTTCAACCTGATAATGTCGCTCTCCACCGTGGCCACCAGCTCTACTAGTCGCCTAACAGTGGCTGGCGTTCTCCCTTGCCGTTTCCGCGCCCATTCTTCCGTTTCCGCCGCTTTTTCTTCTTCGAGTCATCTTCGGGACGGTCGTTCGGATTGTCTTGGTTACCGCCTCGAAGTTTTGTGGTAAAGTAGTTCTTGCTCTCGTCATATGCATGCTGCCCCTTGTTCGCCCCAGAATTGTCTTCCTCCTCGTTCGACTCGCTGCTCGATGTCATCTCAAGGACTACCTTCCGGAATCCGTTGGTGTCGACAATGTTTTCCGTGATACTACCACTCCTGGCAGGACCTTTGTGATGGTAGTAAGGGCTTCTTGACTGCTGCCGGGATTCGGGCAAGCTTCCTACGGTGCTTTGACTGCCCATGGTCCTGACTGATGGCCGTTCTTGATTTATATCTTGGACAGGAGTGCGAGGGTGTTCGAGATCGGTTTCCAGTGGCGGCCCTGCTTGGACCGCTTTATTGGCGCTGTGCGGTCTTCTTTCACTCGGCGAGCCGGATATGGTATCATAACCCTGCTTCAAGGCTTGCACGCCACCACTGGCGTTTTTACCGCCAGAACTGAGCAAACCTTCTCCGATGCCACTCTGATATTCCGAGGCGGATTCCGATATGCGGCGGGCAGGAGTTTGCCGGCCGTCCGGCTTCGACGTGGTTCCGGTTCCTGGCTTGATCTTCACTGTGTTGTATCGGGTCGATCGCGGCCTGCTGGCCAAGTTGGATGGACCGAGATGCTTCAGGTGCTCCTTGACTTCGTCTGTGCTTGCAGTTCTCCGACCAGGTTTATTCTCTCCACCCACACTGTTTGCACTTGAGCGTCTCCTAGCGCCCACAATGTCCTTCTTTTTGGGCGGATTGTCCGCCGTCTTGGCCCGTTGAAGATCATCTTGCGAAAGTATTTCGCTTTCGGCAATATCGACCAAGTCTGGAGCGGCGCCATTGACGGTTGAAGGCTCGTCAGGAAGGATAAACGTCTTTGGAATGCGCCTGAATGGCGCTGCCATTGATCGGCGAATGGCTTTGTGTACGTCAACAAAGACGTCAGATTCATCCACGATTTCCTCCCCAATCAGCTCTTCGATCACGTCTTCAAGCGTCACCACGCCAATCGCACCATGGTCCTCGCCTGGATACTCGGACACAAGCACCATGTGAGATTTGCCCTCCTGGAAAAAGTTGACAATGTCAAGGCAGCTCGTGTCAGGACGTGTTTCTGGCAGGGTAGCTAGGGCGAAGTCTCGGACTGGTTTAGCGTCTTCAGGGTCATAGGTGATGAGCATCTTCACAAGCAGCATGCCGACAAAATTGGAGTCATTGTCTGGGTGGTGAATGGGTATTCGGGAATATCCTTGGGACAGAACCTCGTCCATTGTGGCTTCATCGAGGACATCATCGAGCGACAAAGTGAAGACATCGTCCATCGGCGTCATGATACTGCCGATAGGCTTGTCCTTGAGGTCCAGGACTGCACTAATAATGGTCACCTCATCCGCATTGAGTTGTTGTCCGGCGTCCCCCAAGCTCCTATGCAGGGAGACAAGTGTCTTCAATCCCGCCTTCTTGTACGTAGTTCCATGATCTTCTCCCAGCAGGTAATCGAGGAGCTTAGCGGTCGGCCATCCGACAGGAGCTAGGAGCCACATGAGGGCCTGGACAAATGGTGCCATAAAAGCACCAATTGGCAAGCCGTAACGAACGCAAACGGACTGAGGGGCAATTTCGCCGAAGATCACTTCGCGTCATCAGCACAGGACTTCAACGGACGGAGACGAGAAGGGGAGGACATACCAATAAGCACAGTCGAACCCAGAACAGCAGGCCATCCGCCACCGAGGGACCGATCCAGCACGATGGGTAAGGTCTCGTTCGTGATGACATTGCTCAACAGCAAAGTGACAAGAACCCAATGCTTCCCACTGCGAAGCAATTTTAGCACCTTTGCAGCATGCGCCCTCTCTTTGCCTTCACCAGAATCCTTTATAACCTGGAGATAGATCTCATCCTATGGGCGAATATCAGTGTCTGAATATGACACGGGGGCATCCTTGCACTCACTTGACCCATCAACGCTATTGTCAGACCCGCAAACGCTCCACCTAGCAGCACCAGCACCGCTGCGACAGTCAAGTATATCCATAGGCTTGGATCATCTGCAGGTTTTGCCTCTGGTTCGTCGGCTGCAGAGAATAGGTCTCTTGCGAGGAGCGGTGCGGCTTGTACAATTGGTAACCGTCCGAGCGAAAGGAAGAGGGCCTTTGCAAGGCCCAGGATCAGTGGCCGCCGGGCCAGGTACGAGTTCGTGGTTCGTGTGTTCATACTGCGATCAGAGCTGAGAGTTCGACTTCGACATTTTCAATGGTTGGTAAGAGCTTCTTTCAGTGTTCAATCGTTTCGTACCACGTTAGGGGGGTGTGGTTCGGGGGCGACGGCAGATCAGAAGCTATGCGTGTTGATCTGAATCTGTCGTCCACGTGAAAGAGGTGAGTCGGGTGGTTGTGGGTAGAGAGTTGAATGATTGGCGGAGCGAGCGGCTTCGCAGCAGACGACGATGGAAGGTTTGTGGAATCGCTTTCATAAGTATTACGAGGACAGACCTTCGGAGTACGGGCGTCTACTCAGCCGCAGATTAATTTGAGCTTGAGGACTCCGAATGGAGTACTATGAATGCCTATTTGATGCTCGACGAAGCTTGTAATAGACGAGACTTGTGGTAGGCTGCACCACAGCTCTACACAGTATTCAGTCCATCTCCGCCTTTCACTAGCATCGTTTACGCGTCATTGTCCACGCAGGCCAATGGGCTGTCAAGGACGCAATTTCGACGAGCTAGCTACGGGCGAGTAAACGACCTTCCAATGGTAGTGACGTTCGCCTCCACGAGCCGGCACCGGCGTCGTCGCAGGGTGGATGCCGGGCTGCCCGCCACTCACTGAACCAGACGCGGTTATCCTCGGCATCTTCTTCCAGTCATGACAAGGAGGTCTTCAAAAGCCCACAGTTTCCTCTGCGTACTTGCTGACCTCGACGCAAGACAATCTCCCGAGCATTCACAATGTTTGCATGCCGGAGAAGCGGCTCTGTTGTCAGGACGCTGAAGCCGACAGCAATACAGCTTCGCCATGCAAGTCAAGCACCCTCGACCGCCCAACTAAACAAACCCATCGACTTCAAAAAGACAGCTATTCTACACCAATCACAAACCAGTGCTCGGTCAGCCTTCGGTCTCTCGCAAGATGCCCCGGTCGACTGGGTGAATCTTCATGGCGCCATCAATGCTTCTTTGCATCACGCCTTGAAGACCGACGAGAATGTGCTTTTGTTTGGAGAGGACGTCGCATTCGGCGGCGTCTTCCGATGTTCAAAGGGGCTGAGCGACGAATTTGGCACAAGCCGAGTTTTCAACACGCCACTATCAGAGCAAGGAATTGTTGGGTTCGCCATTGGGTGCGCAGCTGAGGGCATGAAACCAATTGCAGAGATCCAATTCGCAGATTATGTCTTCCCAGCCTTCGACCAGTTGGTCAATGAAGCCGCCAAGTTTCGATACCGGGAGGGCGGGACTGGTGGAAATTGTGGCGGGCTCGTCGTCCGAATGCCATGTGGGAGTGTCGGACACGGCGCTTTATACCACTCGCAAAGCCCAGAGTCGCTATTCACGCATATTCCGGGTTTGCGAGTGGTGATGCCGCGATCACCAAGTCAAGCCAAGGGTCTTCTGACAGCATCAATCTTGAGCTCGCGCGATCCCGTCATCTTCATGGAACCGAAAGTCCTGTATCGCGCAGCAGAGGAGTTCGTCCCGAGAGACCCGTACACTTTACCACTCGACAAGGCCGAAGTCCTGAAAACAGGCAAGGACCTCACAGTCGTCTCTTACGGCCAACCACTTTACCTCTGCTCGGCCGCAATCGAAGCCCTAGAAAAGGAGATCAAAGGGCTGTCTATTGAGCTTATCGACCTTAGGGCTATCTACCCTTGGGATCGGGCCACGATCATGGAAAGTGTCAATAGGACAGGCCGCGCAGTCGTGGTGCACGAGAGCATGTACAATGCCGGTGTAGGCGCAGAGGTCGCTGCAAGTATCCAAGAAAGGGCCTTCCTCAGGCTTGAAGCGCCCGTGGCAAGAGTCACTGGCTGGAGTACTCATCCTGGATTAGTATTTGAGAAGTTCAATATTCCGGATATAACAAGTGAGACTACCTGGCCTTCGTGAAGGCAAGACAGGCTGACTGTGCTCTAGGAATATACGACGCGATGAAGAGAACCTTGGAGTATTGAACTCAGTTGAACCAGGTTCTATGCGGGCATTAGGACCAGAAAGTGACACTTGCTGGGAGTCCCAGATGCTGCCTCCCTCTGTGATAGGATGCGCTAGCCTGGTAGCATACAACGAACTGATCTCGCGGAGTTCCGCAGACCGGAAGCCAGGCCGGCCATAGCTAGCAAGGCGCCGGTTCGTACGCCAAGCAATTGAGATTATACTGCCGTGGAGAGCCACAAGCAGCTTGGGGCTACAGAGTCATCCTCAACAAAACAACCGGTCGAGGTCACGGGAAGGAGTGCTAGGCCCGGCCAGGAATGCAATCAGACCAGGCTTGTCCGCTCCGACATGTGGAAATGAAGGTGACAGGGTTACTATTCCATGCATGGACAATGGGTGGGCAATGGAAGACGGGAGTCTGAGAGACAGTGCTGGCATGTACAAAGTCGATGCAAATCGACGAGTGTGAAACGCGAACACGCTTCGCTGCTCATAACAGGCAAATGCCGAGCACTTCTGAGAGTACTGGTGACGAAGAGATGCATTTTCTAACCCGGAGCACAATTCATTCTATCCAAACTGGCCGAGCAGATCGTATCTAAGCGCGAGACCGCATTCAATGAAATATGCGTCCCCGTCATCGGTGCATTATTTTTTGCCCTTGTCGTTCCTCCAACCGCACAAGAAACCCGTAACCTAGTACTCCTCCTTGAATACCATGACCTTCGGCTGTTCGGTGCCGCTGTTCTCGTCGACTTCAAAATACGCCCTAAACAGCCCTCCGCAATTGAAGTCAAAAACCACACGCCCTCGCCGCTTCTTCGACCTCAAATCACTCCCTGCCTTGTCACCACATATTCTATCAGGTTCGTCCTCACTCACCACCTCGATCCCAATGATTCCACCCTGGCCCTCTCCGGTCTTCCCCCACCGGTCGCCCGCCGAGCGCTGCAACTGGCCTTGTCGTCCAGCAATAACCCTGACTGCGTCGGTGAGAGGGGCAGGCGGATAGTCCAGGCGACATATTGAGGCAGCCGTGCGGCAGGCGTTCACTCGAATGAATGAATCGCCGTTGCCCGTGCCGCTCATCGCGACTGCGCGACGACGTTGGCGAACGGCTTGTCGAGTCTCAGCACTATGCGGATCGGGGAAGGAAGGAGATTGGTAGGTACGGTGAGCTGCAGCGGGTGGGGCGCTGTAAGAGGGAGGAGGACCTTGCTCTTGATAGTACGGCGGTAATTCTTCCGGCTCAACCACAGCAAGGCAGGATCCCAAGAGGCTGCTGGTATGGGTCCAGACTCGATCCAGAACTGGGGCCCTCCTCCGTAGGTCGAATAGAAACTGTTGCGATGGTTGCAAGCCTAGAGTGAAATTGTTGGCGTTGTTGTAGGTATCTTCGTGCCAGGCTTCGGCCCAGAACCCGGCGCCTACGGTCGGCGTATCACCTATTCTGCCTGCTTTCTTGTTTGTCAATCCTCCAGTCGAAGTCGCAACCGCCAGATTACCCCAAGAATCCAGACACACGGCGCCGACCGTCCCCTGGCTAGGGAACTCCTTCACTCCATCCAAATCGTCCTCGTCTGCTTGAACACGCTCCGATAGGGGATCGACTGATGAAATGAGATCGGCGAAAGTGTACGACGTGTTATGATTGAGGCCTCTTCTGTGCTCCTCCCATCGTCGGCGGGTCCAGAACCAACAATCTGGCTTCTTCTCGAGTGCCTTCTCTTTCCACCCCCATTCTTCAACGTCTCTACCGCTCAGATGGCAGTGCATGGTACTTGTGCCTCCCAGTCCGCCGTCTTCGTCAGCCGTCAGCAAAACTTCCTTGGCCAACAAAATGGGGTGTCTCGTATTTCGGATGAGACTGACAGCAGCAGCACGCTTTACACCACCGGCAGGGGCGCCCGCCGGATCGACAGAACAAACCATGACACTTGCCTCCATTTCAATAGTGCCTTTTTCTGTAAAGACCGACCCTCGTCCGCAGTTGAACAAAACATCGTCTTCGAGCAGTGTAACAGCGTGACAGGCAGCATCGAGCGCGGAGGCGCCCGAGTCAAGCAGCCCTCTTGTCACTGTCAGGTATCTGGAAAGGGAAGCACGGTATCGTGTCCATAGCTCTGGAGGGAGGTTGGCACGAGAAAGGGCGCCAGCTCCGCCATGGAGGATCAGCGTTGGTTTGAATGGACCGAGACTTGATGTGTTTTGGGTCATTTTCATGGATGCACCGAGAAATAATTAGAGATGAGCTTCAGGTGTTTTTGTGGAGGGCGTGATCTGAGTCTCGAATCACGCCATCGGCAACCGAGTGGCCGGTGATGGGAAGCCGGAAATGTGTCCTATGAGTCAGGCAGAGGAATGATTTTGCTTCCACTTCAATGTGGGTTGCGAAATGATGAACTCAACGAAAAGTGAATGATGAATGCCACCTGATTTAGCGGACTTGTGAGGAAAGACTGAAAGAAGACCCGGGGGGCTCTGGTGCCTATAGAATTAGGCGGCGTTTACCTGGAGCTGCCGCTTAAAATGTGCCAAATCGGCGAATCAGGGTCCGAGACACGTCCAACTCCGACACCTATTCGCCACGAGACGCGGGTAAGAGTGACCAACCAACCGTCCCAGCAACTCCTTTCCTTGCTTGTTCTTACCTCATGGTCAAATCGTTTCCCTGGCAGTCTCTTTTCTATGGCCTCATCTGACTGTGTCAAGCAGACTGGGTTACTCGACTCAAACCCACCGTTGTCGAGAGAACCGCAGGCCCTTGACGACTCAGATGAGGACACGACCTCCGACGCTGAGGAACCTTCCTCTACCTCCATCCCATCTAACTCCGTGAAACACCCAATCCATCGGGTCAATGCCCCGGGTAGCGTCCAGGCTCTCGCAATCGATGATGACGTTCTCTTCGCTGGGACTCAAGGAGGGAATATTGTCGTCTGGTCACTCGAAACCTATGAGCTGCTAGCATCTGTGGCCGCCCACAAAGAGAGCGTGCTTAGCTTGGTCCTATCTGAGGACAAAACACTCCTTTTCTCGAGTGGTGCCGACTCGATTGTGAATATCTGGTCCACAGAGTCCTTGCAGAGGCTGTACTCCTTGTATTCGCACTTCGATATTGGCGACGTCTTTTGCTCAGCTCATTCGTTGAGGACCCAGACACTCTTCTGGGGCGCCCAGAATGCCAGCATTCAGTGGTACAAAATCAGCACTGAAACTAGTTTGAAGTCTCCGGTGACATTCTCGCCGGGCTCCCGAAAACACCGCTTTTTTGACTCGCTCGGGCCTGGAGGCATTACCAATGCAGTCTCGGATGAAGATGGTCCAAACAGCGATCTGGGTGGCCGCGTCCTGACGATTCCGAGCCAAGACTATCTCCCATACGCTCACAAGAGCTACATCTACAGCGTCCTGCTGGTGAAAGGAACATGCGCTCACGACAAGGATGTAGAAGTCCTCATCACCGGAGGTGGCGATGGAACGATCAAACTATGGAAAATTGACAACCTGTCTTCTTGCGGACCCACACAAATCACCAAGTTCAAGACTCCAGGCTTGAGTGTCTTGAGCCTCGCGTACCGGGGCTTGTTTCTCTATGCCGGCTTGTCGGACGGGACCGCCAACATCTACAATCTTGCTTCAAATCAACTCGTGCAAAGGTTACAAGTGGGCCACGGTGATGTGAGCCAGATCATCTTGAGCACCGATAGCATTTGGTGCGGAACGAGTGAAGGATGGATCAAGGTGAGAAACCTAAATCATGGACAAGGGTCGTGACTGACGCCCGGTCAGCGGTACAATGACCATTTCATGGAGACAGAGTCCTGGCAAGCTGCGAAAGGCAAGATCCTTGCTTTGGGGATAATAACCACTCCTGATCACGATATTCTCGTTTCAGGCGGCAATGATAGTCTCGTCTCTTTCTGGAGCGGTCGCGCTGGCTCTGACGACCCCGGTGCTGCATCTGCAAGAAGCAACGGTGAGCATGCCCGCAGTTTATGCCTGCTTTGGAGGTGCTGACTGTGGTCAGATGAACTCGTGAACTCTCTACGAGAATTTGTCGCTTTTCGCACAGTGGCATCAGCCCCAGCGTATGTTCGTGACTGCCATGAAGCTGTGACGTTCTTGCGGAAGAAATGCAACACCTTCGGTGCTAACACACATCTCTTCTCACCTCAACAAGGTGTCAATCCCATACTATTGGCGAAGTTTCCGGCGTCCAACCCTTCAGCTTCAACCCGGTCCATCTTGTTCTACGGCCACTACGATGTTGTTGATGCCGAATGGGACCCGAACAATCCACATCCAACATGGTATGGTGATCCATTTGCCCTGCAACCTTTGAGTAGCTTTCTCTATGGTCGCGGTGTGACCGACAACAAGGGCCCCATCTTGGCGGCCATATATGCCGTGGCTGATCTTGTCCAAAACGGCACGCTATCGTGCAACGTGACCTTTCTCATCGAAGGCGACGAAGAGGCTGGCTCTCGTGGTTTTCGTAAAACAGTTGAATCAGCCCACGATGCTATCGGCCCTGTTGACTTCATCCTGTTATCCAATAGCTATTGGCTTGATGACCATATCCCCTGCCTCACGTTCGGTATGCGAGGCGTCATCCATGCCAGCATCACTGTTTCATCTAACAAGCCAGACCTGCACTCTGGAATGGACGGAAAGTCCGTACAGCACGAACCGCTTAAGGACCTCGCAGTCCTTCTTGCCACGTTGATCGGTCCATCCGGCACCCAGGTCACTATTCCAGGCTTCTACGACAGCGTGGATGAACTTTCTGAAGATGAGGTAAAAGGCTACGCTTCGATCACTTCATCCCTCCTGCCTGGACATCCAGAAATCAAGAATGAGAAGTCTTTCGCCCTTTCACTTATGCAGCGCTGGAGATACCCTAATCTGACTGTACATCGCATTGAAGTCCCAGAAGCAAAAACAGCTGTCACTATATCGGGCTCTGCAAAAGCAACACTGTCGATAAGGATCGTGCCCTCTCAGACAGCCGAACAGATTGCACAATCCTTGACACGATACATCAAGGACGAGTTCGCCAAGCTGCAAAGCTCCAACACTCTCACGGTTGCCATTACCTCAAAGGCAGATCCTTGGCTCGCAGATGTGAGAAGCGAGATCTACGAGGCTCTCAAAGACGCTATCGTGGATATATGGAATCCCGACGTTGCAGTATCTCAACAGCGGGCATTCAAGATAGCCGACGACATTAAGAGTAACCCATCTACGCCCTCTCGCCCTGTCCCTGCACCCACCTTTTCGTCTCCGAAGTCTCCCACATCTAACAAGAACCCATTCTATCCGAACTCCTCATCGTCATCCACGCCTACTCGCCCCTCACACAGACGGGCTTCCTCGTTAGCGGCCACTGGTTCCTTCCCTCCTTCAGCACTTCCGCGTGAACCACTGTTCATCCGCGAAGGCGGCAGCATTCCGGCAATTTCATTCCTAGAACACGAATTTAAAGCCCCAGCAGCAATGTTCCCCATGGGACAGGCGAGCGACAATGCCCATCTGGATAACGAGAGGATGAGAGTGGAGAATCTGTACAAGGGACGGGAGGTGTTGAAGAGAGTGTTCGCCAGACTGTGATTCTGAAGGCCATGGAGCGACCTTCGAGCAGAACTAGCGTCCCACAAATGCGGGCATTCGATGTCGACGACTTGAGCAGCGCTTCTTACCATATACGATTACGCGAAAAGGCAATCCTGAGCATTGGCGTCAGTTTGGACGGGGTGATGAGTGTATAATACGTGTGGTCTCATATTTCAAATACAGGGTCACCCAGAAAAGTGCGACCCGAGCATCGCCGCTGCACTGCATTCAGGATCCTAAATCTTAGACGGCCTCCTGGGCTTTGCCCTGGGGTTTGTGAGCGCCGCCTCCACAGCCCAGTCACTCAAATAGAGCGGCGACTCTGTCTCGAGCAGGAACACGGTCATGCCGTCTGTCATCAACTTGGTCGGCTTCAGGTCGGCGGTCCGCGCTTTCTCGAAATCCTCTTCCGTCGCTCCTATGACGCAGTTCAGTACACTGAAAGGGAACCGAACAAAAAACCGACCGGCATCATGCAATAATAAACAAGGGCATTACTACAGTGGTACGTACCATGCGTCGTCATTGGCGGATGGAGCCCTGCCACGAAAGGCTTGAATTCCCGCCCCTCGTTGAAGGGGTGCTTCTTGTCCTGCTCGGTGATGATGGGTGCGAAGAACTCACTCATCGTATTCCGATGGTAGTACGGCAGCCAGAATGTATCCTCGGCGACCTGCCATCGGGGCGGAATGATGGCAAAGTCCAAGACGGCGGTGCCGGGCTCGCGGTGCGATGGTACCGTGAGGACGACGTACAGACTGGGGTCGTGTTCGTCGAATGCGACGTTGCCGAGCACGCAGAACCGCGCGAGATCATACTTGTAGGGGTAGAAGGTGCCGTGCCAGGCCGCCACGTCAAAGGGCGTGTGGTCCTGAGTGCAGTGCCAGAGGCGGCCCGCCTGGCGGGAGATGATGGTATACTCGGCGTTACGTGCCACAGCCACACCGTCCTGGAGCGAGCCGTCAAAGTGCGCGGTCGGGATATGGAAGTCTCGGACGTTGGCCAGGCCCGTGGAGCCTATGGCGCCTAGGTCGGGCAGGCGGAAGTGCCCCTGGAAGAGCTCGCAGATGTAGCCGCGGCAGGGACCTGAGGGCAGGGTCACACGGTAGCGGATACCACGAGGGATGACGCAGATCTCATTCTGTCGGACGAGCAGGTTACCGAGCTCGGTTTGGATGTCCAGGGCGCCGGATTGCGGAATGATCAGGGAGTCGCCGTCGAGGGAGGAGAAGACGGTGTTGGGTTTCATCGACTCGGTCGTGGAGAAGAGCCAGATGGCCAGACCGGTCTTGGTCGCCGGGTCGCCATTCCTGGCTAGAAGGTGCTGCGAAAGCCAGTCGGAACTGCCTGACAGTGGGATGGCAGGCCACATGTAGGAGTTGGGCGTGAGCGTGCTGGGTGTCTTCGGCGTGGGTGTGGCAGCGGCAGTGGATTCTTGATGGTACGGGACGAAGTCATCGTGATCCAGGGATGAGGTGGCTCGGTACATCCATGTCTGGAGGTTATAGTCTCGCGGTGCTGTGAAGGAGCTGCCGCTTATTCTCTCCGTGCGAAGGCCATAGGGAGGTCGTTGAGGAGTATTGTTCACGAGCGGATTGGCTCCAGGAATGGCCTCTGATCTTGATACGCACTGTCAACGGAATTTGAATGGCAAAGGATATGGATTGTGCTTACGAATGGTAGTTCCCAAACCCCTGTAGGTAGGTGTAATTGTCCTTGATGGCGAAGTCTGTGACAGGCGCCATGTTGATGTCGCGGTGCTACACATACAGAAGTAACATCCCTCGCATTCCTCTAGAGGTTATTATCCTCCAGGAGAGGAGCAGGTTTTTATATCCCGAGTTTCAGCCACCAAGAGTCTGTCTGAACAGGCGACCAAGGTCACTCCCCCAAGAATACAGAGGCATTTCCCGACGCCTTTCGTGAGCAAGTTGACACCCAAGAACCAAGATTGAGGTCAGACGGCGTCTTGTACCCTGTAATCTTTCTTGTTTTGGGAAATGCGGGGGGATGCATTTCCCAAGGCCTTCAGCTTCCAAGGCTGCGAACATCCGAGGCACAAGAGCAGCTGCTGTATGTACTGTGTAGGCCTGCCTTCTGTTGATATAAAGCCGTCGCCAGCTCGCTAGACCTGTCGGGAACGTCGATGTCGAAATCAAAATGTCTTCCCCTGTGACGCAGATAATCTACTTGACAGTCGATCCGGATAGAGATCTCACAAACCCGAGATGTGAAGCCGGCAGAAGATGGTCTGAAGCATTGGATTTGCTGGAAGGGCACGGCGGCTTCCGGCGCCTGTACTGGGGTCGATCGCCAGAAGACAGGTCCAAAGTCCAGCTGCATATCGGTCGGTACACACATTTTCATTCCATGGAAGGACTGTATGAGCGCGGATGCTGCTCTGGCAGAACGTACCCGGTTGCTCCTTGCTCGCCATATTACCGTAGCATCTGTGCGTGCGCAGACTAACGGATGGGGATTTGACAGTTCGAGAGCAACTCTCACAGCACCAGGACTTCCTCAACTCGCCCCGATTCTCGAAATTCCAAAGCATCCTACAAGATGTGGTTGATTCTCCGACGAGTGTGTCGGTCCGTCATGCGTACATCAAGGAGTTTACTCCCAACTGTCAAGCCTTGGGAAAGGGCGCCCCCGTCACTGGGTCGGCGATCTATGTGTCCACGGATGCCGCGTGGCATGAAGGTGCTTGGCCGCTGTGGACGCATATCGTGAGATATGTGGATGGCTGTCTGGGCTGCGCAGGTGGCCCGGTCCTCGAGGCCGTTGACGGGCACGACAACTCGTACATTGTGTACGTTGGCTGGGAGAATATCGAGAAACATGAGGCCTATCATCATACCAAGCACTTTGAGCATCGGAGAGTCATTCTGGGTTTGGGCAATAAGGGATATCGAGAGTATGGGCACATCAAGTTTGAAGGGTCCAGAGAGCCCACTGCGTGGCGGCTGTGAACAGTGGTTGAAGAAATGGCATCCCATCGGTCAGCTTGCCAACGAGCAATACGGACTTGCGCAGCGTCTATCTCTTGCAAGGAGATTTGGTCATGCGCCGTTGGGATTCTCCGTGCAGGTCGTGATGGTCTCCATTGATCAGTCGCTGTGGTCGCTTGTTTCGCACGTCTCGCATACCCAGTACTTGTTACTGCGGACGGAAGAAATACCCCAGGTTTTCCGCTAGGTGATGCCAAAATACGGGTAGGTGGCCCGAAATAGGCTGTTGTGGCTGTGTAGCGGTGCCCTGCGGTGCCTAGACCGACTGCAAGGTACCGGGTCCTAACTGGATGGGGCTCTCGGGGCTCGCAGCGGGGCCTGAATCACCACCCATTAGGACGAAACATCCATCACTCCACCTCATCTGGTCGACCGCCATTCAACTTCATTGGACATGTCCATACGGTTTCAGACTTGATTCATCCGACGCTATTGCTGACGTTGTCCTGATCGGCCGCTCAGAAACATGGGGCGAAGCTCTGGCCAGTGAGCCAGTGCCCGCCGGAGGAGATTCCTTCTCTGCCCTGCCACCCCAGATGTCCCCGTACGCGCGGCTGCATGCTGGGCGCATGTTTCGTGCACCAGGTTTGTTCAGCGCTCAGCCGCAGCAGAAGTCAAATCAATCCGTCTCGTCAAGGTCAGAAGCTGGGCTTATGAACCTTCTGCTTGTTCTGTTGACCGTTTCGCTTGCTGTACTGTTTCCATTACTGCTCTTTCTTTGTGCTTTGGATTTCGCTCGTTTGACATTGGTTGAGTTGGAATAACCACACAGCGACAGCATCGGCGAAAAGCGAGCGAGCACTTCATCCTACACCTCTAGTTTCATTCCAAGATGATGTTACGGCCTCTAGTATCCTGCCTCTCCTTCCTGAGCCTCAGTACTGCAGCGTCAGTCAACCCGTCGATATGGGGACGCCAGTCGACCGCCTGCAATAACTCGCCTTCCCTCTGCTCGAAAACCTACGATAGCATCGTCCACCTGGGCGCCCACGACTCTCCATTCCTTCGAGACGCCTCGACGGGATTTTCAACCTCGGGCAATCAATACTATAACTCCACTGTCCAACTGTCAGCTGGCGTGCGTCTGCTCTCGGCACAGGTACACCAATCTAACGGAGAATACCATTTGTGCCATTCATCCTGCGATCTGCTGGATGCTGGAATCTTGTCGGACTGGCTGGAAGAGATCAAGGCGTGGCTAGACAGCAACCCGAACGAGGTCGTGACTATCCTGCTCGTCAATTCCGACGACGCCACGCCGCAAGACCTGGGTGCGCACTTCACCGCAGCGAGGATCACAGACTATGCATATGTCCCGCCTTCCACAAGCGTACCCCCGTCCGCGGGAGCATGGCCTACACTGCAGGAGTTGATCAACGCAAATAAACGCCTGATGGTCTTCGTCGCATCCCTTGCCAACCCAGCCCTCATACCGACGGAATATGCGTACCTGATGGACGAGTTTTCGTTTATATTCGAGAACCCGTTCGAGAACGTTGATCCTAGTGACTTCACCTGCGTCCCCGAGCGGCCGTCGAGCGTGCAAGGAAATAGCCAATCTGCAATTTCGTCGAATCGCATGGCTCTCATGAACCACTTCCTCTACAAGGAGGGCCTCTTCGACATCGAAACTCCCGATGTGGACAAGATCAATGTCACAAATTCACCGGGCAGCAGCATAGGCAATCTCGGCTACGCACTTTCCACCTGCAATTCTCAATACGGCAGACCGCCGACGTTCACTCTTGTGGACTTTTTCGACGAAGGACCGGCCATCGCTGCTGTGGACGCCGTGAATGGAGTGTCATCACCCGTTGGACGGACACCGGTGCCTCCGCGAGACACCAAGGAGGATCTTGACCAGAGTCAGTCGAGTTTCCAAGGTGTCGTGGATTTGGCCAACGACGTTAAAGACGGGAAGAAACCTAGTGTTGGGGCATGGATCTGGGCTGCGGGACAGTGGACCTTTGGTGGGATCAACCTGAGCGGCGGAAATGTTGTGGAATAAACATGAGTGTCCGACAACGGAATACCGAAATGATCTGCGAAGTGTAACGTGACCCGTCCACCAAGTGACGGACGGCTATCGGCGTTACGGGGACCAAAATTGATGATACCACACGACATGATTGATATGTTTCTGGAATAGGCCGAGCCCGGGCGGATTTTAATACCACAATACGAGATACGGCCGAGTTGCCATCAAAGGACACAGAGCTCGCGGTAGCGTTGGGCCGGGATCGATCCAGAATCCCTCACAGTCCCCTCAGCCGTTTTCCACCGGTTCAAGGTCAGGAAGATGGCCCTTTTCAGTACGGCCCAGTTGTCAGTGCAAGGGATATTGCATCAGCGTGGAAGCGCGTCAACATGCATGCGGGGGGGGAACGAGGACGCACAACCATTGAAGATTCCTCAGCATCACTTGCGGAGGCGAAAGGATTTCGCGACGGCGAGGGATGCCCACGATGATCTCATCTGCTGTCGGGTGGATGGCAGTTCTGTTGACGATGTTTGTCCTTGCGGCAGTTGAACAAGACGAAGCACCAATGCGAGACTCCCTTGCCCTTGAGCCAGGACAGGTCCTCAGATCGACTCGCGGATGCTGATCCATGATTTAAGAGAGGGAATACAGATCAAATAGACTCTCCACAACGCTTATGGCTGGTCTCGTCTGGCTTGATGACAGACAACTTGAGCGCTATGATGGAGTTGGGAAATGTACAGCCATATCGGCAAGCGAAGGTCCTCCACGCCCAACTGTGGCTAAGTTGTGGTGGTGCAGGTGCAAGAAGAAAGGAACCAAAGGCTATAGCTAGAGTATTTCATACCAACGAAAGTCGATGTCTTCTCCGTAGTGTCAATGAGGACGCGGCTGAGTGCACATATGGAGCTGCGTGGCCGCTACGGACAGTACTGCAACTCATCCAATATATGCTATCATTGATGGGATCATTCCCGGGCCCTTCTCCCTGGATCTTCGATGGGAGTCATCCTGAAGTCAGGCAGCTTCCCTTCACTTGTGTCTATTCTCTTCCCCGCAGTGTCACTCAATCCTCGCGTGGCAATAGCTGGGCAAGGCCCGGGGTACGAGTACGAGTGACGAGCATCTTCTCACGTCTTGGCTCCAGATTACGTTGCAGTGCATTTTCAAATTGTGGGGAGCTTCATTCTCTTCTGCCCCGTCTGCTTCTCTGCTGCGTATTCCACCGACCGTGTGCACAGCCGAGATATCTCTTGCGAGTCATTCACTTGATTCGCGCCCGTATCTCGCTCGTCCAGCATGGACTACTTCAAATCACTTGTGGGCGGCAAGCCGTCGCAGGCGCCCATTGTCGCGGAAGATGCAGGTAAACAAAAGCCATTTTGTCCCAAGGACCAGCGCATCATGCAATAATATATACTCACCCGTTTCGTATCCAGACTTCGCCGACTTCGCCGCAGCTCCTCCTCCGTCGCCGGTTTCCATCCCCGCCTCGCCAGCCGATGCGCAAGCAGCAAGTGCTACGGGAGCCAATCTCGCGGCAGGAGATCTGCCCCGGAAGATGATCTACACGAAATGGTACCGAGTGTGGGAGCGAACGCAGCTATCCGACTTCACCATGGAGGCCATCCTCATCCCTTTCATCCTGCTTGCTATGCTGGTACACTTTTGGGGGACGAGGACGAACCGGCGCAAGGCGCGGAAATGGATCGCCGTGCATGAACCGTTGCTGGAGCGAGAGTTTGCGCTGGTGGGCTACGCCTCGGCACCGCAAGAGACGACGGAAGCGGCTGCCTCGCCAGTCGACGCAAGCCTCTTCAAGGAGATGGTGAAAAAGAGCGGCAATGGCGTGTCCGAGGATCTGCTCAAGGAGAAATCCGCGTGGGAGTTCGAGACGTACGCGACGGGTCGCCAGAACGTCGCCTTTGCCGACATCAAGATCTCCCTCAAGAGAAGGATGAACCCTCTGGTCTTGATCGCCGAGGAGCTCACGGGCCTCTTCATCGAGAGCGTCAAGCCCAAGCCCGAACGGGTCGAAGCGGTCATCTACACCTTCGACGGCAAGGAGAAGGACTTTGTGCCCCCGCCAGTGCCCGGCTCCGAGGAGACAGGCAAGCAAAAGGGAGTCGGCAACTCGAGCTACGACCCTTTCGTCTTCGCCGTGGTCAACAAACTCGCCATGCGCCGCCTGCGCGACGAACGCTACGACCTCTCCCTCACCTTCACCAAGGACAACGCCAAACTGCCGGAGTGGACCACGGTCATGAGCGAGTCGGCCGAAATCAGCGAGTGGCTGCTCACCAAGGAACTCGTCGACGCCGTCAAGGAAGCCGGGCCCGACCACTTCCAGTACCTCATCATCACCGACCAGCCGCACGACAAACCCACCAACCTGAACGAGACGGCGCAGAAGAAACGGCTGCACCTGGCCCTCAACCTGCCCTCGTCGGAAGAACACTACCTGCGCACGCTGCCGCTGTTCGCCCTCTTCCTGCGCCTGCCGGACTTTTTGGTCTCCAACGCAAAACTCCGCCCGGAGGTCCTGCGCAAGATCAACGCCATCCGCGACCAGGAGAAGAGCAAACTCAAGAAGATCTCGGACAAGGAAGCCGAAGAGGAGCGGCTGAGGCAGCTGGACAAATTGAAGAAGGAGGAGCGCGACCGCAAGATGAAGGGCATGAGCGCCGAGGAGCAGCGCAAGTTTCTGGATCGCGAGAACGAAAAGCAGCGCAAGAAGAACGAGAAGAAGATGACCCGGCGTGGGTAGTTAGTTGGCTAGAGTAGCTAGCTAGTCTTTTGAGTTTTTCCAAGTGTCCAAGGGCCAGCGTCAGCTGCCAGCAGTGTCAACAGCCAGCAGTGCCAGCAGCGCTGGGTAGCCTGTACATTCACATCCGCCTTCCAGACATCTGGCTGTCGTTGTGTTGCTGTTGCCCGCGGAAGGACTTTCTTGCACATACAGTATACATGTATATATACCGTACCTAAGTACCCAGCGAGCTAGCTCACACGAATGGTGTAAGTACACTCGCTACTAAGTGCACAGGCGTGGCAGGACGTTCGTTGGATCGCTAAATTACAGTACGTGTACTCCGTACTTTAAGGCACCTACTCCGAGTGGTAGTGTCATATGCAGACCGACCGACCAGCTGACTGACTGGCTGGCTGATTGACTGAGTGACTGGACCACAACGGCGTGTCATACATAATAAATCGACTCCTCCGTACTCCGTACAGAGACATCGATATCTAAGAAAACATGAGTTGGATAGATTCGGTCTAATGACATGACAACCTACCTAGACCTTGATCGGATACAGGTATGCAGATTGGGGATACGAGGACTCCGTGCTCCGTATGTACGGACGCATGAAATTCAACTTCAACGCTACAGTACAGCACCATGCAGTACAGTTTACTGGGACGGCGACTTCACACGTGCAGTTGCTCGTTGTGAGCACCGGTAAAGCAACGACCATGACCACGACCATGACCACGACCATGACCATCAAAGCATCCACACGCTTTTCGCGGTCGACAAGATTCTTGCTCCCGTGTGAGTAGCTGAGCGACTAGGTGCACCTATATTCCACTCTAGTCTATACACATATCGTCATATCTTCATCATGCCATTACTCCGTACATTGATGGTACAAAGACTCGCTAGTCGTACTCTGTACCACTAAGCACTATGACCATGCTAGGCCAAATCACTTTTTGTCCACCACGCCCGCTCAATCGCACCTGATAAAAACACGACAAATGGGAAGCAAATACCCCGTCATTGCGCGTAAGCAGGCGGAGGAGGGCTCGCATCTTCCTCTCTCGGCGATGCCGGACCAAAGCTTCCTTTCAGACGTTCCTCTTCATATCGCCTGACCATTTCGTTTGCCATTTTCATCATCCACGCTTGCTCTGCGATAGAGGTGGTGTTTGTGGAACTCGTGACGAATTGCATGAAGTTCGGAAGCCCTGGACGAGAGGGCCCTGCTCGAGAGGGCAGGACAGTCTTTTCGTCTACAGCTGTTGGAAGTTCATTGGCAAGAGGTGCGACTGGCGCCTTTTGATCTGCCAAGTACATTGATGCTCGGGGTGTCTCGTCATCATCGGAAACGGCAGGTATGGTTCTCCGTGACCGCAGACGAATCGTCGCGTTGGGGTCTTTAGCCCGTGGTGTCCGATGGACGTCCATATGAGGCTCGTCATGGTCGACGGCAATGCTCGGGCCCGGAGCACCATCACTGACACAACGTATCCCACCCTGTCTAACGGGCGCTAACGCAGCAGTCCGCAGGGCCATTGTAGGACTCCTCGGTGGCGTGATAGGATTGAGACCTTGACTGGCATCCGAAGACATGGTAGCTGCCGGTGCTGAAAACACCGAGGCCGTGGTGGAGGCGCTTTCGGACACACTCGCCGAGTCCGCTGTCGAACCGTCTTCAACGACCATTTCCGGTTCTCCTGTCTCTGGATGCGGCCGTAAGTCGACAACGCGCTTCTTCCTCTTCCGTGTTCGATGGCCCTGTCCATGTCGACCGCTGTTCATGGTCAAGCCATGACTTGAGGAAACATAGCTGTGCAAAGTCGGTCTGGTAGAACCGCTGTCGAATGTATAGGCAGTAGTGGTGCTGAGACTGCCAGCATACGAGTGAGTCCTGGAGAGGGCAGGGGTTGTCGTCCGGGTCAAAAGACCTGGCATCTCTCCCCGTTCCAGCGGCCCTGTCCATGCTCGAAAGACAGCGTCGCGAATCGATGGCGTGAATAGCGACAAAGTCCTATGCGAGTCGGTCAAAGTGGCCAAGCGGATGAGATTCTTGCGCGAGAATAACGACTGGGTTTCGATAGACGAGTCCAGCGATAAGGAAGCAACCTCTGCAGGCGTCAGGACTGCTCCGGTAGAGTCGACTGGATCCTGCGGGGGGCTGGCTAGTGGATCAATGACGACTTCGTCCTTCGATATCGGTGCTGCTGAGAGCTTGCGTTCCTCGCACGCATTACGTTCTGGAACGAGTAGTTGTAGCGAGAGGCGATGGATGATCGCAGGCAGCTCGTCCATCAAGAGCCCTCTCAACTGTGTTTCGATCTCTTTTTGCAGGAAATTTGCAACGAATGGTATCGAGTCGAAGGTCGAGGACACGCGGAGTGATTCGAGAGGATCGTTTCGGAAGACCAGCGTCAAGCCCTTCTGGCGTGAGAAGACCAGAATGATGAATCCGGACAAGCGGAACTCAGATAACGTGATCTGGAGCGGTATAGTCAACCCAGTATCCGCAGCCAGCGGTTGTGGTGTCGCAAATGCAGACCGCGTCCGTAGATAGGTATTCAACGGGTTGGCTTGTACTTTTGTCTTCAATGTCAGGTATGCATTGCCGTTGTACATCATCTTGAAAGTGCCGCGGAACCGATCCTCTGCTAAGTCCCCAATCTCCAATATTTCCAACTCGGGAGGCACATCGCCAAGGTTGAGCTCGTTGACAATGATGTCGTCGACGATGATGGCAGGTTTGGGGTCGGCGCGGTTGAGGGCATTGGTGAGGAGTTCTTGGGCCCGGGGAAGGAAGCCTGCATCGGTCGACAGCGGCGACCAGTTGAAGTTGAAGGCCATTGTGGAAGTCCCTCAGGACGATGAGAGCCTGTTTTGAGCTGAGGTAAAAGGGGCCTCAGTTGGTGTAGTCCATCTTTCGTTTGTATGGTACGATGGGAATTCGATGTCGGGCTGGTCACTCAGACGGCGCACATGCCTGGGGCTGCGTCGGAGTGGCAGGTGGATTGATCGGGTCGTATGACGCGCCTCTCACTCATCTGCCGGCAGTTCAGCTGCAATGCTTTCGATGAGAAGTCGTGGTTTGGGGAGGTATCGTCTCCTATGGTAAGAGTGCGGATGCAACAGTCACGACACGACCAGAGCAGCGTGTAAGTTGTTGTTGTTGTTATTGCGCTGGCATCAGTGTTGGAGAAGCGAGATTGACAATGTGAAGAATTCTTGCTTTTTGCAGCGATTAGCCGATCGCCCGAGCATCGGAAATCCAAGGAAGCATCGAATCAAATTCCCGGCGCACATGCCTTCTTCGGCGACGCATGCAACTCGACATCATCGTACAAAATGTAGTTCGTCGTAGGTTCGTCGATGCCTCAGGGATATCTCACTCTTGATTTTATCCTGTAGATATCGCAACTTGCCACACAACGTGATCTGGCCGCAAAAAACTTCCCAGACGTGAAAATGCTGCCCAACGGACACTCGGACGCAGGGACTGTGCGCCCAGGCATCACGTGAAGCAGGCTTGACGTCCCAATCACAGGCGCGAGGCTGTTCCCAATATCTGGTTCAGCTCAGTGACACTTCACTGTCTAGCTAAAGAGAGAGAGAGAAAAAAAGAGATGAGCCTCGGCACCAGAAATTGAATGCCTATGAATTGAAAACGCGAAATATGTTCCTAAATCACCAAGACTACTATCTGGGCGAGTTCAGAGCAAATCACTTCGGCGACGGTCCAAATCAACAAAGTGGTTAAGCGACTCACCAGATAGGCGAGAGAATTCGAGTCTCGACATGATTCCGGTCAAACTGGCATCGGGCCAGTAGGCGTTCATGGTCGCGTTTCACTTCTCACCCTCCTCCTCCCTCGATCGACCCGGCCCGATGTTCGAATCCCGACACGACCAGATACCACACCCACCCCCTCAGCGAACCCCCGATCACTGTTTGCATACTTCACAGAGTCAAATCGGCTCCCATCGAGAGATGGGAGTGAGATGTGGAGTAGACCAGCCTGGCCAGCTGGGTATAGCCGTATCAAGAAAGCGTCTTCGTTTTCTTTTTGCTCTGTAGGAGAACTACGCAGTGACGTGACTCGACTCGTGTTCAATTGGATAAACACTCAATGGGACACAGCATGCGTACAAGGACGACTATAGCGACTGCGCTCTGTAGACAGCTGAAAAGGATTCGGACGTCAAAAAGACTTGACATCATTCATTAGAGAGTGCAGATCTCCTACACTTCATTAACTTGCATCATGGCCTGGTACCATGGCTGGGATTTAGAAAATTGATCGCTCTGTCACTACATGATGTGCGCGCGTATCTTAATCCTTTCGCAGTTGAATAGTCCCCCGCTGGCGTGCCGGCCACCCCATCTAGACAACGGCACGGTGCTCGACTGAAGCCTCATTCTTCTCCATACCCGACACAATGGCGGTCTTGTCAAAATCGACGTGACCGACCTCGGCGTTCTCACCATCGAAGATCTTGGCGATCTCCTCCAGGGTAGGTCCCTTGGTCTCAACGTACAGGAAGTAGACGAAAACGAGTTCGAAGCCAATCCAGCACTATCACAGGGTTGTTAGTAGACGGTTCCACCACTCGAGGAAGAGGAAGAAGAAGAGGACTCACAGTATAGATGGTGTACAGCTTCCAGTTGGGCTGCAGATGCTTGAAACCCAAGGGATTGACATACTGGTTGATGACCAGCGCGACCTGGACCCAGAAGTTCATGATCATCAACCCCTTGGCGCGGATCTTGAATGGCATGATTTCCACGGTGTAGGCGACTAGCAATCCCGACCAGGCCAAGGCGTACGAGAAGTTGAAAATCCAGATGAATGCGATGACTGCTTGGCCGGCGGCCTTGTTGCCGGTGTCTTGGTAGATGGCCGAGCAGATGGTCCAGATGATGAAGCAGAGAAGCATGCCCAATGTTGCGGCGAGGAAAAGTGGCCGTCGACCAACCCGGTCGCAGAGCAAGGCGCACGTGCATGATACGATCAGCGACATGATAACCATGCCGCCATTGAGCTCGAGTTGGGTGTTCGCGTTGGTGATGCCGATGGACTTGTAGATGTCGGTAGAGTAGTACGAGATCAGGCCGTTTCCAGACCATTGCGAGAAGAGACCCAAAGAGGCGACCAGAAGGAATCGGTATCGGTTGCCCTTGGTCTTCCCGAAGTCCAAATAGCTCGACGTCTTCTTCGCAATAAACTCCAGGCGGAGGGTCTCTTTGATCTCGGCGTATTCGAATTGAACGGTGGGATGGGCGCTGTTGCCGTTGGCGTGGTACTTGGAAAGTACCGCAAGGGCCTCATCACCTCGATCCTTTGAGATCAACCATCTGGGAGATTCTGGGATCCACCAGATGAAGATGATCTGAATGACCGAGGGTGCACCCTGGATAATGGTTGGAATTCGCCATGACCACTCAGAGCCGATGTGCTTTGTTCCGAAGGAGAGCCACGTGTTGATAATGGCACCCAAGTTCCATAGGCAATTGTAGATGGCCGTGATACGACCTCTGTGCTGGGGGTGCACGAGTTCGGTCAGGAGCAGAGGAGAGGAAAGCTGAGCCATGCTGTTGCCGAAACCCATCAGGAATCGTCCACCTTTGAACATGGCAAGGTTCTGCGAAGCACCCTGAATGGCGGCGGCGATGATCATGATGACGCAACCGCCAATGATGGCTATCTTGCGGCCGAAGCGATCAGCGACAAATGGTCTGACGTTTCCGTTAGTAGTGAATATGAACCACGCCCGGTCGTGGACTTACACAACTGGCAAGCTTGCGATGGATCCAATACTGTAAAGCGCTGTCAAAAGGCCCAAGTTGGAGCCTTGAGGGTCGTTGAAGTACTCTGTCCATTGAGGTAGGATACGGATGTTGTTCAACATAGATCTGCGCACAATCAGCCATCCGTACCTCAAATCGATGGTTCCCAGGAGACTCACCCATCGTAACCGGTCGTGGCGGAGGCGATACAGATGATAGCCGCATAGAAATACAGCTTTCTCAAGCCTGGATCTTTGTGCCAAACAACCTTCTCAAGTTCAGGTGCCTCAGCCTGAGCAATGGCGACATCGTCAGCGTGAGTGGGGCCTTTTTTGAGATTCACCATGATGACGGCAGATCAATGTGACAATGTGCTATGTGCCGTGCAAGATGTACAAGCTGGTCTGGAGGAACGGCTGCGACCCTGGCGGGGAGATTGTGGTTTTATATATGCAGAGCATGGTGATCTTCGAACGCCATCCTCCAGCAACAACCCTCGCAATCAAGCTATCTGCCGACAATGGCAAAGGTCTCGCGTCCCGGCTGAATTACGGTTGGCATGTTCGATTGAAGGTATGGAAGGCAAAGCTTGGTTGGCTAAAGGTGACAAGCCAGAGAGTGGATCGATACCAAGTCGCGATCTCCGAAGCCTATGCTGAATAGGAGCATCGCCGAAAGGGCCTTCCCTTCGACCGTCTGAAAATGCAACCAAAGCCGGCTCGTGTCAAATGGAACGATCAAGATGTCTGGTGGTGCATGGCTTGGATGCTTTGCCAACCGCGCGGACGGCCGTGTGATTTGTTCGCTTCCGGGTTGGCGCTGCTAGGAAGCTGCTTGAGGCATAGCTCCATTCCGCCAACGTGACAAACAATCCCTTTGGTTCGATGGCTGAGCAGGGGGTTGAATTTGTCTTGTGGTGGTCACCACATCTTGGCTTCTCCGGTGACAGATGATTGATCATCCAGAGCCTTGTGGCGAACGCTGTTGGCCTCCGCTTTGTTGAAAGTATTTATCCTCAGCCTTGGCCTTTGGTAATTGAGACTCAGCCGACCGCCTGCTGATCCTCCAGAAAGACGGGGTCTAGCTTCTGAGGACGATCGACTTGCGAGCGGCCCCTGCATGTTCGGACCAATCGAGCCAACGAAGACGCATCGAAGACAAGTCTCCTGCATCATAGACTTCCCCCGTAGAAGCGGGAGAAGCTCCTCCCCCTTTCCCCCAGATTTCCCTCCCCGCCTGTGAGATCCAGGCTCTTTTAGGACGGATAATAGCCTCTGGTCCGCGTCCAGCAATCAGGTGAAGAGTATTCCTCCACTAGCTGGGACTGAACTCCAGCTTCTCGCCTATCCGGCTAAATTCGAGGATCCACGAGACCCACAGGCTATTCTTCGGACAGCCCCGTGGGGAACTGGATGCCGCTCCATTACTTGTTCACGTTTCTCCATGGTGCTCCATGAGACCGGCTGTGTCCGGTCGCGTGTTCTTCGAGTGGAGGCTGCGATGCACCAGGGTGGCGGGAGTCATGGCACGCTTCTTCAACACCCAAGACGGGTAAAGTCGATGCTGGATGTAGAGAGCGGCAGGCAAGAGGCTAAATTGAGAGAGGATCGAGGATAAACGTCGGTCCACTAGTTTCCGCGGCAAGACAGCGCCCTGCGTTCGTGGCTCGAGAGGGCGTCGTGATGGTCATGTAAGAGGGCGTCTGTCATGCAGTAGGAGGTGAGTCGGGGGCGCCACTGTCAGTCCCCTCGCCATAGCCCCAAAGTCAGTGAAGCAGTAGAGAAAATGAGGAAGGTCAATAAAATTGAGCCGGAGATGAACCGGAAATGAGGCGACGGTCAACCCAAGCTCGATGAGGAGCGCCTGCGCCTGCGCACAACGGTAACTGAAATAAGTCTCGGCCCAATAATGCTTCGCGCTTCTTCTCTCATCGCGGCACATGCTCGCCGCCAAACTGCAACTTTTCCAAACAACAGGTCCGGGTGATAGTCGAGCCGTGGAGAACACCCGCTCGCCTGTTTAGTGCATCCACAGCCCTCAGCATTGCTTTGGCGAGAGATCTGGACTGATCATCGTCCACGTGAACCCGACGTGTCACGGAGTCTAGTAGATCAATCACGCGGCATTTTGGGAGCGAGTTCGGAGATCGGTGGATGATCCATCATGGCTGTCGTGTCCGTTTTCCTTTCAGAGCCGAGGTTGCAGTGAGTTCGGTATTGACACTCTTTTCACGGTGCATTGTACGCATGGTCGAGATCCACCTGCTCTGAAGTCCCTACGTAGCACCATGACCGGCGAATAACCTCAAGGCGCTAAGCCAGACCGAAGCATGTGTATCTTTGAGTCTTGAGATGAGCCTCAGTAAGCATGGAGCTTTTGGTACAATGACTTTTTCCTCTACAGGGTGAGACTTGTCTCGAACGACGAAACTGGGTATCTTTCTACAACAAACTCCTTACACGAGCTCCTTGCCCGGCGCAACACTCATTTGACCTTTGGTCTCAGCGCCTTCATCAGTCGAACTTCCCGCATCAGATCCGCGCATCTCCAGAATATCCTGCTGGGGCTCTGCCGCCGGGATGTCTTCGATCTCATCCGGCAGAGTCAGGTTGAGAATCATGCTCACGAACGCGGTGATGGCAAAGCCAGTCTCGCAGACCAGAACCAGCGCGTCATAGAAACCTCGAAGTGCGTGATTGGAACCCTGATATGTGAAGACATAGCTGAACCACGTCGGGACGAGCGTGGCGCCGTACCCCAGAGCAAGTGATGCTGTCAGGATGAATCGGGTTCGGCGATTGAAGGGGACCCGGTTGACAATGGCCATGCCAGACACGGCCACTGCACAGAAGAGGAACGTGGTCATGCCACCTAGGACTGGCGATGGAATGGCGACAAGCGCGGCCGAGAACTTGGCAAAGATACCGGCCACGATCAAAAAGACTGCGAGATCGTTAGACAGCTCTGAAACTGGACGATGAGAGTTTGACTTACAGCAGCAGAAGTATCCGGCCTTGCGATTTGCGCATCGTGTCAATGCAATGACGCCGTTGTTCTGGGCGAAAGTCGACATCGGGGTGATGGTCATCAATGCTGCCAAGCAGCCATTGAGACCGTCAGCCAGGACACCGCCTTGGATGCGAGACTCGAACTGGCGGCCCTCGACCTCAAGGCGGGAGACATCGCAGGTGGCGGTGATGTCGCCAATGGCCTCGCAAGCGCAAATGATGAAGACCACCATGATGGGTAAGACGAGCGGGCCGTAAAGGCTCAGCTTGAAGGTTTTGACCCAGATGAAAGAGCCCACTGGAGCAGAGTTGATGCCCGAATTGTCGAAGTACCCGCAGGCTGCGGCGACAATACAGCCAGTCAAGAGACCAAGAATGACGCTGGTGGACTTCATGATAGGAGAACCAAATCGTTCGCAGAGTAAGATGGTCACGAAGACCAAGAATCCCAATCCAATATACTCTGCACTTCCCCACGGAAGAGCGTGAGGAGCGCCCTCTTGAGGACAAACTTGGAATGGACCGCTCTCCGGCCTGGCGGCGCACAAACCAGAACCGCCAGCCCAGTTTTGAAATCCCGACTCGATCAAGGACACACCGATGAGGATGACCGTCGGACCCGTGACGATGGGTGGGAAGATCTTCCGCAGTGCGTTCGGGGGCAGGAAAGAGAGCGCAATTTCCACCAAGGCGCAGAGAGCGCACGTGCCGATGAGTGCACCATATGCGTCGGGACATGGCAGGCGGTTGCCATCGGCATCCAGCTGGCATGTACCGTTGGCATACATTTGAGCGAAAGCGCCAGTAGCGACAGGTATGATAGCGAAGGATGTGCCCACGACGGAGATCAAGCCTGTTCCGATGTAATATGGCGTCCTCCAGATATGGAATCTCGTGATCTGAATACAAGACAGAATGCCACAGACGATCACTGCAACGGTCAGTCAGTCTATGCTTGCCCTTCGAGGACGACGAATGTCGCAAAAGAAGAATTGAACTCACAAGACGTCGAGACAAGATATTGTTGCCAATCTAAAGGCAGATTGACGCCGCCCGCGCCGGCCAAAATGATCGGGGGTGTCATGATGCCCGCCAACATTGCAAGCGCATGCTGGAAACCTAGCAAAAGAGCAAGGATGAGCGGCATCGAGTCGTCGAGGCCGAAGAACGGTGATGCCCGGCGAGTCTTTGCGAGAAAAGGGATGTTCGGTCGGAAGAGGAATGCATAGTCATAGTCGCCGATGAGACCCTTCTTCGTGAACAAAGCCTTTCGCACGCCGTTGGCACGGTGGGCGAAGGTCTTCTTCGGGCCCATATGAGGGAGGCTGTCGGCTTCACCCATGGTGAATGTTTTGGTGAGACCCTGAGAAAATGAAGTTTGCGATTGGTCGGCTGGAGGTGAGCAGGAAACAGACTGTGGTGGTCGCGTGCTCAATAGCTCCGTTCAGCCTGAAGCAGGACCAAGACCGACAGAGGCATGCCACAGGGCTCTAATATAGAATCTTCTTTTGCTGATCTGGACACCCTGACTCGACGGGCCATGGCCAGCTCCGCTGAGCAACGACCAACTGATTCCTCGCATATCGCCATGGCGTATGGCCAGAGCTGGTCCGTAAGGACTGATCGTCTGGAGATCCACACCAGCGAGCTCACGACCCTCGGGCGGCGGCGAAGAGCAATCAGAGGGGAGCAATAAAAGTGAGGAGATCGGGAGCTGCCTCGACAAAACGCGTCGTCGGAACACGCCTTCCGATAGCTGCCCCTCCTAAGGACCCCACAAAGCTTATCCAACAGCATTGATTGGCCCGGCGTCCACCGACATTAGATAAGCTTCCGCCTTTACTCAATCTCGCGAGTCACAGAATTTTCCATCTCGTCTTGCTTCTTCCACGTGAAATACGGGCGCTCCTTGGAGCAGAGCTCGCATCTTTCCACATCTGATGTAGCACGGCAGGTACCAGAGACAAAAGCCCGCAGACTACGTTGCCGACGCGCTTTAGGTGTAGATGGAAAGATTGGCATAAGCACATCCGATCTCGGTCGGTATTCGCCTATTGGGCGATATCTCGCAACCTCTGGCATTCCAAGCCAATCCTGATATCAGGTCAAGTAGAGCTCAAAGCTCGTGCAGCCAAACACATGAGTGGCATGATATTCACAGACTGACGCTGGATGCGTCGAGGGTCGGAACACAACACACCAAATCCTGACATTGAATTATCTGCACGCAGTCTGATGGCGACGTGACGAGATATATTGCGCTGGCCCAAGTACTGCTGGTCAAGGGCTGTCGCTACCGGTTCTTCTTTCGGAGCTTTAGAATGTCTTCGCAAGCGGACTCCATCTTCTCAAGGCTGGGCCCCAAAAGAAGAGCACATAGACGAGCACTACCAAGCCGACTGAGATGAAACCCAATGTCGAAAACGCCCACCTGACGTCCATGTTCGCAAACATGGCAACCCCAGCATGGGCGCAACCTGCAGCGATGAGAAAACTGGGGATCAAGAAGGCTGCGATAGCGCTGGCAGCCACGTTCGGGTAAGAGTCGGTGATGTAGTTGAGCATGGCGAGCCACAGGAGCGGATCGCAAAAGCCCAGAACTGCGCCCGCAACAACTGGCGACCAGTACGAGGTTTCACCTGCATCCAATGCGTCAGCAGAAGCCTATAGATCCATCATTTCCCACAGATACTCACCGTCGCATGTCCAAGCGAACCAGAACAGGCTGACAGGGAACAACCACACAGCCACCAAGGAGGTGAGGAACCGTGCTTCAGGCATGTGGCCATGCTTCAACCGATGGCGTCTGAATAGATATGTCTGGACCGGCACAAAACAAAAGGTCACGGTGACACCTAGTTCTCCTGTTAGCACCTGCAACTCGGCCGTTTGGGCTTGACACGAGTAGGACTGACCGACACAGAAGTTGAGGTACGTCAACGAGGCACCCACGTAGCTGAGACCATTGTTGACAACGAACACGCCAAAGACGCCATCAAGGTACAGGAAGAGTAAGCCGTAAGCAAATCCGTTGTACAGGCCGAGTGAGATGACGATTGGCTCCGACACCATGATTCTCAAAGCCATGGTTGCCACGAACCTCATTTCCCGCAGCACAGACAGCTTGCTTGAGCCCATGGCAATGTCCAATTCGTTCTGGTCGACGCTCCCCCTTCTCTTGACGGCTCTCGCAATGACGATTCTAGGAAGCGTTTCGGGCATGAAGCACAGGAACAACGCAAATGCGCCACCAATGATGATGTTGATGTAGAAGATCCAGCGCCACCCGAGACTTGGATTGGTGCCGATCCACTCTCCTATCGGGCTGCCCAAGCTCGGGCCAAAGTTTGCGGAAAGCACAAACAAAGCCATGGGCTGAGCCGCTCCATCAGTATCGCCAAAGAGATCGGCAATTGTCCCGGCCACATTGCACAGGGCGACAGACCCAGCGCAGCCGATCAGAAAACAGAAGATGACCAACATGGGGTAGTTGTATGCCAACGCAGTGCCGATGTTGAGGATGGCATACATGGCGATTGAGGACACGTACACCCATTTTCTCCCTTTGATATCTGCCATTGGCCCTAAGAATGCCGGACCAACAGCAGTGCCAACAATGAACATGCTCTGGCCGAGGGTGGCGACTTGCGCCGAGCTCGTCCATTTCTCCATGATCAAGAATTCAACCGAGACATAACTTGTCGAAGTCAGGGTGACAAACACCTGGAGAAGGCAGTAGACGAAGACGATGAACCATTTCTTCCATAGCGGCCACCTGACGGGGTGAGCTTCCGAGCTGGTCTCGATCTTGGAGAGAAGAGCCAGCGGATCATCTCTGTTGTTAGTCGCTTCGGGGTCGGCATTGGCTGGCAAGGTCTTCTTTTCCTCTGTATTGTCGGACATGCCTTCCGGGGCAGAGGATGTAACAGCCATGGTGACTGAAGCAGGCAGCCTGCCAGGTGCAATATGGAATGAGGGCACCGAGAATTGCGGAGCGGGTTGGTGCTCCAGGCAAGAGAAAAATCAACGCCGGCGTAGCGACGAGATGGAACAAAGAGCCAACACAGGGAAAAAGTCGATGAAATATGAACGCAGACGCGGCTCGGCACCTACTCGGAAGGAGGCCCACTGACTATGGAGCCATGTTGGATGGTATGGAGCTTGGGGAGCTTATCACAAGGCTTGCCTTCGAATCAGTGAGACTACCATGCCGTCGCTCATCGTCGCGACGAGCAATCAGTGAGGAGCAGGTGCCACTGCTCAGTCCCAAGGAATTATCATGCCTTGTTGTCTCGGATGACCGGCATGAACCAGTGATATAACGAGAAATCGACCATCAACCACTGATAGCGGCATGAGACGGATGCTCTGGCTGTGAGCTTCAAATGAGAATTTGCCTCGCTTCCGATGACGTGAAGCTGAATTTGATTTGGGAAAAGACGCAGGATAGTGAGTTGAACTAGGCTAGAACGCGTTAGCACATCTACTGTCGAGCACAGGCGCAAGTTCGCATTTCTCGGGACCGGCATGAAATTCAGCCGGACGAGCTACACAGTGGCTGCTCCTGAATCCCAAATTGGTGCCTTCACACTACAACGCTGTACCGAGAGCATCCGTCCTGGACTGGCTGTTTGGATCAAAGTATGGTGCCTCCCCAATACCCACGGCCCGGTTCCCAAACCTCTCGCCCAGCCCATCATAGTCGAACGTGGCACAATGGAACGCACTCCGGTTGTCCCAGATAGCTATCCCGCCGATGGTGTGGTTAGCATCATACTCTCTCTCGGGATCTGTATGGAAGCGAGACTTGTGTTGAGACCTACCGATATCGTGCTCGTTCCTCCACTTGAAACGCACTTGCAGATCGTGGTTCTCAACCACCATTCTCTTAAGCTTGGCGAGTAGCTCATCACTCTCTTCGGGGTTCAATTCGTTGATCACCTTGGGAAACGTCCCGATGGCAAAAACGCTCTTCCATCCAGTGATCGGGTTGGTTCTGACAACGGGGTGCACTGCCGTCAACGCCTTACCCACATTCTGGGGAGATCCTCTCGGCTGATCGTACAGCGTTGTTCGACCTGCCTCCGCGGCCTTGATAAACCCGTCACCGACAAAGGTCGCCGTCAGGCCTTCGAGAAACCTCTGGTACGTTGGACTGAACCGATCGTAGACCTCGTATCCAGAGGCCCAGAGCGTGTCTCCGCCGTTCTTCGGCAATTGCGTCAACCGCAAACTGGTATAATCGGCGGGGCACGTCTCAAATTGGATGTCCGAATGCCACTGCGCGGCGTCGTACCTCCGCGGATTCTTGACCTCACCATAGGCACCATACAGCTTCTTGCGCGTCACGGAGCTGATGGTACTGATTTCGTTGTCGTGTCCGAATTCGCTCGTGCCGTTCAATACGGGGTGGATGTGCAGCGTTGAGGTGCTGGGTTTGTTCGTCAGCTCACCCATGCGTTGAATGAAGACCTTTTGCAGGGCGTCGGTGAGATTCGTCTGCGCGCGGAAGAAGACAACGCCGCGCTCGGAGACTGTGGGCTGTAAGCGGAGATGCCAAATACATCACATTATTACTTGTGAGGGGCGCACGTACTGGTGATGGCGAGGTCTCTCAACAATGTGTCCGCGTCGGGGGAGTTGAGCAGGTCGTCCACGATATTGACCTTCGGAAACTCCCGTCCAATGACTGGTGTTAAATCGTCTGATTCGAACTTCTCGTTGAGCAGCCCGCTCTGCCTGAGTGGTTCCCTGGGGTATCCATGGTCATCAGCAGTCGAATGGCCGTTGGAATACGTCTCCCCGAGTGAACCCATCTTGACCTTCGCGTGGAACGATCTGGCTAGCTTGCAATGAAAAGATTTGAACGCAGGTCTGTGTCTCAGAAATGGACATCCGCAACGATAAGTTATAGGATCTTTTGCGAACAGTAGATGGTTTTCACATGACGATTATCTCCGAGATATCGATCACGCAATCCATGCACGAATCAGCAAATGCGGTTCGTCCCAATGTCTTCTCCTCACCTTGATGTGCCATCAGCGAATAAAGTACCTGATACCAGATAAGTACGCGTGGTGGTATGAGCAGAAGGGGCTTCCACGTGGGCACGGGCATCCCTCCTGAATCGCGTAATAGCAAGTCATGTGTTGGTTTAGAAGAAAGCTGGCTATGAACGTATGTCCTGATAGCTGCACAGATGACGCGCCGGTATCTAGGTATTATGACGAGGCTATTGGCTCCCGAAGTTGTTAGTCGAGGCGGCGAGGTCTGGAGAAACGTGACAAAGAAACAATATACTGGGACAAACAGGCAGGCGGTATGCTTTTGACCACTTATCCATGTCGCTAACATCGAGGAACAATGCAATGTATCCAGGGGTGCCGCCGTGTCTTCTATGACCCTTTCAGGGCTTTCACCTCTGAAACAAGTTGTTCCACCGTCTTGGTTAAACTGCTGATCTGCCGTGACTGTTGTGCCAGAATGGCCTTCAAGTTCTTGATTTCTTGTTCTGCGGGGGTTGATGTCAAAGGTGATGTTGGCATATTGGAAGCTTCGCCGTTTTCAGCGCTCTGTTCCTCTGGTAGCTCCTTTTCGGTCATCTAATTGATGTCAGCAGGTATGTTGAAGAAGACGACGTTGCATGGTACCTTGTGTTTGGGAGCGGATTCGGTACCCTCCACGTCTTCCCCGACTTTGCCAGCAGGTGGCGCTGAGGACTCAGCCAGCTTCTCCTTTTGTGATAGAGCTGCTGGCTTAGTCGCACTGGTTCGCTCGACAGGCTTCTCTACCTCCTCAAAATCTGATTCTTCGTCCACCTGTTCGGCGGGTTCAGTATCTTTGAACTTGTCAGCAGCAGACGCCATAGTCGCGCCTTGCTCTTTCATGGAAGGAGGAGGAGATCGAATGGCTGCTGGTGTTGGTTCTGAAGCCGGCTCGGCAACTGGTTGCTTCGGTTCAACAGCCTTGACCGTTTCAGGAGCCTTCTTGACTGGCTTGGCCTCCTCCGCAGGAATTTCTTTCACACCAGCGCCCTCGTACAAGCTCTCCATCGAGATCTTGGGTGGCAATCCATCAGCGCCGTCGAACCATTCTTTGCTGCTCACAGCAGGCTTCAAACCAGTTGTGGGTGGGTAGATATCCTCCTGGAAAGTTTCTGCTCGTCTGGGTACAATGAAGGAAATGGGTTCGATATAGCTGTCATTCACAGTCTTGTATGCTCGCGCAACTTCGTTCTCGTGAAGGTTGACACCTCTCTTGGGGACGAAAGCGACTCCGCGCTGTGGGTCAGCTGACTTGTACTCGGATAGGTATTCGAATCTGTCGTGCTCGTATTCGTAGTATCGGATGTTGCCGTCACCTCTACCAGCGAGGAAGAGACATTGCGTGCCCTCGTCCCAGAACGGCATGCAGACTCCAGATATCGAATCGAGCATCTGGAAGCCATCAACGGGTTCTTGGGCGTTTCGCACATCCCACAGCGCCAGCTGACGATCGCTCATTCTCGAGAAGCCGGTCGTGGCGATCCGGTCATGTTCACCCATCCATACCGCTCTGCTGTTCTTGGCTCCGGCATGGCCCGCTCCTTCGTGGACTGGCTTCTCTTGCCGGGTGTCCCATATCCGCAGCTTCTTGTCTCGAGAAGTGGTGACCAAGAGTGAACCATTTGCACTCCACGACAGAGACTGGATGACCTCGCCGACCTTGAGGGAGAGTTTAGAGGCACCAGACTCGATATCCCATATCTTCACGGTAAAGTCTCCAGCAGCGGAAGCGAGAACGTTTTCAGCTGCAGGGTTAAAGAGCACATGTCCTACTTTTCTGATTGAGGTCAGTTATATTTCGTTTGGTGTGGAAAGTAGATCGCGTACTTGGGATGACCGCTGAGCTTTCCGACCGGTGCAATGTCCTGGATCTCGTCTGCAGGCAGGTCTATATGTAGCGTGAAGTCATCTGGAACCCTCCAAAGGAAGACCTGCCCACGTCAATTCCGACCTGAACAATCTGATTCAGGAACCGTACCTTCCCATCGTCGGAGCCAGAGGCAATCAAGGAGTCATTGAAAGGATTCCTTCGCTCCGTCAGTCCAACACTCTTGCTCCACACATCCTTCTAGCACTCACCAATCTGTGTCCAAGACCACTGCGGTGTGTCCTCGGAAGAGCGGTATTCGTTCTGGAAGGCGCCCCTTCTCACTTGTAGGAATGACAGCAAAGGCACCACCACCGCTACTGTCCCAGTTGAGGGCGAGGTATTCTGGATTGGCCTGAGGTAGTCAGCAAGGGAGGGTTTCACAAGCCGGACCTAAAGCGTACTTTGACCAAATTTGTGTCCCAGGCATTCTTTGACACTCGCAGATTGTCATAGCATTGTTCCTTTCCACGTCTTAGCTGTAGCTCGTTCTGCCGGGAATCAAGCAGAGGCGCACCTTGCGAGTCGGACGACCGAACACGTGCCGGTATTTGGAGGAGCGCACAAAGCGGCCTGCCATGATTCTGGCAGCTGGAGTAGGCGGTAAAGATGTTCGGTGTAATAATGGACAGATCAGGTCTTGAGATCCTCGGGATTCTTGTAGGGCAGGCTCAAACCAAGCTGAAGCAATTACAGTGCCATCTTGTCCTTTCGGGCTTTCTCTGAGCTGACCGCAGCCGCTGCCCGCAGCTCGAGCCCATTCTTTCTTTTGCTCCAACTCCACCAGTCGCGCCCGAGCCCCTCCAAGCCCCAATTGGCGCTTGGCCTTCAGGACCCATTGCTGCGCTAACCATTTTGGGAGCTACGGCGGACCATCACATAATCAGCCGCTGTACCGAAACAGCATTCGGCGCAAGAGGAAAAGTGAGTGCTCTCACTCTCCGTTCTCTTTGTTGTTACGGGATCTTCAATGTGTTCACCCCATGACCAGTACAAGTGATCTACGCGGCTTTGCTGGAGCTGTCTCCATGGCCGTCTTTGTCTCATCATGATGCTGTGGTTTTCGTACCGAGCTTGGGCGAGTCTACTAAGGATTGTGACTGACACTTACCACGCAGTGAACTACAGGCAGCCCTTTCTTTGATTTCCTTTGATCTTTGTGATGTTGACCTTGTGATGTTGTAAAGCGCTGCCCTGCCTTTGTGCCTATGCGTTGTCTTTGAGGATTCATCTCCGCCACAATGAGGTCGACTTCTTTCCAAGTTCAAGCTCATGCATCGTTCGAATCCCTCAAAATTTCGAGGATCATTGTCTGCGCACCGGCTGCGCAACAAACGATTTTCGAGTCCCGTCCCTAGCGAAGCCCAAGGTCGTATCTATGTCTGATATACCGTTACCTGACTATACCTCTCGAAGCTCAAGCAAGATCGCTGGTGAAACCATCAGGATGCATAACATGTACGTGGTTGACCCTGAGACCAACACCTCGGCCCTGCCATATCGAACCCGCAACGAGAAGCTGGAGAAGTTATATCGCCGTGCTTGCTGTGGATCGGTCGCCGGCATCCTCCTCTGGATTGTTCTCTTGTTGGTTGCCATCTTCGTCCCAATTGGCGTGCTCCTTGCTAAAGGTCAATTGGGATCCCACTCACCGCAACAGCTTGAGCCTGCGCCTTCGACCCTGACCTCGTGGGTATTTCCCTCTACAGCAAGTTCGACTGCCTTGGTGATTGCGATATCGCCGGGTATGTTGACCACAACCGAGACGGTCACGTCTGTTCCGATGTACCCTGCAATCAGCACCGAGACGGTCACATCAGTGGTAACCTCGATCTCGGTGAGCATTGTAACCTACTCGGGACCCTCTATCGCCGTAACCATGGAAGCAGTCACCACAACAGACATCGAGACTATCACCGCGACTGCAAAACAGACGACGGCGCCAAAGACTACATCTCCAGATGAGCGATCGGTCAGTTTCACCACCGTAGAGGTCACAACCACGACGGTCCTCAATCTCCCCACTGTTCACATCATCGAAAACACCATCACCTCGACAGGGAGTTTCATGGTCCATCCAACGACTTTATCCGCGACCGCAACCCAGGCTTTCGTGTCTCCTCTGGTGGAAGCTACAATCCTGCCGGACGTGACTCCAACTTTCAGCCTTGCCCCAGCTGTGAGACCGACGTCTTGATGGCGTAAATTCTTTTATTGCCCTACAGACGAGAGAGAGAAGGAAGTTGTCGGGTAGTGCGAGTGAAGATGAACACGAACATTGATACAAAATAGATGCAGCCAGAAACTCCATTCCACTTCATGTGAGTTCACCCCTCCATTTCCGTACGTCTTGGCCAGTGATTGCTGAACATATCGCCAATCTTTCCTCCCCGTACACGAAAACACACTCATGCATACTGGGGCAAGTCCGTAACCTTGCTAGATTAAGATACATGTACAGTATATCTCATCTCATATCATATCAATGCATATCAACTCAGCTCTCCGGGCCATCTACCGCCTAGCATCCGCCGTCGCTTTACCAGCAATGACGGACCTAACGCCGCACAGCCAGAACATTATCACTCCCTCACTCACTTCTCAATCCATTCCATGATCTCCACACGGTCTCCGACTCTGACTATCCTACCGAAGGGTTCTGCAAACGCATACCGCCCAAAGCACGCCCTGTAAGGAAACGCCGGGTTCACCCGCCGGTCTTTGGCAAGGAGCTTGTAGAGCTGTCTCTGCGGCGCGACGAGCCCGCCAGTGCGGAAGTCGACATTGAGGGACTGGCACCGGACGGTATTGAAAACGAGGTCGAGTCTGAGCGGGGGCGGCGGCGATGGCGTCGAATCCTCGTCGCGAGAACTGGACATGATGTGGAGTGTCTTCCACTGCTCCTCTGCGTAGGGTGCTGACCACAAGTGCGCTTCCTTTCCGTCACCACTGACGCGGTGGTCCGTCCTCATGGGCTCAGTGTTGTCAATGTGGATATTCGAGCGGAAGCGGAGGATCACGTCGTGATCGTCGTCGTCGCCGTCAGGGCCATCTCCTTCCTCTGCACCCACGCCCACAGGGACCCGTGACTTCGCATCCTCTTCCGACGCGACCGTCGTGATCAACAGAGGCGCCGCGTCCGCGAATTGGATCTTCTGCACGTGTAGCTCGTCTTGGTCGTCCTCGGTACCCCTGAACCATGATAGGAAGCCCGTCCGTTGTCTTGGCTTACGCGGAATCAGCTTCGGTGCGACGATCTCCCTCATCCCAGTCGCTGTGCCGGTGCCATCATCGACGCCTCCACCGATATAGAGCAGCCTGGCTTTCTGTTCCAGGTGTTTGGAGAACCAAGCTGCAATGTCGTCTCCCAAATCAACCCCTGTTCCCCTTGTGCCGAAGATCTCCACGGTAGACTCTTTGCCATCTCGCAGAGTCTGTGGATCGGGTGTTAAAGGGAATCTGATCTCTGAGCCACTAAGCGTATGTGTGACTCTCAGTGTTGGAAACGGTCCTGACGTCGGGGTGGAGTCGATGGAGGGCTGGAACAAGCAGAGCGTCGACAGCGTCTTGATGGTGAGATGTTCGCTAGGGTGTGCCTCGGTATCCTTGATCAGGATGAAGGACCGATCATGTTTGAGACCTGTCTGGGTCATCTCCGCCTCCTCAACTTCGACAGGCAGGAGAGACTTGATGGGGTATATGAAGAGCTGCCGAAAACGAAAACGGCAACATAGTCAGCCATGTTAGACAACCTGTGGACAGAGGCAGTTGGCAAACGGCTACATGCAGGCCGGGGACGGGCGGCGATGAGAACGAGAGGGAAGAAGCTCACCCGCTGGATATGCATCTTGTTTGCCCAGGTAAAGCAGCGGCCGACCGCCTAGTAAAGGACTCTCAAAGGGAAACACTTTTCTTGAGGAATATGGAACGATGCCAGGTTGGGTGATTTTTCGACGCAATCTTGGGACGAACTAACCGACATCCATCCAGCTGAGGCCAGAAATTTTCACCCGAAGGTAAGACAGGGGATTGGATGGATCGACTCCCAAGAAGATAAATAATAAACAAACGAACAATGTATATAAAGGAGACAGTTTCGTGACGGACCGCCAAGCTGGACCCGGAGACTCCTAACCGGATGAGGAATATGCGTTCCAAGGTGACAGCACACATGCCAGCGTAATATCCAGTACTTGGGTCTCTCCGCATACCCTCAGGAAGGTCGCTGGAGGGTATCTGATACTGTGCGTCAAAGTGGTTCTGGTACCATCGGAATCGATCAATCGCACGTCCCGTCGTCAAGACATCCAAACATAATACCCAACCAGGGTATCTCGAGCATAAATTTCCCAATTGAGATTTTCGTTCCAATGAGATTCGTTTCGTATAGTGTTCGTGTCGGTCAAAGAGCCTAGGCTTGATCCCTCACGAAGATGGCGGGGAAGAGTCCAGTATCGCCAGCATAGACGCCATGCCACCACTCGTCATTGATCTCCTCAACCTCACAGACGTCGGCATACTTTGGGAACGCAAGTTCGTCTGCGCTCTTGGCATCGTCGAGGACAGGATAATAGCTCCACCGAGCCCGACAGATCTTGCCTGAGCCGCCGTCGGGAGGAATCTTCACGCCTGATTGAGGCAGAGTGGCCGTCCGAGCTCGAGTCGTGCGCCGAGTACCAGCTTCGTCCTCCCGCCAGCTCCATTCACCCCGAACAGCCGATAACGCCAAGGGATCAGTTCGGTGAATGTTACTCATAGCAAGCTTCCAAGCCGCCATGTCGTCGTCGGTCAACTTGACACCGCCGACAATGTCCCGCACGATCGCTCTTCTTTGATTGCCCTCGACATCTCGCTCGAACACAACGGTGACCATGCGGTGGCCTTTCGGACAGAGGCGCCAACCGTCTGGCCCATCTTCGCGCTTTATCCGCCCAGCCGCCACGTCGCGAGCGTAGCAGCTACCACAGATATCATAGTCACCTTTGAGACTTGGGTCGTCTGGAGACGGTGTGGAATGTGTTGGACAGTGGAATCGGGTCTCCTCCGGCGAGATTGACCGAGAGCAGACGTCACAGTTCGTGGTAATGACCAATGGTCTGAAATCAGCTCGTAGGCCGGAGTAAGGTCCAGTTGCCGAAGTACAACTTGAGGCCACGCTCTGGGCCGGAGACGGGTCACGTCTTCCACTACTGTAGGTGCTCAACGTGGCGTTCCCGGGACGTAGGGCTGCTCCGCCCGCTTGCAAGCCTGGGTCGTTTGGATCATTTGATATACGGGCAACCGGCAGGAGAGCATGGTTACAGCAGTGGTTAGTGTTCACACAGTCATTGCAAAATCCCCATTCGCCCTCGTTGCAGACGTCGCAGGTCCAGAAGTAATCGTTGGCAAAGCGTCCGCATCGATCACAGAAGTTGCCTTCTCGTAGGCGGGCTGCGGGATCTGAAGCGGCATGCCTTCTGTTTTGTGTCGGAGGCCTTAGATACTGTCGCCCGACCAGTATATGTGGAAGTTCAGCAGGTTGATTGTGCCTGCTTGGCGGACGGGATGCATTGAATTTGCGCATGGCTGCATCGCCGAACCCAAACCAGTGGTTGCATCCGCGGCCAGATCTGTAGCAACGAAGACAAAGATCCATTCTACAAGGGTCACAGTGCTTGTGGACCTCATATTGGATGCTTGGCCTGGAGCATCGGGCGCACACAACATCAGGTTCTTCAGACCTGCTCGAGACGGTGGCCACATTTGACGCGGTCACTTCTGGCGCGGAAGCTGCAGAGTCCGAGGTGGGTATCACGGTAGGTACTGGTCCGGTGGTCACGCTGGACATGACCGGTGGAGTAGAATCTACCCTTGGCGACTGTTGCCCAGGGGACTCGACACGAGCAGGGCTCGATGGTTGTCGGCTACCAGCGGCTTGCCACACTTCGGAAGCCCTTGGTGGAGTCCTTGGCTCTGTATTCGCTCTGTGTGCGTGTGAATGGTGCTGTGCGCGGTTCGCAGCGTTGCTACGCGATTGAGGCCTATTGGAGAGATCTGTGGCAGACCTGACGGCAGGATGAGGGACAGGCTCGCGGTCGGCTCTCGCGACAGATGAATCACTGCGCCTGCTCTCGTTGGACGTCCGTCGCCGGTGAGCTGAGGGCTGAGGTAGAGTCAACGACTGATCGGCTGTCGATTGAAGAAACGATGTTGGAGGTCTTCCCTCGGAACCGCCAATGACTATACCGTGACTCGTCCTTGGACTTGGGGGCGCACGGTCTCGATTGCTGCCCCTTGAAGAACGACGAGAACGACGCTCGGCTTCCTCAGGCTGCGGCTCTGCAGGTCGTGCGGGAGCGCTTACACTGCCGTTACCGTCACCAGCTTCTGCTCTTCTGCTGCGTTCCGCATGCAGTTCCCTATACCTCTGGGCGATGATCTCGCTGAGCTCATCTTGCTCTTGTTCTGTCAATTCGTCAACATTGATGCCATCTAGGAGGCCCGCGTCCAGTATCTCTTGCATGAGCTCTGCTTCGTTCAGACTTTCCCCGGTGCCGGTTCCACTCTCCGAAGCGCTGACCAGGGATATCAGACTCGCTTGGTGGGCGACCGTCCGGGCTCCCCTCTGCCGCGCTTCAACAGCATCAGGATGACGCGGTGAAGTAGGTGGGGGAGACAGGAGGGCGAGGTCGGCCGAACTCGAAGACGCTCGCGTCCGTCGTGAGGAGCCATCAGCATCTGAAGACTGCCGCTCCTCATCTCCTTGCCGATCCCTAGCCTCTCTTCTCTCGCGGCTTCTGCTGCTTTCTTCAGTTGTGTGCCGTCTGCGATGGGCCGAGGCTGGGTCCAAGTGCTGCTCTCGTCTGCTGGCTCCTTCCGTTGGGACCCTGCCAGTGCCACGTGCCTCCTCTTCGCGCCTCTTTCTCTCCCTCCTGCGATGGCCCTCTCCCTTTGGCAGAATCTCATCGCCCGGCTTGTAGATCTGCGCCATCTCCGTCTTTTCCTCCGCCGTCCTGTCCTTCCCAGGGTTTGCAGCGAGAAACATTTCCAGGAATGTGTTGATCGTGGCATTGCGCTGGACATCCTTGACGGAAGCACGGCAGGTCGGACAGGTATATGGGTTCGCGGGCGGTGGATGGGTATGCGCAGCCTTTCGGTGCTGGTGGGAGAACCATTCTTTCAGGCAAGAGCCGCAGAATGTGTGTAGGCAATCGAGCAGTGTGCGAGGCTGGTAGAGGATCTCGGTGCAGATGAAGCAGACGAGCTCTTTCTCTAGGTTGACGAGGCCCGTCGCAGGCGTTTCGGTCATGGCAGCCATGGGACTGTCACGATCATAGTATCACGATGGTTTTCGGATGATCATTCTTCTGGAATCAACCCCCGCAATCCTCCGTCTTTGCCTGAAGAATCAGCTAGCAATACATAACAGCACTTATGCAGAAATATCGACCTGCGCCAAAGAGTAATCGCAAGCTGGAAACAGGGAAAATGACATTTGAGACTGTGGAGTCGCCGTCGCAGTAAAGTTGAGATGAGGCAACTGTGAGCAGAGGCAAGGCGACCTGAAGCCCAACCAGCGTCTATTTTTACTATTTTTACCTCGGACTCAAGCCGATGGGACCTGGAGAAAGCTCGTTTGGCTAGCTTGATCGGGGTTCCATATGCACGTCGGAAACTTTGATGTTGTCCTCAGCTCAACCTTGCCCGGTCGTTCACCTGCAAAGGAGTGCAGGTTCATACTCAGCTGGTGACGTGAAACCTGAAGACCAGATGCTCGAGACTTAGAAAGATATCATATTCAGGAAAGTACTTCCATCCGAGTCATGCTCAGTGACACCTTCGCGCAGGGTCAGAGATTGCCAGAGTTGGTCAATCTTCCATCTAGCTAGAATGGCTGCCGCGGGTGTGACATGAGCGACTGTTCTGACCCGTACGTCGCTTGACCATCGAACTCATGTCCGGGACGTCTTTGCTATCAACCAGCAGTCAAGTGTCGAACACCTTGTGCTTCCACGAGTGAACCGCCGTCCTATTCAGGCTGCCTCGTTCTTCTCGACTGTTTGAGTCGCGTGACCAACTTCGGTATGGTCACTTTCCTGCCGCTCATGGTGGGCAGCGTAGCTCAGCTTCCTCTCAGCATCGACTTCGCCATGCTCTTCTCTCTTGATTTTGTTATACTCGACATGAGTGTTCCACGGCTTAACGCTGCTCAAGAAGAGCTCCTCAACTTCTTCGAGAGTCTTGCCAGCCGTTTCAGGGAAGCAGAAGAATACGTGTATGGTCATGGCCGTGCAGAACACACCAAAAATGATGTACACCTTCCACTGGATGTTGACAAATGCTGGAGGGACGAAGTAGGAGAGCGCGAAGTTGAAGATCCAGTTGGACGAAGTGGTCAGAGCGACCGCCTTGCCTCTGACGCGCAGAGGATACAGCTCGGGAGGGTAAATCCACGATACCGGGCCCCAGCTTGGGGCGAAGGACGCCACGAACAAGTAGGTACAAGCGATGACACCCTTGGCGGCGCCGCCATGAATCTGCCAGGACTCTTCTTCGACGTGGTCGACTCCCCCAGGAGGGGCCGGAGAGCCATAAGAGGCCATCAGTCCAGCGTTGGCGTACATCCAAATGGCCATGAAGGTCGAGCCTATCATCAGTGGCCACCGGCGTCCCCAGCGATCGATGAATATGAGGGCGAAAATAGTCATGAAGACATTGATGACATATTGAATCGAGGAGGCCACCAGGTTAGTATTGCCAGAGAGACCAGCCATGCCTGTTGCTAGGGGTCAGCACATGACCACGAGACCAGGCCGAGTCCGCCTACCGAAAACATAAGTAATGTAGTACATCATGACATTCATACCCGTGAGCTGAGACCAGATCTGGGTAAAGACGCCAATATGCGTTCGATTGAGCATCTTGGGCTTGAACAGCTCGAGGTATGATACGTCGGCATTTCTGCGCTCGAACTCACACATCTCCTTGATCTCATTGAGCTCGAGCAGCACAAAAGGTGCGTTGCGGTCGCCCTTTGCGTGGACAAGAGCCAAGACGCCGTGGCACTCTTCCCAGCGGTCTTTGCGAGCCAGCCATCTGTACCCCAACATCAGCGGTGACCCGACCAGACTTCGGCGACTGTGGCTTACCTGGGACTCTCCGGAAGGAGGAAGAGGGCAAAGAACAAGACGATGGCAGGGATCATTTGCAAGCCCCACGGAATACGGAAGGCAGCTGCGCCGGTGATGTAACTGCAGCCGTAGCTGATGTAGAACATGATCAAGATACCCCAGGTAATGGCCCACTGTTGAGCTCCGACCACTCGTCCTCGTTTGCTGGGAGGTGCCAATTCGGACACATAGACGGGGACTGCCTCGAAGGTTAGCATTGTGGGCTGCAGACTGTGATGGAAGATCGTATACCTTGAGCAGAGCAGATACCGACACTGAATCCGTTGATGAAACGACCAACGATAAGCATGGCAATGTTCTGGGAAGCGCACACAATGATCGAGCCGATGCACCAGATGACGGCACCAATCTGAATTGCCCTCTTGCGACCGAAGATATCAGACAACTACAGACATGTTAACCAGCAGTCACGATTAACATCGCAGCCACGTACGAAGCCAGAAGCTAGAGCACCAACGAATGAACCGCCAGGCATAGACGCCGTTATGCCACCCTGAACATCAGATCGGGGGCCAGAGCATTGCGGAGGCCCATGCGGACCTTGGTTGAAGTAACTGAAAGTCAGTCAGTCAGTGCTTCGAATCAGTCCTGCTTGTGATTGGCATAGTACCATTTGTACTGCTGCGTGCCGATACTGCAACCGAATCAGTTTGCATTCGCTTGACACTGTTCCTGTGCAACTCACATGGCAGACATCGAGGAGATATCAAAACCGAACAAGCCACCACCGATGACGGCAATGGCCGTGATGAAGTAGATGTTCCCTATCTGGTACATGTTGGCGACGAGATCCGGTAAGCCAGTCGCGGCACAAAGAAGGTGTGTCAAGAGCCACCAGAGATGGAGGAAGGGTGGACAGGTCTCAGGTAACAGTCCGGTCTCTTGTATTTCGACGAGGCAAGAGAATAGCGTAAGACATATTCAATGGATTGGACCAGGACCTGTGGCTGCAGGCCGTGGGTGAGATGGTGTCGAGGGTGCTCCTGTGACCGTCTGCGGAGAAATGTTACATGGCGCACTCGTTGCCCTGCTTCATGGTTGTATCCAACCGACAGGCGAACAGTCGCGTGAATTGCTTGTGGAGATATGAGAGGAGAAGCTGGAGACTGCAGGGTTTCATGGTGAACCAGGCATGGAGAGTCCCGAGCTCGAGGCTTCTCCTCGAATAAGCGTCAGCCACTTGAAGCTTGTCTTGCAGGTGCCATCGATGCCTTTCGTCCACTCACATTTACTGTCTCGCCGTTGGGCTGGACCATTGCAAGGGTTAGAGGGCACCAGGAGCAAAAGCCTAGCACGCCATGAGCGCCACTGACCGCATTTCTTTGTTAAAGGATGTGGAGATCGTCCGTTTCAAACATAACACCAAGTGTTCGGCACGGCTAACAAGGCATGGCAGCTCCAGTACGGGGAACGTTAATGGTGGCCTGACGGCAATGGACTGTTGATCATTTATGATGTTCCGCACTGCCATCCACTTGTGTTTCTGTAAGTCGATCAATGCAACATCACCTGTGCGCGTCCAGGAAGCGCTCCAATCTTGATGCCCATTGCTGCTGGCGACCCAGGTTTATTCGGTCCATTTCGAGCAGGACTGGTTGAGACAGGCTACTGGGTACGCATACGAGGCGCAGGCGCATAGCAATACGAGGTATCCGAATTCCAGTCCTGGCATGATTTGCACGTGTACGGGGTAGACTCCTTACCGCAGAAATTTCCCACTACGTATCAAAGTAGTCCTCACACAAGGATGTACGGAGTACACCTCCTCCAGCTCTAGGTTCGAGATGGAGCCTTCGAATGCTGGCCGGATCGTCCACACGTGTCAGTGTGCCGTTGCTGATCTCATGTCCATAGTCGTACGAGTAGAGCTGCAGTGCCTTCTGGTAATTCCGAACTCCGAAAGGTTGCATTGCGACCGGAATTGCGATGCCGAGTTTTGTTTGTGACCCTGTCTGTTGCCACCAATGGCGAATGGCGTTTGGCGTATCGTCCAAGCAAGAGGGTGAAATGTGTCACTGGGGACTGAAGCAGCGAGAAGTTCAAGTCACCCTCTGCTCTAATGGAACAATAGCGCATATGTCCTCAATGCCGGTTGAGCAAGGCTGCGCAATATAGCTAGCATACCTAGGTAGGCCACTCCAGTAAGTTTTTGCCCACATATGGACGGAGAATGTGAGCCTGTACGTGTCCCCTACGATCGCCTTACACCCTCAGCGTCCGAGTAGGTCCAGGTTGGATGTATGCCCACCATAGATCCACGACTTCTACCACCTCTGCCATCTCATTTCGAAGAGACAGGTTCTCATCTTCTGATTGGCTCGCCGTCACTTCGTCCTATGAGCGCTGACTCATAATTGCGGCACGTCTGCTGTTAAATTGTACTCACGTTCCGACACAGGCATCAACAATGCGCACATTATCTTGACACCAAGGAGATGGTGGTTGCAAACGGTGGACGAGCAGCGTTACAAGCAGGTATGCATGTGGATCGTTCAAAGTAGAAGTTGCAACCACGTCAACGCCCGTAGAGCTACCGGTTTCTTCAGTCCGAATTCATCGAGAGTCGAAAGAAGCCGCCACCGAGCTGATTCAAGATGGGGCCTCTCTCATCGTCACCCACCTCCAATGTTGCAGTAAAGCCGATCACATCGGAGGCCGACCTGCCCTTCTGCGCACATTTGGCTGACAGAGCCCTGAAATCGGACACATTCCATGAGTTCAAGGCTCGGTACTGTTCACAGAACGTATACGAAGAGACACTGCAGAAATTAACCGAATCACTGCGCGACGATCGAGGCAGGTATTCTTTGCTCAAGGCGGTCGTGCCGGCTTCATCGGTAATCGCGTCGGAACAGAGCAAAGAGCAGACGGCTCAGCGGTCGGGAGCAGATGACGCTGAGATCATCGTAGGGTTTGCGCATTGGCGGTGTGGCTATGTCGAAGTCCCGAAGATGGATCCGTTTGCGGCACGCAAAGCACCGGAGACGAATCCGAGTCTTGACTTAGGCGTAACAAGCGTGGCAGTCGCTGAGGGAAATGGGTACGATACGCCGAGCGCGGTCTCGACGGATCTGGGATCTGTAGCTGGTGGGAAGGTTGAAAACCCCCAACAGACACAGCCCTTCTACTCGAATCCGCATGACGAACTCGGCCGGAAACTGATGAACACGTATATCGGCACGATGCGAGGGAAGCGGCATGTTTGTAAGTCCAGAATGACCCACTCTGTATGTTGGCCAGTTTCGCATTCTTGAGCTCGGAGGTGACTGACCATAAGATCCATGTTCCCAGATCTCCACCGCCTGATTGTAGACCCATCTTACCAGCGTCAAGGCATCGGGCAGAAACTGCTCAACTGGGGAATCGAGACAGCCGACCGGGAGAATATTGGCGCATGGCTCTTCTGTCGCCCCGCTGGGTACAAGCTGTATGAGCGAAATGGGTGGAAGGCTCTTCTTACGATTCCGGTAGACGTACCCGACGAAGATTTAGCAGTTCCGCCTGTTGTAGCGATGTTAAGGTCGCCTGCAGGACACAGAGGGTAACAAGACCGCAATTCTGGCATTCGCACTGGTGGACATTTACAAAGCAGCGACACGTACAGTGATGGCTTGACACAAGATCTGTGGTTGTGGCTTGGGTGCAGACTACAACTCTCAGATACTGACAGCCAACGGCGCGGATCCCGTAGGTCGAAGTATACCACCTGCACAACTCTCGTGCCATGCTCGGCTGAAGTACTCCGAGCCGTACCAGCAGATCTGGCAAATTGAGGGAGGGCATTAAGTTTCCCATTTCTGCAAGCACACGGGATCAACTCCTCTTCTTCGGGGCATTTATGCTCGTCGCAACCTTGAAGGTTGAGGAGATCTCCACAAAGGCCGTGGACAGAACCCAGAGGGGTATGAAGACCCACAGCATATTGAAGAACACCAGGTATAGCCAGAGATAGACTGGATCATCTCCTGCAAGTGCAGTGTTGCCGCTGAGCCATTCTGGTGCGAAAGTCATGAACCCTCCGTACAGCTCTCCAGTCGCCAGCGCAATTGCGGTGAACCAAAGTGCCGGTAGATATCGAGCGTTGAGGGCTTGCTCTGTCGAATTCGCGACCTTTGCTATCAGATAGCAGATGTATACTGCGGCGGGTCCAGCCAAGCCAACAGTGAGTATTTCCAGCGAGATGACCGTCAGGTCTGCTCCACCCCATCTACGGTCGGCTTTTGCATATTCTTGCCACAATCTCGCCATTGGCGCTTGCGAGTATATGGCACCATAGCGGCGGTCAGGTCGATTGTACAAGTAGGCTTGTGGCTCACCGCCCCAGGCCGCTGGGTGCGAGATGTCTGGTGTTCTGGCAGGTAACTGCTGGTAGGAGAAGAAGCAGTGGTAGAGGTAGCTGCCCTCGATGATAAAATGGGTCAGGAAGTCGTACGCGTGCCACAAGAAGAGGAAGTACAGCTTCCTGGGTGTGGACTTGGGCAGGGCGTAAGCGGCCAATACCTGGGCCGACGGCATCAGGGAAAAGGCAACAGCGAGAGAGAAAACAGTGCCGGCGTCGAGCTTGAATGGTGGGCTTGCGGCCATCACCACGGCAGAGGCCATCGCGACTGCCTGAGCGCCAATGGAGGGAGAGACGGGGCGAAACGGCCTGATGTGCTGAGTGGTAACTGATACTGTACGGAGTCTAGGAAGAACGACGTTTGAGCTGCCTCGTCCCGTGGACGATCACTAAATCAGATGCAGGAACCAACGGGTTGGCGACCGACGGAGGAGTCGGGCTCGCCTAATCAGACCTACGGAAGCCCCCGAGCTGTTTTGGGCCAAGGCCGAGCCAAGCCTAGCAGGAAGTCTTTCCCCAGCTTTTCCAGCCAAACACCATCCCAGCGACTGGCTGCGCCCCGCCTTTGGGACTCTAACCCCACGCAAAACGAATTATGAGTATTTCACTCAGAACGAGGGGCTCGAGGGGTTGTGCTTAGTTCGTGTTGGCACGCCTTTTCTGGAAAATCGAGTTCAGCTCATCACACGACGCACATGGCTTGTTCCTGTCTGGACGATGTCATCCTCCGCTCTTCCCTTCCGGCACCCTGAAGCCTCTATATGCCGTCGCGGTGACTCCTCGTAGATACTTCCTGCCCTCCTTTCCTTCGCAGAATGGCTTGTCGGTAATGGCTTCGGGCCCGTGTCTCTCGAACCACTGAGCCGGTCCGGGCGACGGCGCAGGACCTAAGCACGAATCTCCAGGCCTCTAGCTCCCGCGCTCTCGTCCCTTTGAGAATCCAGACGGGTCTCGCAATATCTCATGAATGGCTGACGGTTGGGAAGCTCAGCCTGAGGCCGGCACCGGAGCTCAGACTGCAGCCGAACCACTCCAGTCACTGCTGCCGTGCGATGCATGCAGGAAACGGAAAGTGAGGTGCAGCAAAGAAGAGCCTTGCGACCGCTGTGTCGCGGCTGGGCTGCGGTGCACAAGAGACATTGTGCGAAAGAAGAGGGGGCCAAAGAAGGGTTCAGGCTCCGTGATTGCAAAGCTGCGAGATGAGAGCCAGGCATCGTCGCCACAAGATCAGACCCTCCCTCCATTCGACCTATCTCCCTTGCAGTTGCAGATGCCCGCCTTGAACCGGACAGGGACCAACGACAGCCCATTGGAATCGCCACTGACCTCTCCGACCACTTCCCCTTTCGGCGAGACATACGGACCGATGATAGATCCTTTGAGCGTCCCACGTTCTGTTCCTGTGATTCAAAATGGCACCGGTTTGGATCCTACCTCTCATACAGCATTCACACAAGCAGGGATCCAATTTCGCGCCTCGTGGCAGATGCAGCCTTCCGAACTTTTGCAGTTTCAAGCACCTGTGTCGCCGAATGGATACATGTCAATCAGTGATCTCGCGCATGAAATATTCCAGGAGCCGCATTCTTCAATTCCACAAGGCCCTCCTGCTAGGTCCAACATCCAGGCGCCTTCGAGGACCTCCACACCACTTACTAAACCCACATCGCTGGACGCATTGTTGACTGGTGTACCCAGCGGTGGCGCTTCTCCATCTCCCACCGCGGCCAGCTCGCCAAACCCGCTATATGGACCTAAATACCTGTATCGAAGTGATTCTGGAGACTTCCAGAATCCGTATCAGGTACAGATCCAAGCTCTAGCTGCCGAGTTCGAATTGTCGGCGTATTTGATGACACAATGCATTCGCCAATACTTCCGACATCTCTATCCAATACGTCCGACGATCCACGAAGGCTCATTGCTTCTGCGGCTTAATCGACATGACGAACTATCCAACGAAGAGAAGATTCTCATCCTATCGATCTGTGCCAATACCGTCCTTCATGCAGCGCCGCAATCTGACCTCTCCTTGGACAAGAAGATGCAACTCGGGAAGCAGTTCGTGGAGCTATGCCTCTTTTTACGTCGGCAGTATGACTGGGCCGAGACGGCCACCCTCTTGTCGATACAAGCCAGCTACCATATCTCTGTTGCACTTTTTGAGCTCAAGAGACCCCGGGCTCATCACTTTTATCTGCGAGAGGCCATCTCCATGTCCATTGAACAGGGCCTCCATCTCGAATCTACCTATGTTGGCATGGACCAGATCCAAGCCATTTGCTCTCGGCGCACTTTTGCGCTCTTGTTTATTACCGAACGAGGCTTGGCCATCCTCCGCAACAAACCTGCCCAAATCTCCCGCTTACCCCAGCTCTCCACGGAATACTTCGACGACCAGGACGGTGTGATTCTCGCTGGCTTTGCTGCTTTAGTCAATTTGTTCTCTGTGCTGGACGAGAAATTTGTTCATCTCTGGAGCTCAACATCACTCGACTCTGAGTCGTCCGGCTACGAACCTTATGAGAACATAGCGGCGATTCAACACTCATTAAACGAGATGTCCTTTGAGAATTTCCACATGACGGACATACAGAGAGCAGACGTGCTTATTACACACCAATGGTTACGTCTTATTTTTTGGCAGGCCTCTATGCGCCAGGGTCTGATCAGCTACAGTGCGCCTGATCCTATATTCTCTTCCACCTACCCCATCACCATCGCGAAGAACCTCCATGCCATGATTGCGGACATTAGCCACAGTGCCATCCTCGTTCACGGCCTCGGGATATTCGAGAAGCTCTTTGAGGTTGCATATACGCTGATGGACGCCTTGACCATTGCCAATGCAAATTGGTCTGAGAGCCAGGAGCTGCGGTACCTCTTTGACGTGCTGAGTGCGAGTCCAAACAGTCAAAGCATTTATGTGAAGATGCTGAGAACAAAGATCGAGACAGAAAGAAGTCCGGCAGCCAGTCCCCCACATCAGAGACCGGGCGTGTTGTGATGGGAATATACGAAAGCAACGATTTCAGATATATGAGAGATGATGTCGATGGGTCAGAAGCTCCGGAGTACATATTCATTGACCAACATACCCTGTAATAATGATGGGTCGGACGGGCTATGCTATGTGGCGTCTTCGAAGACTGACCGACCAGCAATTGTGACACGGTTACGGTCTGCAGACCTCGACCATTGCTCAGATAGGCAAACTCTTCACGCTCCTGTAGTCTGCACAAGAGACTCTCATTCAAGCCTCGACTTGCATGACAAGCTTTCCGCCATGAAGTTTGTACCCAAGCTCGCGGCCGCGGGGTGGGGACGGTGCCATGAGTGGCAGCTTCCCAGCCACCATTACCTGATCGTCAAAGTCATTATGAAGCGAATGTAGACTCTCCGATGCTAACTCGAGATCTCTCGTACACGTAAAGATCGAAATGACACCTGCTCTTACCCAGATCTCACGTCTCCTCGAGCCTGTGCCACGCAGATTTGCGCCATTGTGGAACTGATCTAGTCGACTTCTATAGCTGTCAAGTAATGAAGGACCTGGCCTAACAGAGCAAATGACGACGAATGTGAAGGGTTACGGACGCTGAATCTCAGCTGAAGATTGTCGTGAGTCAGGCTCCCTGGCCAATGTCAACTATACGAATCATCTGGTCTTGGCATATTTGGCCTGTTTAACCAATTGCACGGTAGACGGCAATGGTTTCCGTGACGCGGGCGGGGTAATTATTAGAGGTCTGCAGATGGGAATTGAATTGCCCATACGGAGTACTCGTCGTCTGCGATATTCCCGCGGTCTCGCTGTTGGACGCACAGTCAACCAACAGGAAGCAAAGAAGAGTTACAAGCACCATGGCACCCGCCTCACGTGGAGCTGACAGTGCCACAGGTTGGACCAAGCAGCAGGTGGCAACTCAGGGCAAAGTTCAAATGCCTGAAACTTCACTCCGCAAGTGACAAAGAGTGACCTCATCGTGAAACAAAAATGGGACTGGCAGGCAGCACCCAATTCCGTAGTTCCTCCTACTAATAAAAGATATCTTCATCCCTCTCTCATCGTTCTGCCCCCAGTCTGAACCTCAACCCAGCTACATTCCACACGCTACAGCGCAGTCAGAATGCCGACCCCAACCAATGGCTATCCTGCCGAAAAGGCCTCTGACGTCGAGGTGCTTCCGGCCCCAGCGACGTCGACCGAGACTCGTGCTGGCACGCCTCCAGCAAGACGCAGTGGTCTGGGCAGCCGTTTGTTCAAATGTGGCTTTACGGTCATCAGCGTCCTGCTCATTCTGAAACTCCTCTATCTCGGCTTCGACGCACTCCCTCGAGGCTGCAACGGGCTGGGAGCGCAAATGTCTTCTAACTACCATCCTATCGGCGACGGTGGTCACCAGCATCCGTTTCCACCGATTGGGGACTGGAAACCCTTTCAGGGCACTACGCACTTCGAATTCGAGCCCGCCGTTGCGTCTGGCTTCTCCGTCCGGGGAGCTCAAGCCTTCGGCAAAGTCGTTTTTGAGACCTCCAAACTCTCGGACAAAGTCGTGATCGACTTGGACATCAAGACCAGCAAGAAAGACAAGGACGGCGAAGTCACAGTCAAGGAGGAGAATGGCTACCTCACCGTCGATACCCCTAACACAGGCAAAATGGAGACCTACGCCTCCACCAGAATTCAGATCCCCTCCAACATCATCGGCAAGTTTGTCATGCCACAATTCCAGGTCGATGTTGGCCGTCACATGGTCGACTTCAGTGGTCTTCCCGAGTCCCTCGAGATCGACACCTTCAAGGTTCGCATCGGCCAAGGATTCGTCAAACCTGGACCCGTACACACCAACACAACGAAAATCTCGATCGGCAACGGTGCGCTGAAAGGCTCTCTTATCCACGCGGCCTACGAGACCAACATTGATGTCGCTCACGGTAACGTCACTCTCGACATCCCCGACATCTCATCGGGTAACCAGGGCGCCACTAAGATCCATCTCGGCAACGGGCACTTGAAGGGCACGCTCTCCGTCTACAACTCTACCATCGTGGACGTAGCCTCTGGTGGTATCTACATTGGCGTTGACTTCAAACACTCCGATCGCCGTGCCAGCCTGTCGACGAAGATTGCGGCCGGAAATTCACGTGTGTACGTCAACTCCATCGCCGCGGAACGTCTGCTCGAGTCATCCCATTCATCCATCAACGGCGACCAATTGATCACATACCCGTCCAACTTCCAGGGCACGATTGACGCTAGAGGTGTCTTGGGCGACATCAAGCTTGCAGGCAAGGATCTTGCGGTTGAAAAGGTCGTCGGAGGTCTAGTGGGCCGACAGGGAGATAGCAACCGGAACAGCGTCACCGTCAAGTCGGTCAGGGGAAAGCTGGACATTCTCGTCGGAGACGAGTAGCAGATGAAAGATGAGGAGAAGCTACGCCCGGCTTGACAATCATTTACCAAAGGCAAACGTCGAGGCCTAGGGACAAGGTAGGCGGGCAGACATGCAGACTCGCGTTGATCCTGATACCTGGGATGGATGTATGTCGTGATGAGTAGATTGTACTGTACTGTATTATACATGATCGTGGCCTACGACAACGAGTCGGGCTACCATCAAAAGTGACAGACACTTCAGCCAAAATTGATCCCCCTTTGCTAACCTCGTTTTCTGTGTACCAGCGCTCCCTCGGCCCGTGCTTTGATTTTGCAGGCAGATTACAACTATCCTCAGTCAACTTTCCAGGATCATCTCAAGCAAAAGCATTCAGGCGACAAAACACAGCGCCTCTCAAGACCACGTGGGACGTCTCGAACCCGAACCCAGACCCGAACCCAACGGCCGGTCAACGCCAAAACTACGACCTTCGACCCCTATTCTCTCATTGCTCTGTCCGCATGGCTGTATATCATCGTATCTTGCACTGCGAAGGTGAAGGCAGAGTCAAGGCAGAGCTCAGGCGGAGTCACTGGCGCTGAATCCGTGTCTGTCCTATGGCGTGTCTCACGCGTCATGCATACGGTAGGCCTCCCGAGGTCCTCACTGGGATATCCTGTTGTCTTTCTGGTAACTCCGTACGCTATTAATGACTTTACCTTTTTTGTGTATGCCGACATCGTCTATAAAACGTGGATATCCATATGGATAGCCGAAATACTTTTACGGAAGACATAGAGTACACGACAATCACGATCAGACTCAGTCTTTTTCATAAGTATATCGTCGGGTGGCAATGCATTGCACTTCTCGATCTCGAAGATGACTTCTTCTAATTATGCCACTCGATCGATCGAGTGAGTCAGTCAAGCTCGTTCCACTCCCCGTCCCGTCCCCCTCCTTGTTGCATGCGCATGCGTCACGCCATTTCATTTTCCCTTCAGCGACCCAAGCCGACGGCCTTGCCCACGCCGGCACCGAGGTATCCGCCTCCAGCCTTTGCTGCGTTCACTCCCGTCTCTCCCGCCCTGCCGGCCGCATCGGCCGCGGAGCTCGCGATCTCCTTTGAGTCACCGGCTCCGGGTAGTGAGGGCGTGGGTCCGGCCGCGGAGATTGGATTTTGTTGTGTCGACGTCGACTTCGACGCGAGACCAGCACTTTGCTTGGCGCTTTCGCTTGCTGTCCCTGGCCCTGTCTTCGATCCAGATCCAGATCCAGTGATGCTGCCGCCAGCTTGCTTGCCCGTGCTCGCTACAGCGCCGACCGCTTGATTCGCCGTGCCCGTAACAGCATTTTCGGCCTCCTTCGCCGCCGCGCTTCCAGCCTCGCCAGCCCCACCACCGGTACCGCCGGACGGTATACTGGCTAACCTCTCGCCGATCGCGGCCGGCGTTGGTGGCTGCGGAGTTTGAGCCTGCTGCTGACTTGACGTCCTCCTGGGACCTAATTTTGGCGGGGATTTGATCCCACTGCCTATTCGCTCCACCATGTTCGGCGTTGGGACAGATGTAGGTGGCGACTTTACTCCAGATGGTGCACGATCGAGTTTTGGTGGCGGTGACTTTACGCCGGGAGGGAGACGGTCGAGTTTCGGAGGAGGGGACTTCACTCTAGAGGAAATTCGATCCAGGTTCTGCGGAGGGGACTTCGCTCCTGAGGGCATTCGGTCGAGTTTTGCTGGTGGTGACTTCACTCCTGAGGGCACTCGGTCGAGTTTTGCTGGCGGTGACTTTACACCAGAAGGGAGACGATCGATCTTAGGTGGCGCTTTCGATCCTGAGGACTTTTCCTCGATTTTCGGCGCGCTCTTCGCTGCATCATTGGAGGCATCTTTCTTTGCTTCTGACGTCCTTTTCTCCAGTTTCGGTGGTGCGGGTTTCGGTTTCTTTGTTCCGCCGCCGCCGCCGCCGCCAAAGCCTAAGCTCGACATGCTGGGGAGATAGGATGCCGCGCGTGAGGTATAGCCCTGGCCTGTCTTGGCCGCTGTTTGGGTCCCCTCGGCGATGGTCTGGCCGGCATTCTGAGTACCACCAGCTGCGGCTTTACTGGACTCGACTGTTTTGTCCGTTACCGTTTCTAAGCCCTTCTGTGCCGTCTGTGTCGCGTTCTGTGCAGTCGTGCCCGTAGCGTCCGAGACTTCCTCAGTCGTCTCCTTCACGGGAGCAGGTGTACGATCCTTAGCTTGATGGATTATTGGTGCCTGTTTGGCCGTGCGTTTGGTAGATTTGACGGCGGGGTTATCGGTCGGGTTCAGAGTATTCTTGACAGTTGGTGTGACCACGTCGGAGACGGGCCCTGCCGTGGATTTGGCGGCGGAGGTGGCAGTATCTGCTCCTTTTGATGCGGATTCCCTTGGCTTTCCTGAGGCTGATTCTACCTGCTCCGATTTGGCTTCCTTTTTACCTTTCCCCGGACCCGACAGTGATGGCATGCTTGGTAGGGATGGTAAGTACTGCGATGCTTGCTGGGCGTAGCTTTGCGCATGGCTCGTTGCTCCCTGTGTTGCCTGCTGCATTTGTGTCGTCTTGGTCGATTCGACCGGAGTGGATTTCTGTCCTGGGCCAGTCACCGTCGTGCGGTTAACATATGGCATGCTAGGTAAGCGTTTGTAGATATAGGTCGCATAGCTTCCCGTTGATGATTGAACGTCCTTGGCCGTTTGACCTGCCACGTTTCCAGCGTCGGTAGGGTTTCGAGTAGCCTTTTCGAGGTTGCCGGCGACCTGTTGAGCATCCTTTCCGCTCGGCACGCTTGGCATGTAGAAGTACTCGATCGCTCTTGTCACCAGGCTCTTCTTGGTCTGCTCTTGAATCTTCTTTTCCAGTTCGTCGGCTTCGGCTTCTCCTTCAGCGGCCTCGTCCACCTTCCCGCCATTCGATTCGCGTCTCAGAAGCCACTTTCTCTGAGCCGCAAGAGATTGTTTCTTCTCTTCTTCCTCCATCTTGGCCAGTTCTTCCTGTTCACGCTCGACGGCAGTCATATCGATGTCCTCGAACCCAATCTTCTTCAGGATCGCTCCGATGAGATAGCGGTAGCGCTGATGGCTGCTCACATCTTCGGACACGTCAAAGTTCTCGACCGACGCCAAACCTTCGACCTTTTGCAAGCCGGCAACACCATATTGAATTGCTGACGTGCGGTACATGAACCCGAGGACGTAGTCATTGACCGAATAGACGTTGACAAGTCTACCTGCCACCGCGCTGCGAAGGACTCTCCAGTCGCTCGTATCGCTTGGAGTCGGAGCGCCAATCAAGACCGCATTCTCCACGAGGCCGAATTCTTTCCGTTTCGCCAGGCTCATCAGGCAGGTGTAGATGACTCGGGCTCCTAGGGAATATCCGATCAACGTGACCGGTCGTTCTCCCTGCGCGCGGTTGATAAGGGCGTCGGCCAAGACCTCGCCAGCTTTGTCGGCTCGACTTTTGGCGACGCTGAAGGGATTGTCGACAACCCTCGCCACCTTCATCAGCGCCATTGGCCACATGGCTGCTGCAAGATCGGCAAAGATGGTCTGAGCAATGATTTCCTTCTGAGCGTAGCCCCATGCGGCCGACTGTACCATCCCGTTCATTGCATTGCCCAGGTTCAATAGCGCTTCAAGCTCGTATTTGAGTGCGAAGATTTCGGCGCCCGTCCCAAGAGACCGCCATGGCTTGACGACTTCTTCTTTCTCGGTCAGCCATCCGGAGATGCCAATTGTGACGCGAAGCTTGTGATCGTGTTCGCTGGCTTCCTGTGCGCCTTGGTCTTGGTCTTCACTGGTCTTCTTGCCGCTGCTGCCGTGGATCGGGAGGAACTGAAAGTCCTCGACCTCACGAGCATATGAGTCCATCATCTGGCCTGTCATCCTGCCACCGTACGCGCCGAACAAACTCCCAACAAGGACTGAGCTCCCGGCGACAGAACCAAGATAGGCAGCTGCAGATGTTGCGCCCAAGCCCAATCCACCCATCACGGAACCGACGCCTGCGGCCACGAGAGGTGCAGCCATACCGCCGGTGACACCAAGAATAGCAGCTCCCGCGACAGTGGCATAGCGGACCCTTCTTTTCCTCGTCTCCTCGTTCTCCTTGACCTTTCTCTTTATCTCGTCGTCCGCCGTCATTTCCTTTGCCGCTTCGAGCAGTCCTTTGGCTGTAGCATATTCATCTTGCTCGAAGGTCTTCAGCGGCAATTTCAACGATGAGGTCAGGTTCAGCAGAAGTACGCGCGAGTATGCGTTGTAGTGCTCCAGCGACAAGAGCAGCAAAAGTAGTGAATGGAGAATCAACGTCCGCTCGCTCATGGCCATCTTGGTCAAGGGAGTCCTCGTCGGCGGGAACAAATCCTTGAACTTCAGATTGACGGTGCGGTTGCCAGCTTCCATGACCCTGCCGGTGGTATTGGGAGCTTGCGGCTTCGCTCGATCAGCTCTGGCGCCCTTCTGCATCTGTTCTTGAGCAGTCCTCTCCGAGTTCACGACTTGTCCAACCCGTAAGATGACCTGTTCGCGCCAATCGTCGAAGGCCTTGAGAGAGTTTTTCTTCAGATTCTTCATTTTCAGAGTGGTGAGGTCCTTTTCGATCTCTGCCTTGAGTTTGCGCTCGCGGTCATAGGCGCCAACGTCAGCGTTCGCAGGGTCCGCGGCCATTAGCTTTTCATCCTCGGTCATCCCTGCCCGCAGAAGCTTCTTGTCCAGGCCAGCCATTGCGTCGAAGTTGTCGAGGATTAATTTTCGCATGGACTCGGTCGCATTGGCCACAAGTAAAGTCAAGTCGGCGCGCTGGCCCTCGTCGAGGATGGTGGTGAGATCCGTCTCGTCTTTGTTCTTTTGGCCCTCGACGGCCGGCTGAGAAGCTTTTCGCGCCGACATGTTGACTGGCGGCGGTCTGCACTACCTGGAGACTAAGCAGAGTATTGTGGCGGAGGGCTGGACGAAAGTCAGGCTCATCAAAGTCAAGCCAGCTGAAGCCGGCTTTGCTCAGGATCAGTCAGCACACACCATTCTCATCAGTGACGAACCGATATAGGCGAGACGGACGACGAAAGTAAGCGAGAAGCAGTCGATCACATTGGAACTCAAGAGCAAGGCGATCGGATGTCGAAGTGTGGCGGTGCAGGTCCATTTAATGGGGAGGAGAAAAGCTGGCAGGATAATGACGTATGATCGCTTGACAAGCTATACGAGTAATGATGCTGGGATTCGACTCGTCAAACCCCTGCGGCCACGATCCTTTCCGAAAGGGTCAATATGCTGCAGAAGCATGTGGTGCTTGTGAATCGTGGAGGCGAGAGGGCCGGAAGGAAACGTGTACAAAAAAGTGTAATTCTCTTACTTCTTCATGGATATCGTTCCCTCGTTCAGTCCCCGTCCTTGCGTGGGCAACGTTGTCTTCTTAGCTTTCCTAGTTCCAAGAACTCATCAAGACCTCTAGAAAGCTCAAGTACCCTGGAACATGCATTGATTGCCAGTTCATCACTCCAGTCGCCTTGCTTGTGCAAATGCTGACAAAAAGCCTGCCATGAGCCAACCTACAGAATGGTGCCAAAGCTGGTTTCGTGTCAATTGGGTGTACACACCTTCATCAGGACGAAAGACTTACCCAAACGTCTGCTTGATGCTGCGGACATAGTAGCCTTCCCAATTTCTCTGCACCACCTCTTCCTGTCCGACAGGCACGCCGGTCCACGTCACCCGCATATTGGTCACTCGGTCGACATCGTTCTGGTCAAAGACGATCTCTTGAGTGCTCACATGTCCTTCGGGCCATTGAGCTAATCGCCATGTCTGAACCAGCTTTTTGGGTGGGTTGAGTTCGACATACTCTCCAGAGACGTTGCCGTCAAAGATAGCGAATTTCCCACCAGGCTTGGCACCTTCGAATACTCGAGGTGGTGCACGTGTGAAGGCTGCCAGTCGCTGTGGGTCGGTGAAGGTCTGATACAGTTCGTCTGCGGTGGTGCGGAACTCATCTGTAGCTGTGACTGTGGTGGTGTTGACGGATGATTTGCCGGACGTTGAGGTGGTGGTGGGAGCAGGGGACAAGGGTTTGCGTTCCTTCTCAGGGTGCCATGTTGGTGTTGCAAACCCACTCGACGGATTCGAGCCCGGTGCGTGCTGTAAATCCTTTCCGTGCTCTTCAATCAGGGCTGGGCCGAACTTGGAAAAAATGGTTCGCAGTTGCGGAACTAGTTTTGAACGGACTAGGTCTTTGACAGGCTGTTTCTCCTTCTTTTCTGAATATATGTCTATGTCGAACTGCGACGATGTTGTCAGTACTTCCGACCACGTCTTGGCGCCGTCGAACAACACTTACCACATAGTCATCAGCCTCCGTGTCGTAGGCGCACTCGGGAACTCTGATGCTGCCGCTGACGTCGGTGCCATCGTCGGTCTTCCCTGCACAAGTATGAGCCGTCTCTTGTTCATGCATCATGTCTCCGCCATGGTCGTACCTTCATACTCGAGCTGCAGCGAAACATCGAAGATCGAGATGACTTTCCCTTTCCGCTGGCTCACTTCGACATCACCGTCCATGGAGATGAGCTTCGTGACCTTCGCTGACACTCCATTTTCTTCTGCCGAGACTTGCTTGACCTGAGTGTCCAGGTAGTCCTTCGCCCACGGACCGGCGTCTTTGGTGACCCAATGCCAGTTATTTGGATTATGGAGCATAACGAAAGGCGAGTGTGGGAGCGGTACTCAGTGAGGCCTCAAAGGGAGTGTCTGTCACAGCTCGAGTCAGCGTTGGGTCCAGCCAAGTGACTCGATCGCAAACTAGTCTAAGTGAAATATTCAGACTGTAGGCTGATTGCCATGTAGCTGATCCGCATGTAAAGAGTACAAGTCTTCTCAGACTGGTGCCAGCTGGTGTCTCATCATTGTAGGATAGCAGAATGTTATAATTTCACGTACCTATGCGCAACAAAGTCAGGCCGATCTCAATCAGAACACGGTGTCGTCACAAGGCGTGAAAAGGATTGCCGGTACTAGCTGAACTGGTCGCTCCGCGCTCGATGAAGTACTAGTATAATGAGCGTACGAATACATCAGATGGACGTGCTAGCTAAATATTGAGAATTGATGGGTGAGTGCATGGAAGCGTCTAGCACAAGTCGGCCTGTGGGGTTTGCGACTGCGGTACTCCGTACGGAGTACACAGTACTAAATACGGCGTAGCAGAGGCAGGCTTAGGACAATCTTGTCGGTGGTCACGTGCCATGCCAAGCCGCATGCCTTTGGATGGGGGGTCTATCAAGTGTCCCGACTAATACTCGTACAGAATGCTGGATACATGGTAGTCACTCACCACGAGTCGTTAGAGCACACAGTTATGCGAAACATCTGGGAAGCCCTGTTCCTGCCTTTACCTATTGGCAACGAGGTGCCTCGCGTTTCAAACCGCCACATGGGTCTTCTTTCGTAGCCATGGTGCTATCGCGAGCTCCTCGGAATATCCGATTGCAAGGTTCGTTACGCACAAGAAGGATCATGAAAAGTGGTTTCGAGACGTGCCTGCGCATTGTGCATTATCATTGATGCTCAGCGCCGACTGGCCAAATTGAATGTATAGCTCTCTGAATGTCGAGATCCAAGTTACCAATTGACCATTCTCGATCTCACTCCAAGCAACACTCGCCAGCAACGCCGCTCTACAATGCACTTCTGCTCCAAGCATCAAGAATGCTTTCACGTCATCTCGTGGCCATTCGCGTCACAGCTACTGCGCCTTTCCACCTCGGCCCATGGCGCGAGTGACGGGTCTCTCTCCCGGTGCCTGAATGTCCTTCTGTGCCTCTTTTTTCGGAGATGTTTTCTTCGGAGAAGTCTTTTTCGGAGAATCTTTCTTCTGAGCATCTTTCTCTTGAGTCTGCATCCGTTCCTAACGGGCATTCTCAACGTACTCGGCACTCGGTTTCTCGTACTTGGCGCAGAAGAACTTGGCGCTGTTGCGGGACAGCCAGGTGGAGAATTTGCTTAGCTCGGTCTTCAGGCGGGATACAGCTTCAGCGTCCATATTGGTCTGAGCCTGCGTCAGGGGTTAGCTTTCATACAATGGGAAGGAGAGCGCATGGCAAAAAAGTGGGAGAAGGTGGTGATGGAGGGGGAGGACTCACGATCATTTCTGGGAGGTTGACAATCATGCGGGTAAGATGTTCGGCGCCGTAGCAGTCACCTGGGCCTTTTCCCTCCCAGTCCTTGTACTTGCCGGATTCCCAGAGCTTGCGGACCTGTTATCAAAACGCAACCGTTAGAAGGCCCTGGTGTAGTGAAACGGGCAGATGATATACCTCTGCCAGCTGGCTTCGCTCAAAGCGATAAAGCAAGATCTTTCCCACCGCCTTCTCAAAGTACATTTTCAATCCCGCACAAAATTCCTCCAAGATGTCTGCCTCAGCAGATCCGAGACGTCGGTTAATCTTCTCTTCGTTGAAGTATTCGTCAATGATGTAGTTCGCGGGCGCTTGACTGGGCAGAGGGACGAGAAGCAATGACTTTGTGACATTCTCCCAGTCGTCGACAAGGAGGTTCTTCAGGTGGTCGGGGACATTTATGCGGATCGACGGGCGCGAATAAAATGCATCTTCCTGTTCGTACATATCCAAGTAAGCATGGGTTATTCCATGTTCGACGTCAAGATAAGGGGTTTTCAATCCTTGGGCAAAAGCAATCAATCCTGGCAAACGGGTTTAACGTCCAATGGAGAGGGAGTAGAATCCGGCAAGTTGGCACGTGGTCGCACGGTCAGCGGGCCATTCTGCGGATTTGCAGTGGACATAGCTGCTGGTGCAGTGCTGACTTCGGCGTCCTGGGTGGTCCTGGAAAGGTTGCCTTGGACACGATCAACTGTTCCAGATTCAACAACCTCAGCTGCGAGCGCCAAATAATCCAGCGTGGTAGGTTCTAGATTTTGTGAAATTCCGGGTTGAACAGGCAGTAGTAGGTGGTTAGCACCCAGATAGGCGAGATCCCGTGGTCTGCCATAGAGACTGCTCGTGCGAATGTATTTCTCTTCGCTCCCAGTGCTGGCGTTATCAGAAGTATCGAACTTGCCAAACGCACAGCCACAATCTTCTTGCATGCATTGCTTGCAGATGGGCTTTGGACCATCACATTCAACACCGGGATTGGCGTAAGTCTTGCAAGCTTCGGCGAGAAAGTGGATTAGTACGTCAAGACCACGTGAACGTATAACGTTCGAAGCGGAAGGCGCAAGCTCGGTCGGGACACGCGCAAGTTCGAGCAGAGTATTCGCACAGTCTTTGGCTCGTTCGTTTTCGACTTTGGAAATGAACGAATGGATGATTTTGCGTCCCTCGTCTTTTTCCCATGTGATCCAGAAAGGTGAAGAATCGGGAAGCGTCTTCAGAAGTTCCCAGGGGCGGTAGAGCAAGAGATCGTATCTTAAAAGGGCAAGAAGATCTTTGCGAATGTCGACGAAGACTGCATCCGGTATCGATCTGATTTCCTCCTCCCCCCAGCCCTCTGGGAAGCATGTGCCGCTGCAATTGACCCTCTTAAGAAGACGCTGAGGCCATGTAAGAGCGTCAAACGCTGTGCCAGACCCTGGTGGATCGACCTCTGGATCATCGTCTGAGCGGGTTCCCACAGACTCTTCGTCGTCGGTCGCCTTCGTTTGAGAGTCGCTTGGGTCAATTGGATGTCTGTACTCGGCGCACTCTGGTTCAACTGAAGCATGGGTCTGGGTAGGGAGACAGCCAAGTGTACCAGGAGAAGGATACTTGATCGGCTTTGTAGGCGGCTTGGCGCGAGTGGCGCTGCGAGTCACTCTGATAGCAGGATCGGTCGAGGTCGCCGTGGCAGATCTTGTAACGCGACCTATAACCTTGGCTGAGGTGATCCTAGCGCTGTCTTCAGAAACCTCCGCCTTCGACTGAAGAGTGGTTTTGGCACTGAATCTCGCAGACGCTCTTTGAACATTCTTGACCGGTGTGGTTTCGCTGTTCGTACTATCGTCATACTCGCTTTCGGAGAACTCCAGCTTCACCTCAGAAGTGGGCTTTGCATTAGAGCTGGCGACAGAAGATCTTCGAGGTATGTTTTGAGAGGGAGGAAAGTCTTCCTCTCCACTGCTTTCATTTTCCGGTTCGGTAGACTCTGCCTTGACCTTCTCGTCATCGTCATCCTCGGTGCTTGTGGGAGAATAAGAGCCATCGGACTCAGACGGTGCGGAGTGGAGGGGGAGACGACTTTTCGCTACGGAGCGACGTGCTAGCTGGGCGCGGGCAGCTTTAGGACTTGCAGTTCGGCGAGGTTTGTTTACGTGAACTGCAATACCCTTTCGTGCCACCAATCTGGGTCTCTTCGCCTTTGCGGAGGGTTCTGGGGAGCCCGAGCTAACTGGAAGACTGCTTGACGAATTGAGGGTGCGCAAGGCGGAGACAGAAGGCTCCTCAACCTGTCTTGAGTCGTTTCTTTCCGGTGCCTTTCTTTTCCTTGTTTTGACAGGGGAAGGGTTCGCCACCAGTGGCATCAATCTTCTGGATTTCTCAATTGCAATGCCAGCTTTGATTGCAGCTCTGCGCGGCTGGTACACAAATTGTCGCAGGCCAGCTGCGTCATCTGGTTTTTGCGTGACGTTGGCCATGTTATCAGTGTCTTCTTCGACTTCTTCTATCTCTTTGTCCGGATCCACCTTGTCGGTCATACTGCTAAGGATAGGGGTATTGATGGATTCTTGACGTCCGATATCCAAATTGGGGCCAGCAGCACATTTCCAGGAATCTGAACCGGCGACAGAAGCAGGGTCGCGCGTATCGTCCGATGAGGGCATCATTCCAGGGGGGGTTGGTTCACGGGGCAAACTCCACAAGTGCACTTGTGGGACGGGAATCACCACTAACCTTTTCGATATCGTTATCACGAACACGCTTTGATCCTCTACCACCGGCAGCAGGGACTGATGAAGTTCTTTCCTCTGAACCTCTCCCGGAGCCGATCTCGGAACCTTGACCGCGACGGGACTTGGAGGTAGTCTTGGATACGGCCTTTTGCGCTTGAGTGTGTTCTCGACGGAGCTGGGCGGCTAGTTCACGGTTCTCATCTGTCCACTTCCGCAATCGTTCGAACGAGACCCAGTCGTCCCAACTGGAGAAGAAAGCGTTAGTTTGTGGACTCTCAATATCAATAGGAGCGAAGTGAAGGCGAGCAATTTTGTGCGCAGATGGCGGCAGTCAAAAGGTCGAAGCCAAGAGTGAATTCCAACATCGACCTGAGTATGTCTGAGGGCATCCACAGTCCATACGTCATTGCGGCCGACTTCACAACAACGACAGCAAGGTGACTGAGACTCACGTGTTCTTCCACCCTTTGTAGTGGATCTTGTACTCAAAAGGAGACTTGGGGTCTTTGGAGTCTGTCCGTCTCAAGTCTTGAATCTTTGCTTCGTACAGGAATTCCCCGTGAAAGCAAAGGACCTTCTCGTTGTTCTGATAATTCGATTTGCTGTCACTGGACTGTGGGGCCATGATATTGCGGAGACAGTCCTTGGTCACTGATTCACGACATGAGCCGATGTGATTTCGAGGCGGATGGAGAGGGGGGAATAGTGGGAGAAGGGCCGTTGGTCTTCTCGTGTTGGGAGAGATGTCAGCAGCCAAGGCAGTGAGAAGAGACGTCGTTTCTGAAGAAGATCCGGGGACAAGATGGATGACAGTCAGTCGTGGATGAATGGGAGAGTCGAGGGCTGAGAGGGAGACGAAGTGAAAGATCGAGCCAAGATCGACGCTCATTATTGGCCGGCCAGAACGCGTCCATTTGCCGGAGTTTTCCCGACGAGGGCAACACCCTGAAATGACAATGAATGGGCACAACAGCTAAAGGCACGTCGCATTCAGTATGAGTGTCTAGCAATGTCTGGACCACTGATGGAGTTGCAATGATGCCGGGACAGAGCACCACGAAGTCTTGTTCTGACCCCGTTCTCCTTGTGAATGAGCGCCCCGAAGACACTGAATCCTCAGCACCACTCTCATTGATGGTTCCATCTCAAGAACGTCGAACAACCTTGTGTCCAGAATCTACGCAGATTCCAGCCATCAGCGGGCCTGATCATCAGACGCCTCCTCCGGCAAAAGCAGGTCCAGACATCAGTCCAGCTGTGTCCGCCACACCACTACCTTACCAAGCCCAGCCCGAACAAGCTGAGGATCCAAACTGGCAGTTTCTGCCCATCTTGGAATTAGAAAGCCTCCTGGGATTTGACCATCCAGTGTGCCAACAGCGACGTGAACGGTTATAGGAAGATCTTCAGCGTCCACAAAGCTTTCAAGAACCCTCCAGGGATCCATTTTCCATTTGCACCCCGTGGGATCCTGGTCCGCTGGCCGATCTCGAGTGCAGGCAGTTGCACCCTCCCTTGACGAGAAAGGAATTCGAAGAGCTTGTGAGGCCTCATCACCCAGGTCGCCCGTTTCGACGTGAACGACCCACCGACCATCTTGGACAGCACCAGTTCAAACGACACTTCGAGATCAATCCAAATATTCCGCTTACGTCCTCAGACTTTCCTCTACACCAACTTTACCAAACACCTAACGACCGAGAGTCAGCTGGCAAAGCATCGTCCGCTACTGTTACTCCTGCAACAAGGCTGCCAGCAGAAGTGAGTCAACAAACGCATCTTGATAACCAAGAAACAAGCCAAGGCCTCGATAGCAGCATACACGAACAAGGCTTGTCATCGTCAGGGGCTCACACTGTCGCCGCAGCGACACAAGCAGCAAGCGAGTCAGACGCCAGAACGGGGAAATCCTTTACCTGATCTGGTCGACGTCAACGGCGGGCGGTTAGGTGACGTGAATGTCAAGAGGGTCTTGACGCTTCAGCGCAGAAACCTCAGATACCTCCCATCATCACGATAGCACGAAGCGCAAGCAGGGCTCGCAGGTCACTGAACGGAACATACCAAGTATTTTAGCAGTGGATTTTATTCAAAAAGCCACAATTCAAGTGCCTCGGGCTCAATTCGAAGGAGTCTTTACAAGAACAAGTGCCTCAACTTCGACATCCAACCTCATTCTTGACAAGCACCCTTCCTCTATGAGGTATCACCATCGCCTCGACCAATTCAGCTGACACCCAGTCAACGACCTCGACCTTGACCTCAAAAATGACACCCACCCAGCCCACCGAATCCCAAATCCTCCACTCCTACCTCCTACACCCCTCCCCCTTACCCACAATCCTACCATACACCGCGTTTCTGGCTCTGCTTCCCAAACACCCCTCATCCCTCCAAACCACGCACGCCACCGAGCTAAAGCGCCTGTACCGCGACCTGGAGTTCCAACGGGCCGTCATCGTCGACGACGTCCGCCGCCGCATCGAAAGCGAATGCACAAAGAGCATCTCCCTCACGGCCCGACTAGCCAGACAGGTCCGCTGGGAAGAAAATCTCAAACAACAGAGACAGCGACAGCGCCAACGCAAGCGGAAGCGGAAGCGAGGCCCAGAACACGAGCACGAGCACGATCACGAAGACACGTACACGTCAGACGACGAGTGCACCGACACAGACACAAACACAAGATCCCACCTCGACATCGACATCGACATCGACATCCAAGCCGACACGGCCCTGCACGACGGAGTACCCCTCTCGAACACGCTGATCCAACAACCGACAGGCCCGTCCAAGCACAAGCACAGCCTCTACCACGACGGACCATCGCTGCTCCTCGCCATGGACAAAGCGACACGCGATCTTGACTCTGAGATCGCGGATCTAGAGGCCGAGATCGACGACCTGCGCAGTGCGTGCCAAAGCACCGTCGGCGGACTGAGTGATTTGCGGTACGGACGGTTCGGCAGAGCTAGAGGGAGCGGGAATGGCGTCGACGATGTTGGTATTGGCAACGGTAACGGTTCCGAGGATGCAGTGGCTGACGAAGTGCTCGCTGCGTTGGACGAGTTCAAGGCCATGCTGGCGGGCACGTAAGTAGTGGTAGTGACGGGGCGAGAGAGAGCTATCGAATCAACCAAAGTAAAGGATTGGTTCCTGGTGTTTGGGCTCCTGAGCTGGATATTCCACATGGCGTACGTGGCACTAAGTTTTCCTGTACTACAGAGGTACTCTTCAATGATACGATGACACCAACACCACTACCATCACCATCGCCCTTCGCCGAGCATGGACGTCAGATAGACCGACGTAGGAAATAAATTGACAGGTGATTTAATCTGACTTGATTTGTCCGTCATCTCAATATCCAACTCCGCGGCGTATGCTAAATGGTGGGTACATACTGCAAGTACAAAATTCGAGAACCGACATCATCTTCATCAAATTGCTTGTGGTTCTTGTAATGCGCGTATAGGTCCACGACTCCCGCGCCACCATGTTCGATCTACACGCGCCCACAGATCTCGGACAGCTTCAACACGTCGGCAACTCACTTGTGCGCATCAATGACCTTTTCCATCTCCTCTTTGCTCCCCATGAATATGCCACTCCGGTCGTGGATATGCTCAGGCTTGACCTCCATCATCCGCGTCATGTTGCTGTCCACGGCCATCCCACCGGCATTCTCCATGACCATGGCCATAGGAGCACACTCATACAGGATTCTCAGTTTGCCCTTGGGAGATTTCTTGTCGGCCGGGTACGCGAAGATACCGCCGTACAGGAGCGTGCGGTAGGCGTCGGCAACCATGGATCCGATGTATCGAGCGGAGTAAGGCTTGCCGCCTTCCTTGACCGGGTATTTCAACGATTCAAAGTAGGCTTTCGTCTTATCGGTCCAGTAGAGCGAGTTGCCCTCGTTGACCGAGTAGATGGCCCGTTTCTTGGGGATGCGCATGTTCGGGTGGGTGAGGATGAACTCGCCGAGAGCGTTGTCCTGTACGCGCCCAGTCAGTCAGGATTGACTCGATCGGACAGGTGTCTCTAGGGATTCACTTACCAGGGTGAAGCCATTGACTGTACCGCCTTTCATGGTGATAACTAGTTGGGCCGAGGCGCCGTACATGGTAAATCTGCTGCTGTTAGCCACTGGCAGTGTGCACAGGGTCGTGGTCTTCTCGTCTCACCCAGCAGCGAGCAGCTCCGTGCCCGGCATCAGCAGGTCCCCAGGGCTGGGTTTCTTCCCAACAACGCTCTCTGGCAACTTCATGATGCCGAAGATGGTGCCCACACTGACACCGGCGTCCAGATTGCTCGACCCGTCGATCGGATCACAAGCCACGACATATCGCGCATTGGGACTGTCGTCAAAGTATATCACCTCCTCCTCTTCCTCTGACACGAGTGCCCTGCACTTTCCTGAGCCCCGCATGGCTGCCACGAAGAGGTCATTGCCAATCACGTCCAGTTTCTTTTGGTCATCGCCGGTTGTGTTTGACGAGCCGGCTAGGCCAGTGAGGTTGATCAACGTGGCTCGTCGGATGTAGTAGGCAATGGATTTGAAAGAGAACTGGAGGGCGTGGCATAGTAATCTGCATCACAGTCAGCTACCAAGTTCCTGTTCTCGGGGATTCTGGTCCGGACATACGTGAAGTCACCCGTGGCTTCCTTGTGTTTATTCTGCTCTTCCGTTAAAAATCTGGTGAGGGTGATGATGTCTGTGTTGATCTTCTCGGTGCCGGTGCCTGTAGTATGGCCATTGCTATCCCCGTTGGTGGCCATCTTGCCCGTTAGAAGAGATCAGAGACGACAAGGTCGAGCTGGTGGGGGTGACGTCGGGGCACGCGATGTATATGAGAATTCGGTGGAAGGGAAGCGGTGACGAGATGGACACAGACAAGACCGGTTGGAGAAAGAGCAGCAGGCAAATCGAGATGGAGATGAAACAAGCACAGACAGAATCCAAGGCGTAGGGCTCGCGCAGGAGGAGCTATTCCTTTAAGAAGGCTATGTCCATAACAATCAGTTCCGACCAGCCCCATCTCGGGTGCTGGTGGCAGAGGGGGAGCGCATCATTGTCAACATCACTGGTGTCCGAGTTCAGGACGTTCGGGAGATGATGCAGGCCCGTCGACTGCGGAGAAGCCATCCACTGTCGGAGGACGATGGCGGATTGGGAAGCATTTGATGAAAGGTGAGTGGAGGGGAGACGAGGGCGAATGGAGGGGCAACAACTGCAGTTGTGCTGATGCAAGCCGAGGAAAGATTCGCCCGGCTCTTCCCGAATTCCGGTCACGTGATGGTGCCCGGAGCGTGAGAGATAAGAAGTATCGCCGCGATTGAGTCCTCCCACCTTCATCACAGGAACAACAACTTCCGCACCATTGCTCGGTGCACCATTGACCCGAGCTACGACCGTCGGGTGCGTCCGGAGGAAAACCTCGCACAGTATCTAGGGCTAGAACATTTAGCCCAGGAGTATCACAAAGATTTTGCTAATGACAAGGTACACCGACGGGGCGACCATGATCTCATCAGTCACGCCTCATTCAACTTCTCGGCTCGACGATAGAATGGCGGCAGTGGCTCCAACTTTTGTCTCAACACCCACACCCGGAAATGCCACACGGCGTTCTTCATCTGGTAGCTCATGTGCTTGCGGGTGCTGACGCCGAAGACTTGATCGAGTTCTTCCAGGGTCAAGGCCTATGAAGGACGTTAGCACCACGCACCAGACACATCCACGCAGCGCTCGAACGTACCTTGGTCTCGGGCACAAACAGAAGAATCAAACACCACAAGATGATACACCACGCGCCATACCAAGCAAAGGCCCCTTGAGGCTTAAAGGCCGTCAGAAGATGTGGCCAGGTGAAACTGAGGATGAAGTTGAAGCACCATGTGGTCGCCGTGGCGAATGACATGCCCACATCACGGACGTGCACCGGGAATCTGCGAGTCATGTCAGTCTCCGGTTGCCACAGACGGTTCGAAACGTGGTTGTTGTGTCTGAGGAGGGAGAACCTACGCCTCAGCCGAATACGTGAAGGGCACAGGACCTTCACCGGGGGAGTAGAAGACCTGGGAGAACAGTATTAGTAAGGGGCAGAGGCGGATGAGGAACAACCCAATGTCCACGCACCTCAAAAAGATACATTCCAGTAGTAACCATGCCGACTTTTGCCTTTGTGTTAGTGAACCAGAAACTGAAGCCCGTCCACAGCAGGAAAACGGCCAAGAAGGGAAACGTGAACAACAACAGATTTCGTCGTCCCCACCGATCGATGGTAAAGACCGCTGGAAGAGCAAACACCCAGTTGAGGATGCCGGTGCCCATGGATGCGAGCAAGGCCGATGTCGTTGAATATCCAGACTCGATGAAGATTGTGGTCGAGTAGTAGGCTATCACATTCACGCCGCAGAACTGTTGTCCGAACATGACAATCCAAGAAGCCCAGGTTGCGCGGCGGTTGCGAGGTACGGTAAAGAGCTCGACGAATTGCGTGAACAGGTTCTTGCCCTTGTGAGCCTTGCGTTCGAGCTCGACGCCGACGTAGGTGTAGTAGGTGTCTCTTGCTGCTTGCATATCGGTAAATCGCAGGCGGCGGAAAGAACGGAATGCCTTGTCGGGGTGCCCGTGCTGGATGTACCATCTGAGGGACACGATCAGCGTGACTCTCCGTGGGAGAAGTGACGGAACTTGCCTGGGACTTTCGGGACAGAAATACACTTGCGCACAGACGATGAGTGGAAGAACGACGGTGCTACCGAGCATGAGTCGCCAACCAAGATCTGGGGCCAATCCACCAAACGCAACGCCCATGATATTGCCGAGCATGATACCTAAACACTATCAGAGAGGGATAGCTGTGGACCAAAGGAAATGCCCTACCGAACGCTGTCCACATCTGCCACATCATCACGAGAGCACCCCTAATAGGTGCGGGAGCACATTCGGCGGAGTATACTGGTACAGTCGAGGACTTTGGGCCAATCCCAAGACCTGAATAGATCAGTATCGAGCACACAGACCTGCGAACCTCAAGGACTCACCCAACACGAATCGAGCCAAGAACAAGTTGACCCATGAGTTTGCCACGCCCTCCCATATAGAGGCGACGGCGGCAATGAAACAAGAGATGAAAATGGTGCCGCGGCGAGCGAAGACCTTGTTGCACGGCTCCGTCAACCAGCAACCCAGGATTGCACAGCATACTAAGAAGAGTCAGTCGTCCGCATGGCCAGCGGACTCGAAGGGCAAAGGGATGCTGCCGGAAGAACATAACTTACAGTATGGCGCGCCCACAACAAGCCCAGTCAGGTTGTCAACCATGGCCGGCGAGAAGCGGTCCGTGGTAATATTCAATTGCTTCAGATACAATGCTTGCGCACCATTGTTGACCGTTTCGTCCATCCCTTGTACGGCTGCTGCCAGTGAGCACATGACCACGAGCCAGTACAGCGTCTTCGGCTGGTGCCACCGATGAGTCTGTTCTCTCATGAGGACTTCTCGGTCCTCAGGAGTCAACTCCACGATGCCTTCCGTGTCACCAGGGCTCTGAGCCACCAAGGCACCTCGACGGAAGGCATCGATATGCTCCGCAAGGTTGTTGTCGCGACAGAAGGCCTCGACCTCTTCCAGGAGTTGCTCTTTGGGGATGCCGCTTAGCGGGTTCTCGAACGCAGCGCTCAGTTTGTCCACATCAACGTCCACGAAGGACCGTTTCCGAGGTCGTGCATCTTCAACGGCAGTGGCTGTTCGCTCACTGTCAACCGAGTGCTTTTCATTTACGGACTTTTCCGTGTGCGCCATGTTGCACACGGTGCGCTGCTGTCAGTAATCAAGTGTGTGAATATACGACGGCCTTCTGAGCAGCGCTGGGAACAAGCTGAGAGGGCCGTTGATTGCGCAAGGGAAGCCGGCCAAGGGGAGACAAGCAAAGGTCAAGGAATGACAAGAGTTGTCAAGACGGTCTTGTATATCTTGTGCATCCCACCATAGTGGCCGTAACTCGTACTCGCATTGATAGTTCCTCGCTCCAATGGCAGGGCACGACCACGAAGATCAATAGTCAACGTCATCGTGTCTGTTAGGCCACCGACTACCATGTGCTTGCCGGATATACGGGAAGACTGGGGCTCGGTCTGAAAGCCTTTTGGCTATTGAGGCCCAATCGTGGCGTGCGCGCCGTTGCAGAGCCGGGGTATAAAGTCGGGGGAATAGCTATCGACGATGAGGGCGCACGGTGTCCTGTCTATATCCTTGCCTCGCATACGTCATACTGTCACAGCAGCTGTTGATCAATTGTGCTGGACGATGGCGACGCATGGTGGACGCTGTCGATCGAGCCTGCTTGGCCAATGGAAGGAGGAGGAGCAGGAAGAAGCTCGACACCATCTTCGACAGCGTCCCGTCTGCCAAGGGACGAGATACAGCATGAGTACTCCGTACTCCATAAACGTTACCACCGTCCCGTACCCGGTACTCGTAGTCGTGTGCCAGAGATCGGACGAGACTGCCCCGGCCACCCCACGGAACAGTCCTTCTCTTCCTTGATGTCCCGCCGACCCTGGAGTACTCGTGTCCACTGCTTTTGATTGTGCCTGACTGGTTAGTGGACGCCCAGCTCTGTGCATGAAGGGGGCAGCATCAAGGTTTGCCTATGTAGCCGCTTTGGCCTCTGCTGCGTATGCCCCCGATAGGGTCTGTATGATATGGGTATCAGAGGGTTCCCAGGGAAGCGCAAATACACCTGTTTCATTATCCGTGTCGTCCCATCATTAATCGTATCCACGAGATAGTACTATACTCCGATGGTATCATGCCAGCATAGCTCTAACCAGATCGCTTGAACGCAGTGCAGCCTATTCTTGTATAGATTCGTCCCAACCACCAATGTTTTCCAAGTACCTCCTGACCTGCGCTTTCTTGCCTTGGAGCGCACTGCCTAGTGCTTCGAGCCATTGCTCTTCGATCATCGCCACTTGCTGCTTCAGTTCCGCAGTTGCTGCCGTCTCTTGCTCGCGTCGCACGTCCTCGGCGTGGTCCCCGGACACTGGGCCGTCCAGGTCAGCACGCGCTCTGCCCGCTTCGACAGCGCGGCATCTGGCTGCGAGGAGACCGACCTTCACCTCATGCACGAGACAGTGAAGATTGGTCTGCGACTCGATGAATTGATACGTCGACTTTTCCGCATGGTCGAGCAGGGTGTACAGATATTGTTGCGGGAAATCGCGATACGCTGGGTTCTCCACGTACTCGGCATCCGGGATGGCGATCGGTCCTAACTCGTCCAGGTCATCCGGTATTCTTTGGATCACGTCCAAGAGTCCAGGAGCAATGTCCCAGAAGGCGGACGATTGAAGTTCTACTTCTCCACCAACGTTTTCTGCAACTAATTCCGAAAACTTTTGATAGCGGACCAATGCTTCGTCGTAGAATTCTTTGCGCCGCTGGAGGTTATCACGCGCGAAGAAGCTTTCGGTATCGCGAATCTTGTCCAAATTGCTGTTTTGATGATAGGGAAGAAGCACAATGGCCTTGTATTTGTCATTCCGCTCCGTGAGAAGGTCGAAGATGTCCTTGTAGATGGTTTCACGAGTCTCGAACAACCACTTGAGCTGTGTCAGATATTCCAGGATCTCGGGTACTGCATCGCCTTCCTGTTGTGGTCGGTCAAGATTCTGAGCGCTTGTTTCCGCCATGAGTTGTTCCGTCAATCCGTTGATATGCGTCGTCAGCTGGGCAACTCTGTCGTTCAACATCTCATGCATTGGATTAATTACCACATCCTGCAACGTGTCGAACTCTGCCTTCAGGCACGTCTTCTCGGCTTCATTCTCCTGCAACCGGAGAACCTGTTCGGCTTCTGCCGCTTCGGTGTAGGTAATGCTGCCATCATTTATCTGCGCCGAGATATTGGCCCTGAAGTTCTTCTGTCCGTCAGAGATTTTCCGCTTGTGTTCTGTTCGGAGGGCTTCCACGCTCAGGTTGTGTCTCGACCTCCTGTCTTTCAGCTCACTCAAATCACTCAACAGTCGGACAAGATTTCGGTATACGGCCAACTTAGGGTGGTTGTTGTTCACCGCGGGGTAGTGCCTCGGATACGGTGGCGGCAAAGTAATGAATCTTGAGATGTCAAAACCCATCGGCGTCAAGGGGTTCACTGGCGTGTCATCAGGTATTGGTATCGGCTCCCCATCGTCGTAGACACCGAAACTCTGTGGGTCCGACTTTTCCGGCGGATAGCCCTCTGCTGAGCCGTATACCCCATTGATGTTTGTTGGCGTTGCGGCTTCAGACAGCACTTCATGCATTGAAAGCGTTGAAAGACCCATATATTTCGATTCCCGTTTAGATCTCTTCATTTTGGTAGGCGCACCGTCGGCTTCGGAGCCTGTTTGTGATTGCCACCACCGACTTGCCGTCCTTCCACGAGAACTCAAATCATCGTTACTCATGCTGGCGATTGGAGAGAGTTCGGGGTGATACTCCTTAGACCACAGCGTGTCTGAGCGTTGAGGGGGGTCGATTCTGATTGCATGCATAGGCGACTGTCTGGTGGCAGGTTGCCTGTTCGTGCTATCCCGAAATAGACGCTGTCTGGCCTCGTCTGCATTGAAAGTACCATCAACGAACGGGCCTGGGCATTGTCCCCGTCGAATGTTCGACTCTTCGATCACGTACTGCATAAAGATCTGCAACCTTTCGAGCTCGCTGTTGGCTTGACACTCTTGAAGCAGAAACTCATGATGTCTTCTAGATGCGTCCTGCATGAACGCATCATATTCACCACGACCGAGTTCCGAGACCGAAGAGGCAGTCGACGGCCGGACACTGTGGGCAGATGCAGGGTTTTTCTGACTCAATGGGGGGGTTGGCAATGCCTTCGATGGCACAAGAGGCGTGTGGCTATTCCGTCTCGACAAGCCTGGAGGATATGGTGAATCTATGGGCGTAGGTGCGTTATCATAGCTTCCATAACGAGATCGAGACCTGCTGTTCGTGCGCAAGCCACGTCGGGCAGTTTCGGGGCTGACTTGGTCAGGAACGAGGGGTTCGAGTGTGGGCGAGTGTTCGGGGCTGGCGGCTGTCGGACTCATACCATCAAACCACGGGTCGGTATCAATAGTCAAAGCACTCAGATCTGCTACTTGACCTTCATGCAAACTTCGGCGCTGTTTTCGGCGTTCGAGCAGGCCCTTGGCTGAGGAGACTCGAAGAGCAGCGCTTCTACTCAGCCCCGCAGGATGAGACCCTGGCGGATCAAGGTTGATAGTTTCGATATGTAATGGTAACGGTGCTCTAGAGTTCGATCGCGACCCGGACTGGTCTCTCCAATTTGCAGGCGTCGGAGGCATTGGACTGAGCAGTGGGGCCCGCAACGGTATGCGATGACTTGGTCGACCGCTAGGTCCAGCAGCTTGTGGCTGCGCCAGATTTCGAGCCCCGCCGGTACTGTGTGATCTCGAAGACGACGGAGGTGGGCCAGGGGGTGGGCCTGGCAGAGGCATCCCTGGATACCAACTCCTCTGCTTTGAGGATGATCTCGAAGAGGAGCCATCGTGCTTGTCATTGCCGGCGCCATGAGAAGAAATAGGGCCAGCTGAAGCGGCTCTTCTTGAAGCTGGTGGTGCCGGAAGCGGTCCCTGGCTCGGCTCTATCTGCGGAGGTTGGGCCATGCTTTGTTGCGCCGCTGCCGTATTAATCGAAAGACCAGTCACGTTTACAGGTCTGGTCATGCTCAAGGCAGATCCTGGTCGTGATCCATGGTGCTGTGAAGAAATACTGAGTCGGCTCGGCCGAGGATCAAAACCGCCGCCTCGCCCCGGGGGCAAGCTGAAGTACGGCGGTCCGCTGGGATCAACTGGATTTTGACCGCTATCAGCCACTGATGTCTGGTTCGTTGGTGACAAGATCCCAACTGTGCTCGTTGGCGTGTTCGACTGCGTATGGTTGCCAGCAGTGAAAGTCGAGTCGGTGGGCGAGACGGTTGAGCCAGCACTTGTTGCCTCGCGAAGAGCAGCAGAGGGGGCAGAGTACGGCGGAGGAGGATTGGGTATCCCATCTGCGCCAATAATAAGTAGTGTTTACCTTGAACACACCAGTCAACATACCTTCCGCTTGTGCCCCAGAGGATCGACCATCCAGCACCATCGACGCTCGTCGACTTCCTCCCACCCACTCCCTTGGGTCGTACGGAGCATTGTAGTTGGTCATAACTCTTGCAGCCATTGGAAAGGCACTTCGAGGACTCGGCACTGGTGACGCAAGGTACGTTGGAGAGAGGGGCCCCTGCAAGGCAGGCGCAGAGACCGGAGTATGGGTCGACAGGCCACGAACAGAAGCGATGTTAATGTTCAATGGTGGTCGAGCTGGGAAGTGACCAGGCCGCAGGGGAGAGGCTGGAGGTCGGCCATCCCTTGGAGGTGGCGGAGGAAGAGGAACGAAGACAGTAGGAGTCGCTGGGGACTGTTGATATTCAAAATGGGCGTGTTCAGCCGCAGGCGATGGTCGGCTTGCGAAAAGATGTTAGTCTCGCTATGATCTGTGACAAGAAACAGAATAGTCGAGGTCAACATACACGGACATATTGTGAAGAAGTAGTCCTGTCCAAACGCCTGATGGAGATTGGTAGGCTAAGCGCCCGCACGGCTCATGTCACATATGCCCACTGTGGCCATCGTATTGTGCCGCCACTGTCGGCCAGGGTGACTGCGGTTACGGGAACAGCATCAGACCGAGCCTCACGGAGTCAGTGAGAGCCCAAACAAGAAGCTGCTTGCGCCTGAATTAGCTGATGCCTCAGGCGATTAAGGTACAGAATAGCCAGAAGGAATTGTATGAGTGGGGACTTTGGGGGGGCAGGTGTTGTTGCTATTCTTTGCTTCAGGGCTGCAGGCCAAGCTTAACTTAGAGCCACGTCGCTTAGTTGAGCAGCTTCCCCTTTTGTGGTCGGAGAATAACTCGTGGTCTGGGCTGCCATGTCCACCATCGCCGATTTAGGGAGTGTTAGATTGGATGCTGACAGGATGGATGCGGGAAGTCGGCAGGAACCCAGAGCAGATGCGGAATGGCGTCGACGAGTCTTGTCCAGCTCGCGAACCAATGGATGATGGGAAGGCGGCTGATGCTGTTTGTGCTTGTTAGAAAATACTGAGTAGTCCCCCCAAGTGTCCGTACAGGCGAGATTATTTCAGGCTTAGCGTGATCGGCCGACCTTCCTTGCACATTTTTGTGTGATATTGGATTCGACGCGATTTTCTGAGTTGGAGAAAATTTGGTTGTGTTCGACTTTATCATCGTCCTGCACCACCAGAACACCTTGCCGCTTCCTGCTACTACTCCAAGAGGGACCTGGGGCGAGATGACGACCTCTCATCACAGTCCGCAGGCAGTGAGAGGGTCGCAACCCCAACACGCTGCAACAATGAAACCAGACGAAATGCTAACTCACAGGCTGCACGGCTGAACGCCTGACCCGTCGTCCCGACTTGACAATGACAGTCTCACGCGACACGTAGCGACACCGACCTTCTCCAGCTTGACTTGATGCATGACAGCATGACCCGTGATGGGACTTGGTTAGAAAACAGAAGAGGAAGGACATATACAGATATGGTTCGTTTCTCACAAGTCCTCGTCCCCCACAATGATGAATCTGCATACCGTAACAAACTAGAGTCTTTGATCTTTCGGGACATGAAACTCAGTACGCAACGCACGTCAGTCTGATACTGCGGAACCATCTACACGCTCTTCAGGGTTTTCATTGAGCTTCTCAAGCTAACACTGAGTCCAGATATCCGGCAGGCGACTCCATCTCCTCCGACCTATTTCAGTTCTGTCTCGTGGGTACGTTCCTTCCTTCTTATCGTTCGCACCCGGTTTATTATGATGATCATTTCGAAACAATATACGCTGGAAATTACCGGCAGAGACTCTCGAGTCGCAGAAGATATCAAATGGCTATATCTGATTCTCCCCACCACCTCACAATCTTACTCGCTCAGCTCTGCAGCAATCGTGCGCTGACAGTTGACCAGATCTGACCAGGTACGGTGATGACCCTTTCCTTGTCGCTGTCAGACCTCCACTTGATGAATGGCACTGGGCTCCGACAGCCCAACTTGGCTGGACTTGATGGAAATGCCCTATGGAGGCAGGCCTAGAAAACCTCGCCCACTGATCGGATCAACCTCAATATCTGTCAACATAACCCCGTCTGCACTCATGCTGACCGTCTGAAGAAAAATCGGGTTCACATAAGATATTGGAAGGTTCAGCGCCTCCGTGAGTATATTGCACTATCTCTGGCCCTGTTTCCATGATGAACAATCTAGATGACGAGTCTTATTCAGCACGCTGATGCAGACAAAACTCAAATTACCATTCATGCATTTCCTGAGTCCCACATGCATCAACGATACTCCTGCCCTTCGAGTACGCACCGCTGACCTCACTTTCCAGTCCAGACCGAGTCTATCAAGACATGTATGTCGATCCCTTCACGAATCTTTCACTCCATTGTGATGAATCGACACATTCAAAAGACAAGCATATGTCCAAGTCAACTTCGGTTCGCAAAGACGAGATTGTCAAGCCTGATATCCATCACCGCCGCCCTGCTCCTCAAAATGCTCTTATATCGGGATACTGATAAGCATCTTGCAGATGGACTTTGTACCGTGCTTCTGGCGTGAGTACCCCTCAATTTCCTCCACCATGTTCTGTTGAGGATGATTTATTCTACTTTTATCACGACGGTCAACGTAGCATATGCTTTGACGACCACAGCCTATGACAGGGCTTAGATCTGATTGCTTCGCAACCATGCCTTACTTTCCAAAGCAATTACTTGCGCCATAGCTAACTTCTGTCAGCGCGGAGTTTGTAAACAAACTTGAGTTCTGGGAACATCTGTTATACTGAGCCAGTGACAATTTTCCCTCGTGGCATGGCTTACCTTCACCTGCTTCCGGATTTTCACGTGCATGGTTTACTTTTATTATTTCATCTACCATTCTTCACCCTTCCCTCTCTTTTGGCTTGCAGCACTGCACTAGACCCATTTGATCATTCCTTTCATTGTGTTCGAGGCGTGGCAACCGATCCAAAATGGCAGCCACTTATACCAAGGCCAGACTTGAACATGCACTCAAAGTTTTCCGCGAGGCACGAAAAGCCTCGAAACGTACCACGACCAAGGTACAGCGCCACCTACGCGACGATTACCAATTCCGGCGAGTCAGAGCTCCTAATAATCTTATTCAAGCCACTGCTTGGGATGACGACGACGCATCGTCCGATGACTTCAATCCCGAAGCTCCGAAAAAGCGTCGACTTTTCAACACGAGAGCATCCAGGGCTAAACGCTCCAAACAAGACCAGCGACCAGTAAACCCCACACATACCACAGCTGGGAAGATCGAAGACCGATTGATACCTTTCCCTACTCTGCTGACTATTCGCTTGGCGTCTTTACGTGGAAAAGTCCTCCTCAATGAGCTTGCTGTTCAGTATGGCACGGGCTACGAGACGAAGCACAAGAGCGACAGAAAAGCGAGGAGAGATGGCCGATACGAATCGACCAAAACGTATCTGGAGCTCCAAGATGAGGAGAGCTGCAAGATCGACGAGGGCACCACACGCAGTGGTCTCAAGAGAAAGATCGATTGTACAGCCAACAACCATGGGCCTCCTGCCTGCAAACAATCTAAGGAGCGATGCGCCACGAAAGACTCTCAAGACCCATCCTGTAACCGCTGTGAGACTGATCATCTCAAGTACGGTGCATCCAAGAACGATGAAGGGTCGACTAGACTTGAAAGAACCGCAGAGTCGAAGCGAACTGAAGCCTCACGTGTTGCAGCTGCCCTGACTCCGTCTTCTCTCTTGGCTCCGCCGACTCCATCTCCATCTCCAATGGCCGAAAGGCCTATCGATCAATTGCGGAGACACTATGTTGAAATTCAAGCCATGCTGGGCACCTCAGGCTCGTTGGCTGGAGTGTCGCGAGACAACCCGATCACCTTGGACTCACCCAGTCCTTCTCCTAAGTTAGCGACCCCAATGCTGTTCTCCACATTCACCATTACCACGCCTTGGGCCCATCCCATCAACTTCCAGTGCGCCGTCAATGCACAGCCATCGTGCCATTTCTGCTATGATTTCAGGTACGGTATTTATGGGTATGGTCCCATTGAAGCTGAGGTCGCTCAGCGGGCAGACGGACAGCTGCAGGAGTGTGGGAAAGGGCATCGTCTTCAAGGGAAGGAAGTAACGCGAATGTGCGTAGAGTGTTCACTGAAGCGTCTCCACGTGTCGAGATGTCAAGAGCACTCCGTTCACAGGTTTGGCGACCCTGAGCCCGCCAGGTTCAAGGCATACATTGGCCAGTTGCTGGACAAGCGCTATCCTAACGGGCCCGCCATCAAACTCGGCGTCTACTATACCTGTTCATTGTGCACGCAGCCTGCATTTTGGCGGTGTGTGGCCGACCAGTCGCGCAATAGGTACGGGCAGAAGTTGAGAGCGGAAGAGGGAAACGGCAGGGGTTGCGGATTGTTCCTGTGCAAGTCTTGCTCTGCGAATCTTCAAGCTGACAACGGCGTCCTGAAGAAGACCACGGTCCGGAAATCCAGTGGCCATGACTGCCGCCGGGCTGACATGGAGTTTCTTTTCCCGGGTAGCTTGCTTCACCAGGCATACAAATGACCCAGGGCCCACGGGCGGAGAGCTATGGTGGAACCGATCTGAGGATTGGTGGGCCTTCGATCTCAAGACTTGGCTTATAGGGGTGCCTTACTCGGCTCTCTTGAATGGAAAAGAATTGAGGCATGGCCACGGCGTTTTCTTCATGTATCTTAGTCGCTCCGGAAGTAGAGATGATGATTGCTGCAGCGAGGAACCTGGAACTGGAGAAACGCAGATGAGCAGGCCATCGAATAGACGTCTGGAGGCATGCGCCTCGATGAACACAATATTTGGCTCAGCTACAAGAGATATTGCTTCGTGTTGCCAATGGTGGGTGGCATGTCCACATCGACCCTCAGATCTTCTGGAGTGACTTTTGTCATGTTGAGGCCGATAAGCAAATTTGGGGGCGATAAGAAACTGGGGGGCAGCTGCAGCTCGTCCTCGCCTCCCACCGCCTATTAACCAACACCTAAACAAACGTCCTTCAACTGACCAACTCTGATATACGGCTTCAAGTTTCCAGGAGACGCCAGAGTGCCGTACGTCTTTGTGATTCTCCATCGTCAGAGTCCCTGTCTTGTCGCCGGCGTCATCTCCCCGTGAGTCCGTCACAAACGCAGTCTGAAGTCGGCGACCGACTGCTGCACGAGGACAGTCCGTTCTTCTTCCATATTTTCGTCCATCCGCATGCCTCATTCCACCAACACAGCCTTGTACTGGTTCATGAAACACTACCAAAGACGGCTTACGTCTTGCATTGTCCATTGAGGCTGGATGTGACATCCACAACGCCTCCCCTGGACTCCCCCTCCCCGAAGCGAGAGATTCGACTGCGGGCACTCTGAACCCCACGCCCAGCCTCACACCCAGCGGAATTGGGCACACCGGGCATCGCCGCACCGCAATCCGGCCGGGAGCCATGAGCTTCGTCCAGTCCAGCCCGATAGCCATGTTGAGCAAGAGCGCAATGAACAGGATAACCCAGCCGTCCGATGTGAGCACACCTTTCCTTTTGATGTCGCTTCTCACATTGGCTTTCTGTTTGCCTGCTTTGTTGTGCACTTGGCAGTGTCGGCTCTGGACAATCAGCGGCGTGGCTGATAACGGGGAAATACTTGTTGGACGTCAACGATCCATACCCAGATCCGGTATAAGATCTGATGGAGACTGCCCCTCAAAACGGCGCCCGGCGGGAAGAGGCGGCCACCCTGTCAGCCGAGGCACAATGCTGGCAACAGGTGTGACGACAGATTGTTGATACGCACCGCCAGCAACTCGATGACATATGGGCACATGGTCCGATGGCCCGGACAGGGGCCGAACATGCTTTGGTGGCCACCGCACGAGTACGGAGTACAGCCCTGCGACACAGCAATACAACAACACAACACCGGTCTCCTGGCCTCTGCCACCGCCTTTACCTTCTGGAAGGAGTAAGGCCGCGATCATTCCTGTGGTTGGATTGTGGGGAAGCAAGATCTTCCCTCAGCCCTAAGCCGGTCCCTGATTTTTCCGAGATTGTCAAAAATTCAGTCTGGACGCATTTGGCCGTTGGGAGGACACCTTTTCTACTGGCGGGCCTGCTTGTCGTTGTCATCGACAGCCTCCAGGAGCGTCGGCGTCGCTATTGACATCGACAACAGCGTCGAATTCCACAACGACGACATCATCGCCAAGGCCCCCCCAACTGGGCCTCCGCCATTTCAAACAATCCCACTCACGATGGGGCAAGACGTGAGCGCGCACGATTCTCCTCGTTGATACGTTTGTTGTCTCTCCCTGTTGTGTCTTGCGTTGTTTCCTGCTGGTCGCCAACCAGCGTGAACGAAGGCGCCATCATGGCGCTTTACTCTCCCCCCGCCCTCCACCCAGTATGCATATGCTCCTGTTTTGTCTGCGCGTCCTCCGAGCCTACAGATGCTAACGAGTCGGTTACAGGGCGATGTCACCCAGATCGTGGTGGTGATGGTCGGCCTGCCGGCCAGAGGGAAGAGCCTGATTGCAGGCAAAGGTACGCTGTGCCCATCACGCTTGGTTGAAGACGCTGACGAGATCCGAATAGTCAAACGATATCTGAGGTGGACCTCAGTCAACGCTGAGGTGTTCAATGTGGGCAAGTACCGACGAACAGACAACCCGCACCCAGACGCCAAATTCTTTGACGTCAACAACCCTGAAGGCGAGAAGGCTCGAAAGGCGGCAGCAGAGGCGGCCGTCGCCGACATGCTGAACTGGTTCAAGAACAAAGACAACAAAGTCGCCATTCTCGATGCCACCAATTCCACCAAATCCCGGCGCAAATGGATCCATGACAAAATCGTCGAGGCCAACCTCCTTCACTTGTTCGTCGAGAGTAAATGTGACGACGAGGACCTGATCATGGCCAACATCCTCGAAGTCAAGACCACATCACCAGACTACATCGGCCAGGACCCCGAAGAGGCTGCCAAGGACTTCCGAGACCGCATTCGCAACTACGAGAAGGTCTACCAAACCATCGATGAATCAGAGAGACACTTGACCTACGTGAAGATCATCAATATCGGCGACCGAGTCGTCATCAACCTCATCCAAGACTACCTGCAATCGCGCCTTGTGTACTACCTCACGAACCTCCACATAAAACCCCGAAGCATCTGGCTGTCACGACACGGCGAATCGATGTACAACCTAGATGGGAAGATCGGTGGCGACGCAGGCTTGTCAGACCGCGGCGAACAATACGCGAAACTGCTACCAGCGCTCGTCAAGCAGTCAGGCTTGCCGAAAGATGCTCCGCTCACCATATGGACCTCCACCCTCAAACGCACCAGTCAGACAGCGCGGTATCTGCAGGAAGAACTCGGCTGGGAGAAATTACAATGGAAGGCTCTCGACGAGCTCGACAGCGGCGTCTGCGATGGCATGACTGTGAGTTTCATTGCATGATCTTCTGCCTCGTGTGCATTTTTTGGTGTACTGATCTTCCATTCCCTGTCTTTAGTACCAGGAGATATCCGACGTGTACCCTGAGGACTTCCAAGCTCGTGATGACGACAAGTACAACTATCGGTACCGTGGTGGCGAATCGTACAGAGACGTCGTCATTCGTCTGGAACCGATTATCATGGAGCTGGAGCGCAGCGAGAATGTCATGATAATCACGTATGGTCCATCTTCCCGCCGCTATCTGCTATGCTAATGCTCTCACACAGCCACCAAGCCATCGTCCGCTGCATTTTCGCATATTTCATGGAGATCCCTCAAGAAAAGTCGCCCTGGATGGAAGTGCCACTGCACACACTCATGAAACTCACGCCAAAGGCATACGGCACAGAAGTAGAAAAGTTCAAGGCTGATATTCCCGCGGTATCGACCTGGCGGCCCAAGGGTTCGACGGCAAAACATCATGATAGTATCAGCGAAGGGATGCCGGAGGTTGTCGTCGGGGAAGTCGATGGAACAAGCACCAAGCTCAAGGAGGACTCGGTACCCAAGATCGTCATGGCTGGATTGCCGATGCCGTAGCAGCAGAGAGGCGTTGATATCTCGTCAAAATCAGAGTGTAGGTACCACGGGCAGCAGAGAAGCATTGAGCAATGAGCATATCGACATGACCGGATTTCAGATGCCATGGGCAGCAGAGAAGCGTTGACGTCTCGTCATGACCGGATTACAGATGCCGTGGGCAACAGAGAAGCGCGGAGAGACAATGGCCTCGCGCAGCACCAGAATCGAGCTACCAAAGAGCTATGCATCAGGTAGCGTCCATTTGCGTCTGCTTCGCGGCACTCGAGAATCACCAGGGCGACACAGCACGGCCATAGCTGAGAACACAAATGTCCACTCCCACCCTCCCCTGCTTGAGCATGACCTGCTCTCTCGTTCGTTCTACAGGAGCTCGAATGCGCTAAATCTCCTATGGAAGAAGTGAAGTACCGTAAGTTCCTCTTCTGCTAGTATTAGACCCCAAAATCTTAAGAGCTCGTATTTGCTGGAGTATCGATGGGAAGCGAAGGAGGATCAGACAACCAAGATCGGAAGGGCCAACATGGTCCATGCGCCATTACACACGAGTACTGCATTGCTAGGTGCCTACCTAGGTACGGAGTACCTTAAAGGTTATAGTCCCGATCAGATCAAGTTACAAGTATTCAGGTAAACCGTGAGGCACCTAGGTGTGAGATAAGTTTAGTCTACTCTGAATGTACCAAATGACATGAGTGCGACTGCGGTGCGACTGCGATGCGACCACGACTGCGATCCTTTCGGCAGAAACTCGCAACAGAGGGATCTAAAGAAGGGTACATAATTAATCATCGAGTGTGTTTCCAGGAAGCCTGATGCCGGAGGCAGCCGCGTGCTGTGTATTGTGTACTGTGCTGTGCTCAGTCTGTACGCAGAATGCGGAGTTTAACTAGGCAGATATCTGCTCGATCAGTCCCTCACTTGTCGAAGCTGGTAGGAACGTTGTTTCGGTAGCATGAAGAGGTCGTGTTGACGCGGCCGGCGGATGGCGCTCGATCCATCCGATGAAAAGCAACGAGTTAGGGCATTAAAAACCTACAGTACTGTAGCACACAAGTCAAAACAGGAAGACTGCTGCGTTTGTCAAATGTACACTCAAAGGTCTTCCTCGTTCTTCATCGCTTTGAACAGAAAGCAAAACGCTCAGACTAAATTAGGCCCCCTGAAACTTGGAGCACACCTACATTATAGCCAGTCCACATAATCGTCAGCGTGGCGTGCACCAGGTCAATCTCTTCAAACGCCTCATCAGCAAGCAAATGGTTCGCCGACAGCGCCGCTGTCATATGCATCGACAATGAGCTTGATGGAGACGTAGGTTCCTACAATTGGAGGAAAAGTCATTAGCAAAAGTCTGTCCTGATGCGCTCTATGGCACCACCGTGCCGGATCGGGGTAAAAGCTCAAGGACATATCGGAAAGCCTGGCAGACCCCCGAAGACTCACCTGCAACACAAATGAATGCCCCGGCTAGGAATGTTGCCATGTTCACCGCGGTCTTGACGGGACTCCCGGTCCACGCCCTCAGCCCGTAAGTGCCTCTGATGCGTCCCTTGTCCAGCCCGTGCCATGCGTCGTACAGCCAAAACGCGCCCGCGATGCCGTAGGTATACCAACTAGCAAACAACGAGGCGGCAATACTGACGAGATACGCGAAGATAGGCACACCGACAGCCAGCACGAACGCCGCGCCATTCGCAAGGATGATAAGGGCCGTCCAGGTTCCCCATCCGAGGACTGTGTGCTGGTGTAGGTGTCGGGTCTTTCGGAAGAGACGGATGAAGAAGAGTTTGGCAGCCGTGTGAGAGTACAGAGAGCCGGCAATCAGGAAGTTCGGCAGCGCGATACCGTATGTGGCTTTTGCCCACTTCGTCGGCAGGGACGAGAATGCCGGCGACGAGACTGACGGGCCAAGGTACACGTACATGACGATGGCGAAGACGGCATAGAATCTACAGACCCCAAGTCAGTCCTTTGTTTACCTGGCGAGAGGCACGGGCCCGGACAGAGAGACACTTTTCTCCGATGGGGCGATTCCCTTCCCTCATGGCAGGCAACACTTACGTGGTGGCAAAGACCTGTAACACCCAGGCAGCCTTCTTTGCATCCTGGGGCCTCTTCATTTCCGAAATCAGGATGAAGAACATGAAGTGTCCTGCATATGAAAATACCGGGTTCGTGATCGACACGAATGCATCGTAGAAACTCGCCGAGCGTGCCACGTCGACGTGTCTGTCCGGTGCTGGGTTCGCCCCCGCTGCGGCCATGCCGACAATGCCCGCCACGAGGATACAGATGCACGAAGGAATGCAGAGCCAGGACAGTTGATCGAGGGTTCGAGGGAAAGACAGGATGAGAGTGGGGATGGCGAATATGCCTGGTCCGTCAGTGATTCGTCTTGGCCGTGCTCATGCCCATGGCCTCGTTAACACACCTGTATACCACATCAGGCAGAGTTTGTTGTCTGACAATACGCCCAGAGTGATCTGACCGGCCAGTAGCTGTCTGCGCGGGGCCATTAGTATTCCCATCCTCGACAGACGATGACACACACTGGGTCAGGCGGCACACGAGTATCCAGAAATTGGGGGAACTTACGATCCCGTGGCACAGACAGCGAAGATGACAGTTCCGGCAGCCAGTATTTCGCGTAGGATCGGGCCTCCCAGGATCTTGCCAGCGTCGCCCATATTGTGGACTTCTGGGTGGTTGAGCTTGAAATCAATGAGGACCAGCGAGGTGTACAACGCGAAGATCCCTGTGCATTCGTGTGTCAGCGACATTTATTGGGGCTCTGCGGTCATATTACCGAGAAACACAATCAAGACGACGCCGGGCACGATGCCTACCACGGCTGTAGCTGCTGGCAGTGAGAGCATGCCATTGGAAACGATCTCGGCGATCATGAGTACGGCCACGAGCGGCCAGGATAGCGTCTTGTACTTGATATCCGCGCCTTCCTCGTTGCCGAATACGTCCCGCTCTATCACTGTCAGCAATCCCCTACGAGTGGATGACTAGTGTTCGAATGCTGTACCATGGTACCCGGACGGTGCGCCGTCGATTAGACTCCCCGACTGAGTAGCGGATAGTCCTTTGGGTTCGACGACATCGTCACCTGGGCCTCTATAGTCGTAGGTCTTCTCAAAGCCGGACATTTCGATACAGTAAAGCGAGACCGCTCAATGAGCTCTCGAATAGCGACGGCTGCTTAACGAGCACGAGTCGTGCTTTTCACGAGCTCTCCGTCACGGAAGAATCAAGGGCAGGATGTACTGTCAGGAAGAGTTGAGGTGTCGCAAGACGGTCGTGGAGAGTCTGGCGGACATGGACATTATGCCCCATGATTACGAGGTATCGCGCCGTCGCATCGTTCGCTGCCAAAAGAGGAAGGTCATTAAGCTCTTGGAAAGATTGTCGTGATAGATTATTAGGAGCGCGTTGGATAGAAATCCTCGCAGCCACACGGCGCTGCTTCCAGCCACAGTCCAGTTTTGGCTTAGCGTACAGTGGCTTGACGGTGCTTGACCTGCTGTGACGGAAATTCACGAAAAGCTGCACATGCTGGAATCGCAATTGGGGAACCTGGCCGCCCGGCCAATCATTGGTCCGGCCGGCCACCCCACTGTTCGTCATTCCACTGGCAACTGGTCTGCAGTCCCAACTTGCCGTGGAAACCTGGCAGCGGGAGCTTCTGCTCTTTGCCTGTTCCGTCATTGTCACTCTACTCGCACCAGCTCGCAATCACCAACTTCGATCCTCTGCCGTCGTCCCTCTGAACCGTGTCAACCCCTTCACTTGCTCGCCGTGTCCTCCATCAGGCCCCCGACGAGATGAGTTACGCCGACGTTGCTGCCAAAGGGCCCAAGCAGTCCCCAGAAGAGGTACGTCACTCTATCCTTTGGGTTGAGAGTGTCCCAGAACTGACAAACAACAGGCGTATGTTGAAGCTAGGACGTGTGATTCGAGCGTGCGTAGCTGACTTCCTACCGACAGGCGGGCTCCACCTGTTCCTTCACTCGAACCATCCGAGTCTGAATCCGCAAGCTTGGTCGACGTCGATTCACCTCACGTCAGTTCGGTCACGTCTGATTTCCGAGAACAGTCGGTCAAGACGGACACCCAAGCTGAGAGACTCGAACACGAAGCGGAGGACAAGGCTCGTGCTGCGGCGAAGGAAATCTCTCAGGATGCCGATAGCGCTAAGAAAAAGGCTGCCACCAAGGGCAAGCAGATCAAGGACGAGCTGAAGAAGGATGGCCAGAAGTTGAACGAGAACAGAGACAACCCTGTGGTCATTGGCAATGCCCTCATCTGGGGTATTGCAACCATCGCCATCGGCTACGGCGCCTACCAGAAACACACCGAAGGCAAATTGGACTGGCAGCTGGCTGGGACCGTAGCCGGTGCCGTCGGTGCTTTCGCTGTGGCCGATTATTTCGGCAGCAAGTAAGTTTGATATATGTCCTGGAATCTCGCGGACCAAGACTAACGGGCGTAGGTGGCTCCTGGAGAACAAGTACCCTCCCAAATAGACGACGGTGGACAGCGAGACCTAACTCGATGTGGTTGGGAACGAAATTGTGTACTTTTGTATGAGCACTCTACTCGGTTGGACGGACAGGGCGGCTTCTCGCGTGCAAGCCTCTGGTGCCAGGTCTCTTTGCTCCCACGAATATGATATCCCTTTTTCGATTTCCTGAATGAAGTGCTTCCCCTTCCTGGCTCTAATCAGGGTCCTTTTGCAGAACCTCGCACAGTATTTCAGCAAATCTGACAACGCTAATAGCCTTCCCGTACTATTACCGGTGCTTGTCCCTATGTATCGAAGTTCCCATCATGACGCTCTTCGGGCTTCGAGTCTGGAGATATTCCATATCCCGCATGCGAAGAATACAAGACCGATTGCAATGCGACCAAGACCACAGTGAAAAGCCTGCAAAACCCATCCTGAGCATGGACGTCAAAATGAGGTTGAACGGAGGTGTCGAAAATCGAATATGAGTTGACGTCTGGCCACAGCAGGCTGAGGAATCCATTGATGGAATGAAGGACTAGCACCGGGTTCAAGACCATGGTGTACAGGAGGATAGGATTCTTTTGGAGCAGTCTGCAAAACGAGGGATTGTCGCCAGAGGACCTCTCTTCATGACCCATCGAGCTGTTCTTGGACGCAGACGGGATTGGTCGATGCGAATGTGTTTCTGCATTGCCGTACGCCATGCTGGCAGGTATGAATGCGGTTTGTGTGCTGCTCAAGATAAGATATGACAAGGGTATTTTGTGCAGAATACTGGCAACGAGTGGTCATTCCGAAGGGAAAAGAATAGTCTGGATGTTGCTAGCGGTCGAATTGATGCGAGAGACATGAATGAAGGACAGGGAGGAATATTTTCTTCCTCCGCCATTTAACAGTGATACCTGCCTCACCTTCACGCGGGTCACACCTGGGTCCGCGTTGGGAAGTCGCATTGCCTTAGTGCCAAAGAAGATTCTCACAAGATGTCGACATCAATGCCACGATCCAAAGGGCAGCTGAGACTCTATCCAGCTCTCGGAAGTCGACGACAACAACAGAAACACTATCTCTCCTCGCCTTCGAAGAAAGACGTTGTTCCTTGATGTCGAACTAGAGGTGTCCTGTAGAGCGTGAACTGACTATGTATTCGATGTAGTAAGCTGGCACATGTGCTGCGGGCGGAATTCTCTCCATGATTTGACTGCATCACTTTTGCAGGGTCAAGCCGTAGAAAGCGAGCTGGAAGGACAGCCTGTACTTTCCACTATTCCTAGACAACATGTCCCCTTGACAGATCAAATCACTTCTTTCATCACCGGATACCCTTGCTTCCTTTGTGTGTCACTCCGTTTCTGAGTCTCCGGCAAGATGGTAAGCCCACAGTTGTTCCTGTGCGCCATGGACTATCTGACGCGTTGCAGAATGTAGTCTTCAACCAAGCGCTCAAGCAGTCCACTGCTATTCGAAAAGACCTTGAAGCCTTTGCGCAGGCACCGGCTACTGCGTCCCCCGCTCTGCAAGGTCAGATATCCACGACGCTGACGAGCCTGTCGCGGACTCTCGAAGACTACCAAAATCTATCACGAAATGAATTGAACGAAGAGAAGAAAGAGAAGGCTGCGGAGCGCCTGAAGAACTTTCGGGCTGATCTAGCTTCGTATCGTACACAATTCGACCAACTCAAGAAAGAGCGAGACGGTGCTGTCGCAGCCAACAACAGGAACGAACTGTTGGGGAGACGGCCTCATCATGCGGCCACGCCAGAAAACCCGTACGCTCACGCCGCCTCGACTCAAAGTGCATTCGCGCCAGCGCACCGCAACACCCAGGATGGCTTGTCGTTTGGAGCCGGATCCAGCAACTACACTCGCGAAGAACATGCTCTGCGGGAACAGAATTTCTTCGACTCGGCCAACTCGCAGCTGGACGAGTTTCTAGACCGTGGTCGGGCAGTGCTCGGTGATCTGGCACACCAGCGCGACATCCTCAAAGGCACCCAGCGCAAGCTCTACAGCGTTGCAAACACGCTGGGCGTCAGCGGTGACACTATCCGCATGGTCGAACGGAGAGCCAAACAGGACAAATGGATCTTTTGGGCCGGCGTCATCATCTTCTTCTCCTTCTGCTTCCTGGTCATCTATTTCCTGAGATAATCCGAACACGGTACTTGCTAGACACCAGATTCTCCTCCCTTGCTGGAATCCGCCAGCCGACCGCCTTACCTGCATGCACTTTTCATGCTACTCCACCGGAGTGTTGAAGAAATCGGATGGCCACGAGCTGTGCTTAGAGGAACTTTTCCCCTGAAATCTAGGCGTCTCCGATACAGCAACATGACAAGGAGTTGGTCTTCTCTCAGACAAATCCAACTCAGCACTGCCGAAACCATGCCGAATTGACAGCCTGCATCCACCCCGTTTGCCACAAGAGCGCGTGCATTGCATTGCGGTGTCCTTGCGGCCATCATGTATGCGCGAGTCTTTCCGCTCTGCTAATGTGTCAGAGGAGCCGAGTCAGGGAAGATCGCGCGACAGAACCAAAGATAGGAGCCCCAAGTCGAGTCATGCAGGGCGGACGCGGAGGGCTAGACTCTGGCCGCTGGGCTTCAAGCTCTCACGATTTCCCCGCATGAGCCGTTCATCACGCTGGTCCATTGGCCCGTTACGGCCCGTCTATGCCTCTCATGGCAGTTTCTTGTCCACTGTTGCTCGCACTCGGGCATGTCAATTACCTCGGACCAAGCTGTACAGGGCACTACTCGATCGGGTATTGATTTTAATTTACTGATCTACAGTCTACCTTTAAAATGGTCACCACCTCTCCTTCACTGGCGCTTGAAACTGCCTTGTATGCATTGCTAAGTACAACTCCAGAACACACCTTCTCTTCGATCTCCATTTGATCAGGACACGCCACCCAAACAGCTGCGATGGGGGGTGATATGCCGTGGCCTCAGGTGCCTGTGGGCAACAAGGATCACACCGAAGCAGCCGTGGTTATTATCGGCGCCGGCATCTCTGGCATGTGTACGGCGATTGACTTGATCAAGAGGAACAATTGCAGAAACTTCATCATTTTGGAAAAGAGTGGAGGTCTCGGAGGTACATGGCGGGATAATAAGTACCCAGGATGCTGCTGTGATGGTAAGATCCGTCTGGTAGACGTTCGGGCAGAGACATACTAACACTCTGCGTCAGTATGGTCGCACCTGTACAGTTTCTCCTTCGAGCAGAATCCGGATTGGACAAGAGAGTATCCTGGGCAAGAGGAAATCCTGCAGTACCTTATGAAAGTGGCAACAAAATACGAGCTCTACCGCTATGTCCGCTTTAACACCGCCGTTGATTCTGCGAAGTGGGACGACGCGGAGAAGAAGTGGAAGACCACCGTGTCCGTGCAAGGCGCCAAAGATGCGGAGTTTGGAAGCACATACACAATCACTTCGGACTTCCTGGTCTCCGCTGTCGGCCAACTGAACGTACCAAAGATGCCTGATATTCCAGGCGTGGATGAGTTTCGAGGAAAGATGATGCACAGTGCTCGGTGGGACTGGAGCTACGACTTACGAGGCAAGAAAGTCGCAATCATTGGGAATGGAGCGACCGCTGCGCAAATCATACCCGAAATTGTGAAAGAAGTCGGCCACCTCACCATTCACCAAAGGACGCCCAACTGGGTCATTCCCCGTCTTGACTCTTCCATACCTCCTTGGAAAAGGAGCCTGTACAAGTACGTGCCCTTGATCCGACATCGGAAACGTGCCGACATGATGGACTACCGGGAAAGCTTCCATGCCGCCGTATTCGACAACGCTTCCGCGACCGCGCAATTCATGGAGCAAGTGAGCAAAGATCATATGCACGCCCAACTCCCCGATCGTCCTGATTTGTGGGAGAAGCTGCAGCCCCAATACTCCATTGGATGCAAGCGGGTCATCATCAGCGACGACTACTTCCCCGTGTTCCTCCGGGACAATGTCAAGTTGGAAACGGGCAAAATTGAGAAGATCACGGCCACGGGCATTGTTACTGATGGCAAAGAGGAGGAGTACGATGTCATTGTGATGGCCACGGGCTTTCGCACGGTGGAATTCATGCATCCGATCGACATCACTGGCAGCGCAGGCCGGACCCTCTCAAGCATTTGGAAAGAAGGTGGGCAGGCACTTTATGGTGTCACCGTCGAGAGCTTGCCCAACTTCGCCATGCTCTACGGACCGAATACGAACCTTGGTCACAACAGCATCATCCTGATGATCGAGGCGCAGAGCAAATACATCAATGCTCTCATCAAAGAAGTCATTGAAGCCCGACGAAACGGCCGCAGCCTGGTGATCCAGCCCAACGCCAAGAGGCTCCAGGAATACAACGACGAAATCCAATCTGAGCTGGAGAGGAGCAGTTTCGCTGATCCCAACTGCAACAGCTGGTACAAAGTCAAAGAAAGCGGCAAGATCACCAACAACTGGAGCCGCACGGTGGTCGACTATCAAAAGGTGAGCCCTGATCAGTACTGACCTCGAGACGCCCGTAACGCTGACTTGTTTGATAGCTTCTGAGTAGTGTCAACTGGTCAGACTATGATCTGTCCGGCAGCGGCGCAGAGAAGCTAGCCAGTCAAAACCCGACGTACATCGGGCGCGTCGTGGAAGAGTCGCAGGTGAGCTACAAGACCATGGGCCTGGCTGCCCTGAGCTTTGCGGCTGTGGGCATCGCCGCTGCGCTCCGACAGCGACAGGCGGGTAGATTGATATTTGGCTGAGGGGCGGGATATGTCGGCATGATGCCACTTGGACTGTACAGAACTTCGGCGCGCACTGATATTTGCAATTTTGAGACCGAGCACGCGCATCAGTGTTTTGTGCGCGGTCCTGGGCGCATGGCGTGGGGCGATCGAGTCCAGTCGGGGGCCCAAACCGACAATCGTGGAAAGATCTCAGGAGAATTCGAGTTCCGGTGCCTCGCCCTTAGCCCCTTCCAGTTAAGCGTAGTGGTGCCTATAACAAAATCATAGGCTTGCTGGTGCCAGTAGAGTAATTTGGTATGCGCCTGCTACTGGTCGAAATGAGACCGTCAGTCAGTGCGCTCTGTTCAGTCTTTCCTCTCCTCCAGTTCCTCCCCCGAACTGAACGACCTGACGTGAATTTATTTTCAGCCACCGGTGACAACCAAACATCTAGCCACGAACCGTATACTTCGACCTGTAGAACCATCCATATCCGCAAACCTGTCGTCCGTCGTTCGACCACACCCGCGCTTTTCCCACACTCGAGAACTCACGCGCCCACATACCGCATTTCGTCCTCGAATCCGTTAAGAAGCTGCTGTAGCGGACCCGGTCCACAATACCGCTTTTTCTCCTTCACACTTTCACACAATGCCTTCTCCATTTGCACCTACCTTCGCCTCTGCTGCTGCGAGCACTAACGGGGACAGTTCGGGGAGCAGGAGGGACAACGTTGGCTCGAGTGAATGGTATGACAACGAACTCTTCAAGAAAGCACATTCAGCACAGAAAGCACAGTGTCGTTAAGACATTGAGCCCTCAGACCATTTTGTTGACTATTTCGCCATATTTGCAGGTCTCGAAGAAACGTGAATGGTGCCACCCAGACCTTCCGCAGACCCTCTTTAGCCACCACGCCTTCACAGACACGAGAAACCGGAACTGCCAGTGCCTCAGCTACCACCACCGGCGGCGTGTACATCCCTCCCCATCTCAGCGCCGCGAACTCCACCACGTCGCGCAACCCTCCTTCAGGCGATATGCGGTATTCCAAAGACCAGCTCCTGAACATATTCCAAACTTTAAAAGAGACGTCGGCTCTAGACAGGAACTTGGAAGATATCTTCGCCGGAACTTGGGACCCTCTCGACAGCAAAACGGGGCTACGGGACCAAGGTGCCGCCGGTGACGGGAAAGATCAGACGCCTGGACCAGAAGTCTGTTGGAATTACGGCGTAAATCCAGAACCGTTCGGCCTGACAAACTTAACCGAGGAGGAGAAGCAGGTAAGAAACACTCTCAAGTCATGTGCGGGCCATGGACGTGATAGCTGATGTCGGAAGCAGCTCTTCTCATCGTCGGTCAACTCGCCCATCAAACCACAGCAGAATATCACCAAGGAGTCTACTGGGGTCGGGGTTATTGGTCGCAAAGCGTCCTTATCGACATATAGTAACACCCCAGGAGCTTCAAGACCTGGCACTCGTCGGCGCGAGACGAGCGACTCATTCATGGGCAACGGCCCCCTCTCGCCTGTGGAGGGAAAGACGTTCTTCCGAACCGAGTCAAATACTGCAACGCCTCCGCCTGCCCTCTTACGGCGTCGAACAGACTACAAGGAAGAGGAAACCACGCCGACGAGCAAAGAAAATCAAGAGCCGGAGGAAACACCCGAACTCCAGCCTCCATTGCCTGGGCTGCGAAGAGCTGCAACCGGTCCATTGAGCGCAGGAGGAAACCCGCTCTCTGCCTCGCCCTGGTCAGCGGGCGGGCAGGGGTCAGCTTTTGGTTCCATGGGTACCTTTGGCAGCTTCGCCATCGGGGCTACCGGGGCGCCGTCCGAGTCGAGCGACAAGAGACCCGGTTTCGGCAGTGCTCGCGGTTCCAGTCGATTCAAGGATATCCTCCAGTCCAAGGCAAGCTCGGAAGATGTCTCCCAGCTCGCCAAAGACAAAGGATTGTTTGGTGCCCTTGAAAACCTCCCCGAGGAGGACGTCGGTCCCAGGCAAGCCAGGTTGCGCGACGAGCTGAAAACTCGCCCAGGTCGTAGTGAGACTAATCCGTACGAGGATGATCCTATGCGGACAGGAAGTGCAGCCCTTGGTGGCTCTCAAGATCCCGGTCCAGCCGCTCCCGGCATCGAGCAGATGGGCATGTCTGCATTTGGACCCCATCAATCCATTGGGACCCGCGATTTCAGCCATGATGATCCATATCAGCAAACTCCATACGGACGAGCACACAATTCACATGAGCCGATGAGCCCGACAAATACTAACCCATATCAGAGCCCCCATGGCCGTATCGAAGACGAACAAGATACGAATGATTCTGCATCTCAAGCTTCAGGTCTTCCCCACTTTGGTGGTGCTGCACCACGTCGCAATATGTATCCCAGCACCGAGGAAGGGAGACACTCAGCGAGTGGCCTTCGTAGCGTCAGTGGCTTTGGTGGTCTACCTGGCTTTGGTGGTCTCGGAGGCAATCCGATGTGGTCTGCGGCCGGCATTGGGTCTGGCAAGCCTGCCATGGACCGTGGTATCACGTCTGCATTTGGTGATCCGGTATTCGGTCCTTTGTCTGAGTTACAGTCTCCCGGTGGTCTAGGGGGCGGCTTCGGCGGCTTCGGCTCTGCCGGTCGCTCGAGTCGACTCGGAGCCATGTTGCCGGCGGCCATGCAAGAACACGTCCGTGGGGATAGCAGGAACGAGGCGCGATCTTTTGACTCTCGACCCGAAAGCGCCCAGCAGCATCCTATGCGCGATCCCTTTGATGTTGCCTCTCGTCGACACGACGACTTCCCTCGTGGATCCGGTGTCTTCGATGACTCCCCCTCAATGAGGAGCGTGGAGGAGCCGGGAAATGGGCAGTACGGTCTTCCAGGCTCAGGACCGCCAACCAGCTCAGTTGCCATTTCTGGTGCAGGTCCACAAACGGCAGGACCGAGAGCAGGCGGGTCGGACAACTACCAATCCGGCCATGGTCTCAGTCAATCGAGCGGTAGCAGTTCCTCGAATCAGTTGCCGGCAGCACAGCAGCGACAAATGGTCATGCCCGACCGTATGCGTTGGATCTATCGGGACCCTCAGGGCAATACGCAAGGGCCATGGTCAGGTCTTGAGATGCACGACTGGTTTAAAGCCGGCTTCTTCACTGCCGAACTGCAGGTGAAGAAGCTTGAAGATGCTGAATTCGAGCCGCTCGCTCAGCTTGTGAGACGTATCGGAAATTCTCGCGAGCCCTTCCTGGTGCCTCAAATCGGTGTTCCGCACGGTCCGCCAACCTCTGGTCCAGGAAACACCTGGGCAAACCCAGCCATACCACCGACTAGCGGAACTACTCAGCCTCCCTTCGCGAATAGCTTTCCGAGTTTTGGCACTACCTTGACCGCTGAACAGCAGAATGCCCTGGAGCGACGCAAGCAAGAAGAGCAATACCTGATGGCGAGACAGAAGGAACACCTTGCGCAACAGCAAATGGCTATGAAGATGCAGATGCAAAATGGCATGCATTCTTTGCAGCACCATTCAAGCGCCCACTCTCTTCAGAGCCAGCCCAGCTTCGGCAGCATCACCTCCCCTACAGGTTACCAACCGTCCCCTATCCAACCGATGATGCAACCCCAACAGCCGGCGCCCTTTACCCAACACGCTGGCCCTGTTGGGGGACCAGCTTTCGGTCGCGAAGACGACGTCCAGAATATGATGGAACGCCTGAGTTTCAGCCAACGTGCGGGACTGCCATTTGCCAGTGCCCCTTTAGGTCCACCCCCGACAGAGGCGGGACCTTCTTCCCAACCAGTCAATACCATGCTTCAAGATAGGGCCCGACTGCAGCAGCAACAGCAACAAGCCGATATGCGAGGACATCAAGAGGCTTTTTTAGGCCCACAGGGTCGCAACGAGCGACTGGAGGAGTTCCGCAGCCTACGTGGACAAGCAGACATCCCGGCCGGTCGTCTCGGCCCTGACGAGCCTCGACAGCAACCCATTGGTGCTCCACGTCCGGCAAACGAGCAGCCTATCCCATTGCCATCGGCCAAGCTTCCTGCACCTATCGGACATCCACCTGCTATTGCTAAGCCAGAACCTGAGTCGCTTTCATTAGCTCAGCAAGTACAGATTGCCGCTGCCAGTCAGCAGGCAGCGGCGGCCGAGGAAAGCGAATGGGCGAAGAAAGATACTCCGATTGAACACCCGCCTGTCTCGATCTCCCCATTGCCTGCCCCGGCAGCTCAGCGAAACCGACAGCACGTTGCTGACGCTCTAGCCGCCGAGTCAAGGTCGGCTACTCAGACGCCCATCGAGACTCCTGTTGCGTCCGTCGCTCCCTGGGCTGAGCGGACCGTGGAGCACCCAAAAGGCCCATCTCTGAAAGAGATTCAAGAAGCCGAAGCCAAGAATGCCGCAGTACAGGAGGAGGTCGCTAGGCGTGCTCAGGCAGAGCAAGAAAGGCTAGCCCTGGCCCAGAGTCAAGCTCCGGTTCCTGCGCCAGGTCTGCCATCAACATCGACTTGGGGCAGTGCAGCCTCTCCCGGGACACCTGGCTCCCAGACTACGTCCGTCTGGTCTAAGCAAACACCTGCGAAAGTTGGAGCTGGAGCAGGTACGGCTCCCAAAAAAACTCTCGCGCAGATCCAGAAAGAGGAAGAAAGTCGCAAACAACGCGCCGCGGCGGCTCAAGTCGTAGCTAATGCGCAGAACGCTGCCAATTCTGCTGCAGCTGCCGTGGGCAAGAGGTACGCGGAACTGGCCAGCAAAGCTGCTCCGGCTGTCCCAACTTCGTCTGGAGGTGCGTGGACCACGGTAGGCTCTGGTGGCAAAGCCAAAGCTCCTCCCGCCGTTGTTGCCACACCCCAACCTGTGTCTCGTACCGTCTCTACCAGTAACACGCCTAAGACTCGACCGGCGGTACAGACGGCCAGAAGTACCACCCTCCCAAATCAGAGCAAAGCGAATGAAGAATTCACCAAGTGGATCAAAGGGGCGCTCGGAAAGGGGCTGAATGCTGGGATCAACCGTGAGTTTGCTCTTCACCATCCGCTTTAGCTCTTGTATGCTGACACGCTTGCAGTTGACAATTTTGTGCAAGACTTGCTCCAGCTCCCACCTGAGATCGAAATCATATCAGATAGTGTCTATGCGAGTTCACAGATCCTCGATGGGCGGCGCTTCGCTGAAGAGTTTGTCCGGCGCAGAAAACTTGCGGACAAGGGTGTCATAGAGTCTGCGGCTGGTGCTCAACCGATGATGGGTATCGGCGCTGGAGCAGATACAAAGGGCGCGGGTGGTGCGGGAGGTGGCTGGTCTGAAGTGGCAAAGAAGGGCCCAGCAAATGTCACCGCAGCGAAGGAGGAAGGCACTGCTCAGTTCAAGGTGGTGCCGACTAAGAAGAAGGGCAAACGATGAACGTGGGGCGTGGAAAGTGGCCGCGGAAGACGAGATCGTGCTAGGCCGTGTCCCTGTTATGTCTGTGGTGCAAATGCGAGTGTGATGAGAAACGAAAGCACGAGCAGAGAGTTATGTGATTGCGCAGTTGTCTCTCCCATTGGGTCCAGTCAGAGCAAATGCGAACCGACGGAGAGCGACTGGGATCGAATGCGAGGTAGTGACGAAGAGTGTGTCTATGATCGAGAGCAATACTTCGTCGCAGCGACGAGCAACAAATTGAAGTCACGTGAAGTTTATTCTGCTTACCTAATCGCGCCAATACCACATCCGTCTTTTGAATTCAATTACGTATCATTCGAACGGCCAGACAACTTCATCCACTTCTCCATTCCGACAACGCTTCATCAGTCACTGTCTTGTACTAGCAGTCAGAAAGCAGCGTCGTTGAACGAGGTTGTATCAAAATCTGCAAGGGTTGTTGCAGGCTGTGGGGAAAGTTCAACGTATCGCCCGACCACTACCATGGCATTGCCGATGCCCCGACCCACGAACCCGCCTCTGGCATTGTTGCAATATCGGGTCCTGTCCTTCGACGTCTACGGCAGTCTGATCGAATACAAGGCTCACATCCTAGACGCCTTCCAACCTCTCCTGTCTCGACTGCCGTCGTCGTCGCCATTCCTCAACCCAGAGCCGTTGTCAAGCACAATCCCCAACTCGGCAACGGTGGGGTCAATTGAGTTCTTGAAACTGTTCCAACGGCAGGAAGACGCCATCAAGCTCGAGAAGCCGGTCAAGCGCTTCGACCAGATCTTGCAGGAGATTTGGAGACGCGTGGCGAAGGAATTGAACGTGGACACCTCAGAGGATGAGGCCCGACGGTTTGGAAGCGAGGACGTCATTGCGAGTTGGCCCACGTTTCCCGGCACGCTGGACGCGTTGAAGACGTTGAGCAGGCATTTTCGACTGGTGGCCTTGTCGAACATTGATCGCTACGCCTGGGACATCACGGCCTCGTCGGCGGCGAGCCGGCTCGGCGAGATTGAGTGGTGGAAAGTCTTCACGGCCGAGGACTTTGGCGACGACGACGACGACGACGGTTCTCGTGCCGATGATGCCAAGTTGGAAACTTTGATCCAGTACTGTGTCGAGCAAGGGGGGATCAAGAAGGACGAGATCCTGCACGTGGCGCAGAGTCTGGGCCATGATCAAGCGCCCGCGAAGAGGTTGGGCTTGAGTTCTGTGTGGCTGATAGGCGACGGACCGCGGTGGGGTAAGGAGGCCGAGAGTCAGATGGCGCTGGAGAAGGAATTGGTGGGTTATGCTTGGAGATTCCAGGATTTGAGGGCATTCGCAGACGAGGTTGTACGAGTTGCGGAGGGCTGACAAGAACCACGGCACCGCTGGCTGAGGTGGTGGGTCCTGCACCACACGGACTTGGGACAGTCAGTCAGCTTCATCAACGGCGTGTCCGCCAACCTCGCGATAGCCGGATTGGTCACAGACATGTTGCGTCGAAGCTAGTTAATTACTGCGTGGGCGCGCCTTCAAGGCTTGCAAGAAGTGAGAAAGTCACGTTTGGAGCGCAATACGTCTGCAGTTTAGCGTAGTCGGATGAAACCCAGAGTGAGAGAGGCATACCTCGTAGAGTCCCTATCGGCACACAGGGAATACCTAAGTATGTATTATCGGTTGGCGAAGAAATCCTCAGGACTACTCGCAGCCTCGTACGCGCTCATTGGCTCGCGTTGGCTGCGTCGGCTGCGTCGACTGCCTTGTTCGGCCTAGCGTGGATCGTGGGGGCCCCTATCAATTGTCGTGCCATCTACTCCCGTGAAGAAGAGTAAAAGTCCGGCTCGTGGTCTTTCTGCTCTGTCTGTGGTATTGTTGATGTGGTGATATGTACTACGATACTGCTTTACGTAACTTTCAGCGTTGGATCCGGAAGATGAAGACTCGACATTCCCGCCACTAAATGATCCTCTTCGTAGCACAAGACATGGTAGTTCGTGCTCGTCTTCACCTCGTCATTGTCCGGATATGCTGCGACAGACCACCTCAGAGTCTTGAGGTCATCCCCCTCCATAGTATAGTGGACATCAGCGGCATTGGAAAGATTTCTCTGGTCACCTTCGTCGTAGAAGATCTTGCCAATGAGGAAAGGTATCGATTGCTCGTTTTCGCCCATGTCAACCACCCTTTTAGGAGGGTTGCCATCGGTGACTGGCACCTGTGTTGTTGTTGCCATTAGCGAGACCGTCCAAGTCACAGTGCAGCTTCACTTACCCATTCGCAGTTTCCAACATCAACGAGAATTTCGCACCGGTAGTAGTCGTCTTCTCCGGGGTGAAAGACCTTGGGCCCAGAACAGGTTTGCTTGGGGTAGGCAATCCAGCTGGCGTCCTCACGAAACTATGGTAGCAGTATTAGTAAACTGAATGCAGTGTGACAAGCCAGAAGGCATACCTCTCCGACGACCTTCCAACCGGCAATATGATATATCATGTAGTACATCTTTTTATCAGCATCCATGAAATGTGGAATCGAGTCGCCCCAGTGTTCCGGTCTGAAGCGTGAGAGCGGGACAGTCTTTGGCCATTTGGAAAGTCGCTCGCTCGTGAGAGAAGCTTCCTTTAGCCGTTGTGGGCCCAGGATAGCACGCAAGATCATCTCGATGCGGTCCACATGTGGCTGGAAGTGGTTTCGCCAGACTAGGCCGTCGGGCTTGAGCAACGTGCGGATGTCAGTACGAGCCATGCTAGACAGGCTGTCTCCACAGATGCGGGTTTTATTACGCTCATGTGAACGAGTGATGCTATCGTATCGATAAATGAAGGTTCCGTCTTCCTGTGTGGAAACTTGAACGTCTCTATGCTTCGAGACTAGGAGATCGAGGTCTGCGAGCCGGATACGTGGACATAGGATGTCGTTTGGAGAGCCTGCATCGTTGATGTAGTATTTGAACGTGCGAGCAATGAAGTCATCTTCATGCCTGTGTGCAAGGTTCAGCATGCGGGAGGAAAGGGGTGGGCCGGACCAAGTCTTACAATGCTTCGGTCGTCAACAGGCTTTCTCGGCGATCCTTGTATTGCTCCAGGAGTGATTGCATGACTTCTACGCGCTCTTTCGCCAGCAACATCAGATTCTGAGAATCAGATTCGATCATGATGTCTTCCTTATCCAGCCTTCCGAGCAGGACATAATAGCCACGGAGAAGGATTTCTAACGCTGCCGCGGCTGCATAGCGAGGGAGATGGTTCGTCTTGATGTAGTAGGTTCCGTCTGTCAAATTGTCGATGCCACGCTCGACGCGCTGCAAATGGACGTTCACATTCTTGCGCTGCACCTCGATCTGTGCCTTCAGCTCGTTTCTCTTGCGGCGGATATGATCAATCGGAACATTGCTGACTCCTCTATTTTCCACCTCCCCGAGGAATGGCACTGTTTCCTCTCGCAGGAAGTCTCGGATGGAGGCTGAGTCGGCTTGGAGATAAGTGACCTCATGGTCGTCGAAAGTGTCTTCCAACACTTCTTTGACGGCAACAACGATGCGGATCGATTCCGGCTCCAGATCTCTTGCTGTCTCGAATACTCCAAGATACCGCTGCCGCAGGACATCGGCTTCAGCTATATTGTTGAGCTGTTTTGCATTTTCTGCGATGTCGTCTGCCAGGCTCTGCAGTATATCCGTCACATCGAGAAGAGGTTTAATCCCCAGGATAGGTGCTACAAGTGGCAAGCAAATATCGAGAAAGTCGTCTCTATTGAGCTTTCCGGTGCTGAGCTCAGAGGCCGCCGCGAACAATTTTACGTTCGATGGGTCTTTGACAGTTATGCCATTGGCGGCGAGGTTTTGTAGAATAAACCTCGGGTCGACAGCCTCAACGGTCGAGGTGGATGGGGTAGTTGCTGGTGTCACTTTTGCGGCGGCCAGTGCCATGGCTGAAGGATAGAGCCACGGGGGTGAAGGAGGAGGTGGGATGGAGCTGAAGCTCTGGCGCCATCTCAAGAGGTAATATAGGAGAAGATCTTCTGCCGTTTGTGCAACCTTAACATCATGATTGAAGGTCAGTGATCCCTCGTACGGAATACTATCGATCCAGAGCCACTCGAGCTGAAAAACGAAGACGCTTGTCGACGGCTTTTGGTCGTGGCTGACGTGGTTGTTGCTGGTGGTTGCGGAGCTGTGAAGCGACATAACGAACGGAAGCATCAGACCCTCTCGGCTGTCTTGCCGTATCGGATTACGCTAACCTCATTGGTGCATGCGCCCTCCACCATTGAGCCACTATTCATGCTGAATTTTCTGATTGGCCCACGTATCTCTGGCGCCCCGCCTCTTCAGCCGCAGCTGCTGCTTGCACTGCATCGTGCCAAAACGAGTCTGAGCCTCTCGAGACTGTAAACTCATCTGGCCAGGGCTGGCCTCTCTTGGCTCTTCACGCCATCTTGGGAGGCGTCCAGGGCGTCTCCAACAGCAACTTCAAATGCCGACTGAGCGCTTGCTGCCTGTTCGAGCAAATCACGACAACAACGGTTCTACTCAATGGCCAGTCACCTAGCCATATCACGGAGGTGCGATGCGTGTCGTTGACGGCGCAAGGAGCTAGATTACGCCGTCTCACCATAACATACTCGCTCAGGCAGGACTAATGGGGTATCAACAGTGTGACCTCGCGGAACCTGAATGCGACAGATACGTCTTGAGGGGCGCCAAATGCGGCGGGCCGAGCAATTGTCGACTCTACGTCAATTGAAATGCCCAGAACTTGCGTACACAATTTCACGGTGGCGCCCTCAAGGTGGCCATGCAGAGACGTTCAGCCTACCACGAGCCTCACCACGACTCCATAACACCTCCTACTGTGGTTGCGGGTCGGGTTCTGCCCAGGGATGCGCTTCAACGGCTCATCCAGGAGAGCGATGTATCCTCTGTGAGAGCATACAGTTCTTTCATCGCAAAACCCGCCGGGTTCTTCCCCAGTCACTGCCGTATCTGCAGTATTGTCTGGAAGGCATCTTCGTAGCGCAAATCGCTATGAGATTCGTGTGCAGATACTTTGGCCGCCTACCACGACCTAGCGATCGACATCTCTCAGATTTTGTGGCAGTCCAGTATCAGCAAGACTCCACGCCACCCTGTCGTCCAGGATATAAAGGTCTAAGCTGCAGATCTTTACGGGCGTCACTCATGAATTCCCAGACTTGCTTATTGCTCTCATCGGCTCGTCATCAAGTGGCATGCCGAAAAAGGAGACATGCAACTGATGATATCCAAAATTGGACACGTTCGACGCGGCACAGGGCTATCCGACTTATCCGAGCTGTTCCAACACCACTCTACTTGGGACTCCCATACCCGCTTGACGTCCTCACTCCTTTGTTCGCCCTCGCACTTCTCCTCACCGGGCTGCCGTTCTTTTGCTTCAGATCTTTTTCTTGCCGCTGGACCTGTCGCTCGATATTTCTCACTGCCTCGGCCACTTTGCCACCAGGTTTCGGCGCAGGCTTGATTGGTTTCTCCGACTCGAAGCTACCTTCCGCTTGTCCGGCATCCTGGCTCCCCTTCTTGACCTGCTCGACAAGCTTGCCGACCGACTGAGTTGGCTTTCGTGTTACGTTACGGCTCTTCGGTTTCGTCTTCGTGCCAGTCGTTGAGCGCTTCTCGACCTTTGAGCCCTGCACAGCTGATTTGCGCCTGTCGCTTCGTTTCGGCTGCTTGATTGGTGACTCGGGGACTGTTGGAGGGAGTGGCCTCTGTGGAGACCGGGATTGATGCTCTGCGGGATGTAAGTCCGGTGCAGAAACAGACACATCGCGGCCTAGGGTTGACGGGACAATCGTGCCTCCGGAAGCATCGCGCATTTCCACGTCGCCTCGATTTGAGAACGGCGACGGCGTGAATGAGCGATCCTCATACGCGGGGGTTGTTTCCCGTATCCAATCTGGAGGAGGGTATTCCGGTTCCACGCTCTGTCGGACGTCAGTCTGGCTTGGGGGCATCGGCTCGGGCTCCACACTGTGTCGAGCATACTCGTGCAGCACATCAGCAGCATAGGGAGTCGAGGCGCCCGAGTCGGCTGGTGGACGCGGAGTATCCGGACGACTTGGAGGTATTGGGCTTTGTCGACGAGATGTGGCAACCGCCGCTGGTGTTGATGTTGCTGCGGCCGTCGGATGTAAGAAGCCACCAGTAATCGACGGAGGTGCATCTGGCAGGGTTGGGGCCGCCGGGCCTTGGGTCAAGCCTACATTCAGGGGATGGTTGTATTGGCCCGAAGACCACGTCGCTGCCGTCCGAGGGAATGGCAGAGGCGCTAAATCTTCTCGTGGCTGTACCCACTGTTCTGGTGCAGATAGTGGTTTGCGACACCTGCATCGACCTGGAGGACAGTGACAAGCCCCATTGGCACTGCAAGGGCAGTCGTGGTCTTCGTCTGAGACTCTCTTCTGCTCGAGCTTGAAGAACCTCTCAGATTCAGGAATCCGCGGCCATAGACCCGAATGGGTCGATGGAGGTTCCATTTCCACCTCCACCTCCACCTCCATCCCAGACTTACCGTGGCCGACATGATGCTCCTCGCAGCCGGCACAACTGCAAAGTCCAGGCAGACAGACACACCTCTCCTGCGTGTTGGAACCGCCGCAACAAGGCCCATGCTGTTTGGCAGTTTCAGTCGGTGCTTGAGCATTATCACCATCGCCCTCGCCCTCTCCCCATTTCATCTCTGCCTCCTGGCGCAAGTGTTCCGCCTGCTCGGCGTGGTCACAGCCTGAGCAAGGACAGTACAGAGGATGGCAGGAGCACTTTGAAGGCTCGCCTCCGCAAGGACAGCCACACGATCCTGCGTCTTCTTCTCCCACCGAACCCTCGGCATTGTTCGTGTCCGTGTCTGTGTCCGTGTCCTTCCACTTTCCCTCCGCCTTCTCTCCCTCGTGCATTTTCTTTTCTTCCGCCTCTTTCTCCCTCCTCTTCTTGGCCCTCCTCTCCTCCACCAAAGTCTCAACCTCCAAGTCAATTGTGTCCATCATATATAATCTCTGTTCCTCGCTCCAAAGATTCGAATCATGAGGCCCGCCCTTCCCGAAATGTTCCCCGGAAAACACCTCCCTTCTCCGCCTCTTGATCTCCCTGGCTCGCCACGCCCTCTCCTCAATCATCTCTCGTCTCTCATCCGGGTCCGCGTAAGATAACTGCTCCGCTTCGCCCTCCTGTGCGGGCCCACGTTTGTCGCGCGCATAGGGACCCCGTCCCTTGCGTTTGAGACGTTCATGATAAAGGACGCGGGCGTACTCTTTCTCATCCTCGCTCAGAGGACGCAGGGGCGGCGCCCACGTCGGTTTGGACTGCGTGGCGTATTGGGCGAAGCCTTGGAGTTTAGGTTTGGTTTCTGGAGACCTGGCTGGCTTCCAATACACGTCGTCCTCTTCGGGTTTGTATCGGTCGCGGAGGTGTGCCCAGGGTGTCGAGTCGGCGAGTATATCTATTGTCTCGGGGCGCGGAGGGGGCCATGGGTCGTCTTCGTCGTCGGAAGATGTTTGATTTTGGTTTTGATTTTGGTTTTGATTTTGGTTTTGATCTTGATCTTGATGCTGCCTTCCTCTTTCAGAATCGTGTCGATACTGGGTTTCATCGTGTGGATCACCATGGTTGTAGTCATGGTGATCGTGATGATCATGGTCGTGGTCATGGTCATGCTCGTGGTGGCGTTCATCGTCGCAGAAGCCTTGCTCTTGCTCTTCCTCCTTCTTTTCATCACCATCATCAGCTACACAATGGTACGCCTCTTCAGCATAATCCTCATGGTGTACTGAGTCTTGCGTATCAGGTGGAGATTCCCGTCCACCCTCATGTTCATGTCCAGATCGATCCATGTTATGGTCGTCGTCGCCTCCGCCGCCGCCGTCTTCTCCTCTACGACCTCCACCGATACCATCACCATCACCGTCATCGTATCCACCACAGTGCTCATCTTCATTAAATGGCGCTTTCCCAGACCCGGTCCCAACACTGTCTTTCGGCTTCTTCAGCTCTCCTGGCTCTCCTGGATCTTTCCCCTTCCCTTCATTTCCCCCTCCCACGACCGCCAGCCCCAGCACCTCCCCAAACCCAACCGCCGGATCGGGCTGGAATTCCCACCGCGCTTCCCGTCTCTGTTTAGCCAGCAGGAATTGGTCGTCGTCCCAGCCCAGATTATCGTTCCCCGAGGGCGTGCGCGCCGGGTCGTGCTCAGCCCACCCCTGCTCTGCGAATAGATTGGCGAGGAGGGTTGAGCTGCGGTGGTGGCTGTGTTCGCGGAGGGAATCCGGGGTTACGTTTTGACTCTCTCTCGCACTCGCACCTGCATCCGTACCCGCGCCCATACCCTCTCTCACGAGATCCGCGGACGTCGAAGGTGAAATAGACTCTGGAGCCGTGTTCGGACTGGAACAAGATTGGGTGCTCATATCCATATCCATATTCACATTCATATTCATGTTTATATCCAGTCTTGGTACGGAAGGCTGCACTGAAGGCACAACAGTCGTGTGTGCATGCCCAGTGTCGGTCTGGTTCCGCGCCTTCCCCCACGACACGTCCTCTACAGTTGCTTCGGAGGCGCTGTCGCCGAACAGGGAGTCCTTGTCTGAGGGGCGGGTGTGGCGGTCGATACGATGGATGCTGGGTCCAGGCAAAGGTCCCGTACCAGGTCCAAGTTCGGATCCAAATCCAGACGCAGATACAGACACAGACACAGATGCCTCGTCTTCACCTTCACCTTCATTTGCGACTTCGGCTTCGGCTTCGGAACTATATTCTTGAGCCACTCTATGTAGGTGACCACCACTTATGTCGTCTGCATGTGAAGCTGAGGCTAGCTTGATGGGGCTGCTGTTCAGGGTCGCCGCGTGGAGACCCGTGTCCGGCGCGTAAAGACCTGCGTAGCTGGTGGGGTGTTCGTCTTGTCCAGTGTCAAGGTGCTGCTGTTCCTGCTGTGGTGCGGCCGAGAGCTTGACGTTGACCTCCGCGGAATCGCTACTCTGTTGGCGTCGTGCTTCGTCAGTTGTATCGGCACACCAGGCTCCGGACTCGTCGTCTTCGAGCCAGGAGGATGGCATGGCGTCTAAACTTTTGTGGGCCTGTGTTGCCTTAGTTACTAAAAGTCCTCGCTTCAATCTGCTTCCTATGGGCGTCCAGCCCGTCTGTTAGTCCTGTGAAGTGCCCTTTCCGTCGCAGGAAATAGATAGACGAAGAGGGGATTCAATGCCAAAAATGACAATAACACATCGATGAGTCGTGGGGACAAAAAACAAACATAGTAACAAGGGACGAACGGCTCTTGCAATCAAACTGGAATTGAACGGTCAAAACAAAGGGAATGGCGGGCCGACTATACGTTTGTTGCCAGGGTTGTGCCTCTTTCGGGGAGGTTGGAATGTGGTGGTCGGTTACCTGGGACTTGACATTTCACAACACGACGAAAACCGGGGACGCGGTGGAGGCGCCGCCGCGGTGGACACGGAAGTAACTCCTACCTAACAAGGTAAGCGTAGAGCCGATTTTGGTACACTTTGTCCGGCGCAAGAGGCGCAATATTTGTCTTGTTCCGCTGGCGAGACGACCGCCAAACCGAAGAGAGAAGAGTATGAGATCGGAGGTTGTTCAAGCTGTACTTGTCGCGTAAAAGTTCTTCATCATCGCGCACATTTGAGTGCGAATGAGATGCATACCTCCGGCCATTACTGCCTGGCTGCATCAAGTCATATCACCACATGAACATTTCCAAGGAAAGACGTCACCGTTCGATTCCATCATGCCTCCATCCCAAGACCGCTGCTTTACCTGGATAGCGAAATGCTGTCTCAAACCACCTAATGGAGTGGTGGTGGTGCTAGGTCGTGTCTCGGTGCCATGACCGTCCAGCGCATACAGTCCTTGAATAGCATCCCGCCGATTACGGGATATTTGCCCATTTTCATCTGAGCCATCACGTCGTTTGTGAAGATACCTGCCACTTCCAATCAGTAATTGTCGATTGTAAGGGAGGAGAAAAACTGAATGTACTCACACTTCTCCACAAGCAGTGACTCGAAGGCGTGATAGCAATCGCTGGTGCCATAGTCCGGCATGTTGATCCCATTCCTATGCTTGTCGGTCGCGGAAGAACATCCGTTGTAGTCGAAGGCGAGTCCAAAGACGATCGGATAATCCTTAAGGAACGTGGCGTAGTATCCGGGGAACTCCCACAGCTCGCAAACGCCCGGCACCACATTGGCTGCAGGATTACCACTACCCTCGTGGATGGTGAAGTTAAAGGCCTTGTCGGTCAAATATTCGCAGAACCGCCAGAGCTGGCCCTCCTTCCGGTCTTCCCCGATGCCCGGGCCGTACACGACAAACGGCGAAAAAGGCATGCCTGGCGTCCAGGTTGCAACCGCTTTGTTGGTAGGAGTCGCGCATTGCACAGTATGTGGCGGAACTGGCGGTGTGGTTGTGACGAATCCCGTCCAGCTAGCACATGAGGATATACGAAGTCCCGTTCCCTGTTGAACGCCGGGTACTACCGTCTGAATGGCCCACGGACTGTCACAAGAGGTGGAGCCGAGGTATGCTGTTCCTTCACAGGTGAGAATGGTCAAACTGTTTTCACCCAACTGCTGTGCCAAGGTGGCAGTCAGAGTATGTGGCCCTGAAGGGGCAGTCGGAGTTGGTGGCAGCGAAACAGTCCCAGTGAACGGCACGCCTGAGGCTGAGAAGTCCCAGGGTCCTCCAGGGGTCGAACATCCGGTGGAGGAGGATATGAATTGCGACGTCACACGCGTTCCTCCTGACACAACATCTCTCCAAACGTTGCAGTCTGAGTCTGTCAGCACAGTGGTGAAGTACAGCAGCTCGCTGGCTGTCAGCATTCCTGGTGAGAAGGAACTTGTCGACAGAGTGGTACAGGGTCCAAAGCTAAATGGGCCACATGCCGGCAGCACAGAGCCTGTCACAGTGGAGATTACTGTGGCTGAGATCAATTGCCCACCAGAGACCAGCTCGCTCCATACCTTGCCGTCAGAACTTGTACGCGTCACTGTGTAGTCTAGCAGTTCCGTGGCGACCGACGCAGTTGTGATAGGAGGTGTGGACGACGTCGTCGGTGTTGGCGTGCGACTAGCGGTGCTGGAGGATATGCGCGACGTGCTAGTGGGTGAGAAACCTGATGAGGAGGATGCAGATGTCGACGTATTAACCATTGGCGTCTGAGTGGCATTGTTGAAAGTTGCAAACTCCGTGCTATTTTCCGTGATGATGGGAAACTGGGTAATCCAGTTCGCGATCTGGGACGAAAGAGATGGGTCGTTCCACCACGGACTCAATGTGCAAGCAGGGGCCGCAGACGTAGAGTTCAGAGAAGTTGTCGTGGTGGCAGTGTTTGTGCCAGAGCAAGTCGTGGCAGTTTCGCACGAAGTAATGGTGGTCAGATCTGGCAAGACAGTGCCGCTCGACGTCACGTTGGACACTGTTTCACTGCACGTGATGTATTCCCCTGCCGAGCAGGAGCTGGACGAACTGGATGAACTGGAGGTGGTGGAAGTACCGGAAGTACTGAATGACTGTGATGGGTCTGGGGAACCTGATTGTTCAACCCCGGGTTCGGGCCCTGAGTTCTGCGAATTGCCAGTCGTGCATGGTGCTGCTGTGCAATGTGTGACCGGTAATGTCAATGAAGCCGATATCAACGGCGGAATCGGTGGAAAATGCGGAGGTGATGGCGGGAAAGGGAACCCGAACTTGCCTAAACATGGAATGTGGCAGTTTGTGAACAGACTGAGGATACATTTCACTGCATCACCGGCCACTGACATCGGATTTCCGCAGCTATCTTTGCACAATGGGCCGAGGCATTTCCAGTCCAACGACGGGAAGACGATCCAGCCACCTGCGATAGTCTTTGTGCTGTAGGTAAGTGTGGTTGTGTACGATGCCGAAGTTGTACTGGAAGCTTTGTTCGTGATAGGGCAGCCGTTGACCAGATCCCATTGTGTCGTTGAGCTATCGTCACAAACACCACTGGGAAGCGCATGTGAGGGTCCAGATGGCCCAGCCGTGACCGCACACCACCATCCCTCACCACAGTGTGATCCAGAGGGTCTGTTCTCAAGGCACAAATCATTCGAACCTAGCCAACACTCCGGGCATAGGCAGTGAGCTGAGCTCTGAACAGTGACGATGGCCTTCCGCTCATTGGTTGTCGTACTGAAGTCTTCAGAAAGCGACAGTGGATATGTCCAGCACCATGGCTCCAACGTATACCACGTCCAGACATTGAGTTCCGGAATCCATAAGTCGCTGTACGAACATGTAGGCTTCGGCCCGACCAAGGATACGGTAGGCAAGGTCACCGTCGGTGGTGGCGTCAGTGTCGGCTCGAACACAGGTCCCGGGACGTTAGACGGGAAGGCGATGATGATTGAGCCCGTGCAGGAATCATCCGTGCATGTTCCAGTCGAAAGATCGGAAGGAAGAGGTGGAGGTAGAGGTACGATTGTGATTCCGCTCTCGCTGGCCTGGGAGCTATTGGTCGTGGAGGAAATCGGAATGGGGAGATCAACACTACCAGATTGACTGCTCGACGAGACTTGGACTGAAATAATGGTTGATCGGACGACAGTTACGAATGTGGTGTAGTCCAGACTGACGGTGCTCGTGAGTAGGGCGACGACCTCGGAGGTTCCATTGCCTGAAGAGGCTGGTGATGAAACAGATCCTGCCGGAGAAGAGCTATTTCCTGCGGGGGATGTCGGGACGTCCGTCACTGACTCCTGCGATAGCGATGACGACGTTGAGGAGGAGCTTGAAGTAGAAGTCAACGACTCCTGGGACTGTAAAGCTGAGGTCGAAGTCACTTCACTGGTAGATGTCCCACTTGTCGCTGCAGACTGATCTGTCGAGGTGGAGCTACTGCTGCCATTGTCTGATGTTGCACTGGAGACATCTGAGGACACCACAGATTCGCTGACCGGGGAGGTTGACAATTCTACACTCGTGGAGGTCGAAGTCGTGGAGGCGGCGGATGAAGTGACTTCAGATGAACTGGATGTGCTTGTCTCTGAGGCTGCAGAGCTGCTTGAGTCTTCTGAGCTACTAGGTGTTGCTGCCGGGGACGTATCAACACTCGTCTCTGCGGTGACTGAGGCAGATTCTGCGGTAGTAGAGCCTGACGACTCTGCAGATGGCGGCCAGACACGTGTTTCAGTAACAGTGAAAGTATTCATCTCCGAGGTGGTTTCTGTGACAGTATGCATAGGAAGGCTGGAACGGGATGGTTCTGACCCGGGCTCTGTTGGAACACCTGTGGCCGTCACGATGGCAGCAGATGCAGTGACTGTCTCCGTGCTCGCTATGACCGATCCCGTGGCCGTGTCTACGATTGTGACAGTGGGTGTCGCCATCGCAGCGCTGCTCGACATGCTCCAATCTTCCCAGGGACCGTGACCTAGACAACGGTCAGTAAATGAAACTGCGACAGGCGGAAGACCTACTAGAGTGAGGTTGCTGATCACCACAGACTGGACAGTCTTCACCCTGGTCTGTGCGTTTGCCCTTGCTGCCGATCCATCGCGCATTTGTCGGACTGCACAAGCTCGCAATCAGGCCGAAGAGGAGAATGGAGAGTAAGGGAGCCATAATGGCTCGCGAGTGTGAGAGACTCACAAAAGGCGAAGAGCGTAAAGTTGCTGTAGTTGGTCACAAGCCTGTCGATCTGACGATGTGCTGAAGACAAAAGATCAAAAGTCGCGAGGGAGAAGAAGGGCACATTTATGCGCAGATTGTGTGTCTTCACTTTGCGCGCAATCTCTCACTGCCTATGAGTGAAGCCTTGGCGGAGGTGATATTCGGAAGAAGTAGGGTATCGCTGCCATAAGAGTGAAGAGTAGGTGGAACCCTTCCATCCGTGAAGATTTCATTGTCACTCGGTCCAAAGCTCCAAAGAGCAACTTCCAGAAGATAGTGAAGAGACGTACCTAGCAGTGAATCTGAGAAATCGTAAGTCCTTCCTCTTTCATCCGAACGAACAGGGGGAGGACGTCAATTGAAACAGTCGTTTGCTTGTTACCTGCAGAGACCTTTTTTTATGAAGGTCCTCTCTGCAAATTATGGACTTGACCTGGAAAGCCTGGAGGGTCCATGATCGGGGTGGCTTTCGGGTTATTGTTTCCATCCGCCTACCACTTCCTCGCATGAAGAGGGTGCTTACCTGCTACCGCCACGACCAACGGCACATCTGAAGCTTACCTTGGCTTGACTGGACTGAGAGTTTTCAGAAGCCAACAAGCACCAGGCATCCACAACGCAAGCCCCTTCCTCTCTGTGTTCTTGAGCATTGATGGTCTGACTCCAAGTGTCGTTAGGCAAACTCAGCGTTGTGGAAGAGTACATGATGGGCCCCCCAGACCCGACGGACGAAGCCTTGCTCTGGAAGCCAGCACGCCAGCTTCCATCACATCATAAGTTTGCATGGCTGGCAGACTGTCATTGCTCACATGTCGTCCGACGTCAAAGACCAAAGGCGACAATATTGGAGCTGACTGATGGGGAGCTAAAACGACGCATAAGAGTTGGAACAAAACAAGAGACCGGTCTTTTGAGCTAAAATAGCTTGATCGATCCAAGCCCAGGCATACGAAGTCAGGGGCGTGGCACCGGTCCTTCCCACCTGGATGGAAACTTCATTTCAGAAAGCCGCTGATGCAACTGTCGCCTTTCGGGAGACGTACTGGTGGTGTGTCGCTTCTCCGTTCGAAGAGTTTGATCTCCAATCTTCCCCGCACAACTTCGCGAATACTCTGTGGGGAACCTCGAGGCTGACACCGTCTCTCCAGGCGGATGTGTACCTCGTACATGGGGCTTCGGCAGATGCAGTCAGAGTAGGCGGACACTTGCCGATGTCTCTCCCAGCGACGATATATTGATCGTTGCGTACCGAGCACTTGCAACTCACCATTGAATCAACCATTCAATAACACCGCCTCAGCCCTTGAGATAGCCTGTTCATCCCGAAAGTCAACACAATGCCTGGACTTCTTCTAACCCCCGAGACGGAGTTCAAGACACTAAAGATCAAGAAATTGCACCCGACATTCGCGGCCGAGATTGAAGGAGTGGACTTCTCCAAGCCCCTTGAGGACGACGTTTTCAGGGAGATCCTCGCCGCATCAGCAAAGGTAGAAGAAGCATTGAAGGATGCTTGGTTGATGTCATGGACCTGCTGACGGCTCTCTAGTATGGCGTGATCGTGTTCCGCAAGACGGGGCTCGATGACACCGGCCACGTTGAGTTCTCCCGTCGATTTGGCGAATTGGACGACATCAGACCGTACATGACCAACGGGCGCAAGCCTCGATACGGGTACTACGAGCTGTTCGATGCTGGCAATATCGACCCGGACACCAACACGGTGCTCCAGCCAGATAGCCCACGAGCCCAATACAACAAAGGCAATGCCCTGTTCCATGTTGATTCGTCGTTCAATCCTCGGAGGGCGTCATACTCGATCTTGAAGGCTCACGAGCTGCCCCCGCCAAACACTGGTGGCAACACCGGCTTTGCCGACACTCGAACAGCGTGGGACGAGCTGGATCCTGAGTTGAAGGCCGAGCTCCTTGAGAAGGACTATGTCGGCGCCCACTCATTGTACTCATCACGCAAGAAGGCGGCACCCGAGTTCTTCAAGGACCTCAACGTGAATGACTACCCCATGCACAAGCACAAGATAGTACAGAAGCACGAGCCATCCGGCCGGATGAATCTGTACATTGCTGCACATATGGATCATATTGTCGGCGTGTCGCCAGAAAAGTCGAAGGAGCTGATGGACAAGCTCATGGCTCATGCTACGCAGGACAAATATACGTTGAGCATTCCGTGGCATGAGCCAACTGACTTGGTCATTTGGGACAACACGTAAGTGACTGCACCCTCAAAGATGGTCGGCGTGTGCTAGGACCTGCAGTGCTGACTGGCGGATATAGCTGTGTCATGCATCGAGCCGAGGGCGGTTCTTTCGCTGGCAAGTACCGTCGAGACCTGAGGAGAACGACCGTTCACGATGACTCTCCACAAGCATGGGGTTTGAACAAGGCAGGCAAGGACGAGAGGCCCGGCTTCGCACTGTATGACTTGTGACACTCTTTCGAACGAGGAGCCGTATTGACTGTGAATAGTTTCAACCAAGCACCGACGGCGGCGACGCCAGCATAGGGTTTTACGAAGTGTGGAGGTGAAGTGTGTACGGTGAAATGACGGGAAAGTGAAGAAGAGCTGAACCAAGCAAGGCTGGCCAAGGCGCGTCACGAGGCTGCACCAGAGACTCTTGGCAGATTATGTAACCATTGAGGAGGCTCTTCCGCTACTTTGTCCCGCACCGCAGCTGCGTGTTCATGTATCTATCTCACTAGAGGCCTTGGTTTTACTTCTTCCTCGTACACCCGTCCGCGTGGCAGCGTTCTTAGAGAAGGTTCTTTGGCAGCCGCACGCACAAAGCTACTCTCCAATCCCCAAATCAAGCCTGTAATTCACGAAATTATCAACTGCCAATCTGCTTCCCCCGCCGTCGTTCAGGCATAAGCAACCCTGCCAGCACACTCCCTCAGTCTTCCGCAACCATGTCCAACATAAATTGGCGGACAATAAACATAGACGCCTACGACCCGGAGTCAGCCTTCAACTTCCCCCTCTCCACCCTCCTCCCTGCAAACCTACCCGCACCGTCCACGTCGTCGGAATCTGCTCAAATAGGCCAACAGGTCCGGCAACTGCTTCGAGCCGGAGACAGCATAGGCGCCCTACAATCCGCCCTTGAGACCGCCCCTTTCGCCGGCGACGAAGGCGCAAAACAAGTCCACCTCACCACCGTGCTGGAAGTCCTGCAGGGGATCCGACAGAGCGATGTGAGCCGGATA